TCTCTGAATACCCACATCGTCAGTACACCAACGCCACTCGTAAGCATCTGTGGTGTGGATATAGAAAGAACGGACACCGTGAAATAACTGGGCATGTCATTTGACAGATGCTTGTCATACAAATGCCACGTAGACAACGTCATACTTAGAGCCAGGAAAGGTTTGACAGCACTCAAGATGCTAGCAGCAGCTGATATTGAACAACGTCTACTTTTCCTTTTCTATCAAGGGCTTGTGCTTAGCGTCATTGACTATGGTCTTGTCCTCCTCACTGTCAGCAAAACCCAGCTACAAAGACTGGACCGAGTACAAAATGAGGCCATGAGACTCATACTCGGCTGCACAAAAGACACCTCCTGCAATGCCATGCGTTATGTCCTGGGTTTGCCGACGATGACTAGCAGATACAAAGTGGCACAGGTCAAAGCTTACATGCGGGTATCGGCAGACGTTAACCACCCATTGCACAAAGCTATACACGACACAAAAGGAACGCGTCTCAAAAGAAGCAGCTCTTGGAAAGGCTGAGGATTTAATCCAGCAGGTATGTGACCTAGATCAGTCACGGAAAAGAATGGACGAATACACCAGTAGACATGCATGGCATCTCTAAGGTTGTCATCACACTCGAAAGGTACTACAGTGATCAAATACCTGCGACCGTAGACACAGAAGTAAGGAAACTGATAGATCAGCATTCAGACCCAGAGGATATCATCATCTACACAGATGGATCCGTGAAGCGCGGATCAAGGTCAGCATGGGCATACAATAAATGAAGACAGTGGCGCTTACTAGACAACCACGTCAAGCATGACTATGGAAATAGCCGCTGCTTCTAGAGCTTTAGCATGGGTATCAGGACAAACTGCCACACAGGCAGTAATTGTCCCAGACTCAATGAATATGCTTCAGAAGATAGCAACAGGCAGTATGCGCTCTGAATGGATAGAAAGCATTCGGAAATCGCACGTAACCTCCGTAACCTGGATCTACACACCGGGTCATGCGGGCGTAAAGGGAAATGAGCGAGCGAACCAATTGGCAAGCACTGCACTAATGACTGCGGGAAAAAGCATGGACAGAGCAGATATCGTCAACGCTGTACGAACTGGGCTAGTGGAGAATGAGGAATCCCTGACACTAACACGATTGCGTGACATGGGAGTTAAGCATGGTGATGGACGTCTTTGCCGTCTTCGAGGCCGAGAAAGGAGACAAAATAACCAGCTTCTCATGGGGACAATTAGTAGAAGTACTTTGGAGTGGCTGCTGCTTCGAAGCTGAGTTGAGTGCATGGCGTGACACTGTGAGCTACGTGTGTTTTTCGTTGCACAGTGGTGATGTGCGGCGTACCAAAATGACTAGGGGTGTCGCAATGTAACAAATGGCATCAACACTTAACATGCCACTGGCCAAGTGTTACACAACATGATGAATGTTGAAGCTTTCCAAACTGAGTACTACTACGTAGATTAGGAAGCATACAACGTAACACAGGCTCGTGAAACGTAGCGGAACGAAAACTCTTTTTAAAAGTTCCATTTGTGTATTGACAATATCGATGATCAACACAAGGAGAAAATATGCAATTAATAATATAATCCAGGCTCATTCAAGCACATCAACAAAAGCTCGCTTGTACATCCATGGACTGATATGTCCTCATGATAGGTCGCAGTCCGACCTTGAGATCCAGACAGTAATCTTTGTCTTCAGTTCCGCAGTCTGAATTAAGTAATGAAAGTAAACCGGCTTACTGCCGAACTGTGACAATTTACCAGCTTCCTGCTGAGGTCTATAGTGGAGTCCCTGGGTAAAACGTCCTCGAGGATCCAACTGTATACAATGTTTGTTTCCGTGGGATCCCGGGGTAAAGCGTCCTCAAGGATCCACACATCCGTCTCCTTCGGACTATAAACATCAACTCCTTTTGACAACAATACCTTCACAACGTTACGTATTGTTTTGACGTCTTATTTGCTCACTCAGTACTGGTGCGTTCTAGTGCACATTCGCACGCGACAGTAATGTAGGTACTTTGGTCAAATTTTTAAAATGCCCTCTACACCAATAAAACCAGCACAGTTAGATAGCTGTAAACAATCTCTTTCCAATGGTACCTCATTTAGGCTTGTATGTCATTTCTGAGCTGAGATATGTAGGTTTTTGTGGAGATGAGATGTAGAAAGCAGCTGCTAAAAATTGTGACCCAGAAACAAGGTTTTCTCTGCGCACCAAACTGCGCACTTCTTTGTTTACATTGGACTGTCATTGGACAAGATGGCAGGCAATGAGACACAGCCACTGGCTGAGCCAGCGATTGCCTGAAAAATGTCACTGTACATCTACCTAGCCACCGTTCAGAAAGACATTTTATACACAAATGTAAAAATAGACGGAGAATTCAATTATAACTAGCATTACCAGGACGAGTAACAGTTAAAGCCCAAAGCCAACCGTGAATACTTATCGCTATTTTCAATCAAACTGATGTAACAGAAAAACAGAGGATGTCCGGCTGTCGTAGACATGCGCTGTTAATCGGGTTCCTTCCCGCTGTTTTCAGCTATTTAGAGTGGGTGAAAATCACACCAATCGCAAAATTTCATGAGAGATTAGGACCCATCCGGAAACCCCAGCCGACATTTCCGCAACAAGTTTCGAACGGTTTCCATGGTAACGGAAATTGCCAAAAGACCGCCAATTGCCAAACACCGTAGTCGCTAGGTAATGCAGTTTTTTAATTTGGCACTCTTTCGAAAAACGGTCCCAAATTATTTACTTAATGGGTAGCACTATTTAGATCATCGTCATCAGTTTTCACTTCTGCTGTTAAGCGCATAGTTTTTTATCCACAGAAGTGCCGTGTGGAGAAATAATTTTCGGCACTCTACCGAATACCGGTCCCAAATTATTTACTGCGACGGGGAATCGTACACCGATCACCCGCATGACAGGCAGAATACTTATCAACTGTACTAGCGATGACTCGGAAATTTCATTCAAATGAAATGATATAATAAAGCAATGCATAGTTTGTAGTTTTCCGGTTCATATTTTTAACTACATGACCTCTCGAGTCCCTAACTACATGACCTCTTGAGGCCCTGAATGGGATTATTTGTCTTTGAAAAATAAGGGGCCGTTATTCGGAAGAGTGCCAGCTCAGTGACCAGGGAAGAAACACAGCTTAACTCTTTTAGTTCCAGGGGGTTTAGCATCAGAGGCCCAAGTGGTGGTAATGCGTTTTTTTAATTTCACCAATATAACACATTAAAACATAGTTTACGAATTCAGCTGCCATGCAGCATTCACGTATTATGTATTATACATCTAACTGACCGGTAGTTGTTGGGGAATTGTAATATAATACAGAATGCTACTTCATCAAATAATTGCATTAGTAGCTAAATATTAGTAAATAAACAGACGGTATATTTACAGGAATTAGTAAAATTATATAATAATTGTTCCTCTTACTACCACGGCGCTCAAGAAAAACTTGTTGAAATATATCCAGAATGACACACAAATGAACGTAACCACTTAGTAATGTGTGAGTGAAATATAAACTCAACCGGTACATTAGATCTTGTTCCAGAGAATCTTTTAAAGCATCATAACAGAGCACCCTTTTTTGGTAAAGAGTACCAACATCCCAAAACTATAAGTATCTTCACACAAAACAAAGGTCATAAAACCCTCAATTTGCCTGTACTTTTGTAGCTATATCCCCAGCAATAAGGGAAATAACACTAGAACTAACTGACGCCAAAGAAAATCATCACTGTTTATTCTATTTGTGCCAGTGACTTTGCAATTGTTGTTTACCAACATTTCACGTGAGGAGGCTTCACATTAAATACTGCTCGATTGTGTTCAAACAAACACTTAGTAGCTCAGTAAACCGCGCAAATATACTTTACTTTAGGCTTGTAACCACGTTTCCAAATGAGTCTGATGGTCAGCACGCCTGATATCAAACACAAAGAACTGGAATGGAATTTAAAATTGAGCAATTACTGGTTGGTATGGGACTCAAAAGAGTAGCACCAGTCTTTATCTTTATGAACAAGAATGTTAAATTACAGACAGGACTCAAAGCTCTTGATACAGTGACAGTGTTGCAACAGCCACAAGCACCTTGTTTGACCCAGTAGTGACATTCTTGTATGTTTAATAAAATAATGACCCTGGAGTTAATGGTCTCTGTTAACTGCATTTGTTATTGTCGGATGTGAATTGCAACATCCACTTTAAACAAGCAGATCCACAATAAGTCTCATCACTTGATCATCAGAAATCATCAATAGTTTGAAGCTCTTACAGATAGTAGTGATAGACTGCAGTCATTCATTAACTCCTGCCTGTGCAGAGTAGAAGGGATTGAAAAGTAGGATGCAATCACTAATGTGGAGCTCTATAAGAACACTAAATAAGTTCCAGTCGGACAAAGAGGTGAAGTATAGACATAGTGTTAGATAAGATAGGACATGTTGACAAAATCTGAGAACAGTGTAAGTAGAATGTTGGGCACTGAAACCCCAACCCACAGGGGCATAGAAATAATGACAGAGCAACAAAAAAAATGTAGAGAAGAGAGCTAGAGACACAAATATTAAGTAGCTGAGGATGAGATGAGGTGAGCTGCATGTGATAGCAAAAGGCAGGATGACTTGTTGTGAGTTGGCTGAAGTCCTATGCTCCATCCGGGGGAGGGGGGGTGGTGTGGATGAAGTGTAGAAGAAGAGAAACCAGTGTGATCATAACGGACCAGATCTATCATAAGGTGACTGTCATTATCCCAGGCAGTTGACAGTTTAAAGTTAACGTTGCTGGTGTAAACAATGAACCCTTGCCCTAACCATAGAGATTTTTTACACTTTGCCAAGACAGTTCTCAGTTAAAGTTACAGTTTTACATCAGACAGAAAGATTAGCTGCTCTATTGTATCTCGTTTATGCTTTGTAATATATTAAATTTTTCTCTATTACAAGGCTTCATACCGAAGTTCATGATCCCTCGGCTGCCGTATTTCACCTTTGGGTCAGAGGTTGGATGTCTGGTGTATTTTGATGTTGGTGGTGATGCCAGCAAGATTCGCTTCGCTCGAGAAACCAACAGCTTGCAGGCTATCAAGAGTGCTGTATCAGGTAGAGTGCTTGTGTTGTAGTCAGTCCATGAATAAATTATTAATTAGTTCTTTGTCAGGGTTCCGACATCCCTGCGGACCGGCCGCCTCATTTCTGTGCCAGAAATGTCCTTCACCCTCCCTGTGCCAGTGGCAATCATACAAAATGTCCTTCACCTTCCCTGTGCTAGTGGCAATCACACAAAATGTCCTTCACCCTCCCTGTGCCAGTGGCAATCACACAAAATGTCCTTCACCCTCCCTGTGCCAGTGGCAATCACACAAAATGTCCTTCACCCTCCTTATGCCAGTGGCAATCACACAAAATGTCCTTCACCCTCCCTGTGCCAGTGGCAATCACACAAAATGTCCTTCGCCCTCCCTGTGCCAGTGGCAATCACACAAAATGTCCTTCACCCTCCTTATGCCAGTGGCAATCACACAAAATGTCCTTCACCCTCCCTGTGCCAGTGGCAATCACACAAAATGTCCTTCACCCTCCTTGTGCCAGTGGCAATCACACAAAATGTCCTTCACCCTCCCTGTGCCAGTGGCAATCACACAAAATGTCCTTCGCCCTCCCTGTGCCAGTGGCAATCACACAAAATGTCCTTCACCCTCCCTGTGCCAGTGGCAGTCACACAAAATGTCCTTCACCCTCCCTGTGCCAGTGGCAATCACACAAAATGTCCTTCACTCTCCCATTTTATAACTAGTGAGGAAAAACTTGCCAGTCCGAGCAGAATATCTAAACTTGTGCACACAAAGTAAAAACCACTAAGGCAGCTGTCAGTTGTCCCAACACTAACAGTCCATGTAAATAGGTAAGTGGTCTTTGTGTTTTAAAAGAGGTAGAGGCAGGAGAACTTCTCTCAAACAGCAGAAGAGACAGTTGTCATTTCTTATCTCACCACACAGTGAGAAGAGAACATTTAGACACCACACAGTGAGAAGAGAACATTTAGAAGATATGACACCTGACAACATCTATGGACAGAGAGATAGGCAAAGACATTGAGAGAAGATTGTGACATTCAGATTTCATGGGATGGACATTGTCAGCACCTGAACTGATACATGCTGTTGACATCAGATGCAGAGAAGCGTGATCGCCCATGCGAGTTAGCAAGGAACTTGATGATAATGCTGTGTCTTAACAACAATGCAATAATGATTCAGTTATGATTTAGTTACAGCCAGGGGCTGTTGGGGTTGGTTCTGCAATGTCCTGTAAAGAATACGCAACTAACCTATGATTTAGTTTGTGTGAAGAAATATTGACTAAGCTTATATTATTATTACCATTCAGGTGGTTGAGCAAGGCGATGGTAGGTTTGAACATGTCGCTCCAGCGTCAGTGATTTGTGACTGCTCATAAACATATTCTTGGGAGATCATTGTGGTGGCTTCCACCTGTCTTCCACACAAGTAGATTACTATTCACAGTCATTGACATTAATCCTGAGACATGAGACAAATAAATACAGGAGTCAGATGTGAGGTACTTGAAGTATACAGTGCCAGCGTGACTCGTGGTCTGGGTAAAACGCAAGTTGAAATGATCGAGTGGCCAAGGCAGGCTGTTCAGTTTGACTCTCGGCAACAGCAGACAGACGTTAATATTATTTTTCTGTCCGCACATTTCAGACCCCAAAATACACATGATTGCCGGAGATGTTATCTTGAGGGGTCATGGAACCAAGTCGCAGTCGTTGGTGCCAGTGATGGCAAAGCCTCACTTGAGTGACAGTGACGTGACGCTGAAGGACTGGTTACATCAGATACGTCTCAGTGGTAAAGGCATCAAGTTGCACTTTCATTCCATGGAATCTGTGGAGATCTCATTGCAGATCCTGAGTGATTTTGACAAGATGGTAAAAAAGTTCAACTGGGCTGTTGTAGAACCATATCATTCCTATTGTTTACTCCTATGTGACTTGAGGGGTTCAGGCACTGGGGGGGGGGGGGGGGGTCTTTTCTATCTCGGCTGACATTTATGTGAGTGTAAGGCAGGGACATGTCTCACATCATGTATGGGATGTGAGGCAGGGACATGTCTCACATCATGTATTTGATGTAAGGCAGGGACATGTCTCACATCATGTATGGGATGTAAGGCAGGGACATGTCTCACATCATGTATGGGATGTAAGGCAGGGACATGTCTCACATCATGTATGGGATGTATGGCAGGGACATGTCTCACATCATATATGGGATGTAAGGCAGGGACATGTCTCACATCATATATGGGATGTAAAGCAGGGACATGTCTCACATCATGTATGGGATGTAAGGCAGGGACATGTCTCACATCATGTATGGGATGTAAGGCAGGGACATGTCTCACATCATATATGGGATGTAAGGCAGGGACATGTCTCACATCATATATGGGATGTAAGGCAGGGACATGTCTCACATCATGTATGGGATGTACGGCAGGGACATGTCTCACATCATGTATGGGATGTAGGGCAGGGTCATGTCTCACATCATGTATGGGATGTAAGGCAGGGACACATCTCACATCATGTATGGGATGTAAGACAGGGTCATGTCTCACATCATGTATGGGTTGTAAGGCAGGGTCATGTCTCACATCATATATGGGATGTAAGGCAGGGACATGTCTCACATCATATATGGGATGTAAGGCAGGGTCATGTCTCACATCATATATGGGATGTAGGGCAGGGTCATGTCTCACATCATGTATGGGATGTAAGGCAGGGACATGTCTCACATCATGTATGGGATGTAAGGCAGGGACATGTCTCACATCATATATGGGATGTAAGGCAGGGACATGTCTCACATCATGTATGGGATGTAAGGCAGGGACATGTCTCACATCATATATGGGATGTAAGGCAGGGACATGTCTCACATCATGTATGGGATGTAAGGCAGGGACATGTCTCACATCATGTATGGGATGTAAGGCAGGGACATGTCTCACATCATGTATGGGATGTAAGGCAGGGACATGTCTCCTCACATCATGTATGGGATGTAAGGCAGGGACATGTCTCACATCATGTATGGGATGTAAGGCAGAGACATGTCTCACATCATGTATGGGATGTAAGGCAGGGACATGTCTCACATCATGTATGGGATGGCTTCATCGCAGTGAAGCCTGTCCTTGAAGAAGTGAGGAGACAGTGTATCATCTTGGCATCTGCACCAGAACTGGTCATCATCTTTGACTGTAGGCCTGGTTGTCATATGTTGACTGTAGGCCTGGTTGTCATATATTGACTTTAGGCCTGGTTGTCATAAATTGACTGTAGGCCTGGTTGTCATATATTGACTGTAGACCTGGTTGTCATATATTGACTGTAGACCTTGTTGTCATATATTGACTGTAGACCTGGTTGTCATATATTGACTGTAGACCTGGTTGTCATATATTGACTGTAGACCTGGTTGTCATGTGTTGACTGTAGACCTGGTTGTCATATGTTGACTGTAGACCTGGTTGTCATATATTGACTGTAGACCTGGTTGTCATATGTTGACTGTAGACCTGGTTGTCATATATTGACTGTAGGCCTGGTTGTCATATGTTGACTGTAGACCTGGTTGTCATATGTTGACTGTAGACCTGGTTGTCATGTGTTGGACTGTGTGGAAACATTGAGTCAGAGAAATTGTATTTGACTTGTTTATCAGGAAACATTGAGTGCAGAGAAACCATATTTGAATTGTTTATCAGGAAAAAGAAACAATAGTTTTATTTCATAGACAAGGATAACTCAGATGTGATATTACATTAGATGGGAATTTGCTCAGCAAAGTCAATAACTTAAAGTATTTAGGGATGATCATAACATTAGAAAGATGATAAGGACAGATATTACAAGCAGATTAGAGTGAACAAAAGCCACATGTCAGAAGATGAAAAGTCTCTGATTAAAAATGTCATTAAATGTCAGGCAGAGAGAGCGGAAATATGGTTGTGGAAGCTGTTCTTTATGGCAGTCAATGCTTGAATTGTCAACATACACACTGGGGAGATAGCTGAGGTCTGCTTTTGGAGGGCTGTGATGGTGATGATGATTGTTGAGGATAGTGTGCCGCTTGATGGTGATGATGATTGTTGAGGATAGTGTGCCACTAGATGGTGAGAATGATTGTTGAGGATAGTGTGCTGCTTGATGGTGAGAATGATTGTTGAGGATAGTGTGCCGCTTGTTGGTGAGGATTGTTGAGGATAGTGTGCCGCTTGATGGTGTTGATGATTGTTGAGGATAGTGTGCCGCTTGATGGTGATGATGTTTGTTGAGGATAGTGTGCCACTAGATGGTGGTGATGATTGTTGAGGATAGTGTGCGCTTGATGGTAATGATCATTGTTGAGGATAGTGTGCCGCTTGATGGTGATGATGATTGTTGAGGATAGTGTGCCACTAGATGGTGATGATGATTGTTGAGGATAGTGTGCCGCTTGATGGTAATGATGATTGTTGAGGATATAGTGCCCCTTGATGGTAATGATGATTGTAGAGGATAGTGTGCCGCTTGATGGTAATGATGATTGTAGAGGATAGTGTGCCGCTTGATGGTAATGATGATTGTTGAGGATAGTGTGCCGCTTGATGGTGATGATGATTGTTGAGGATAGTGTGCCGCTTGATGGTGATGATGATTGTTGAGGATAGTGTGCCGCTTGATGGTGATGATGATTGTTGAGGATAGTGTGCCGCTTGATGGTGATGAACGAACGAACGAACAAACTTTATTTTCAAAGGGTCACAAATTGGGCACGCAGGCCCGTCATACATTCGGCCCTTCAAGTCAACCATCTTTCGCACAGCAGTTGTATTTTACTAATAAAGCATGTTATGATCATATGATGTTATGCATATTATGAATATTATAAAAGAACACAAAAGCATGAGATTGTTGAGGATAGTGTGCCGCTTGATGGTGATGATGATTGTTGAGGATAGTGTGCCGCTTGATGGTGATGATGATTGTTGAGGATAGTGTGCCGCTTGATGGTGATGATGATTGTTGAGGATAGTGTGCCGCTTGATGGTGATGATGATTGTTGAGGATAGTGTGCCACTAGATGGTGATGATGATTGTTGAGGATAGTGTGCCGCTTGATGGTAATGATGATTGTAGAGGATAGTGTGCCGCTTGATGGTGATGATGATTGTTGAGGATAGTGTGCCGCTTGATGGTAATGATGATTGTAGAGGATAGTGTGCCGCTTGATGGTGATGATGATTGTTGAGGATAGTGTGTCGCTTGATGGTGATGATGATTGTAGAGGATAGTGTGCCGCTTGATGGTGATGATGATTGTTGAGGATAGTGTGTCACTAGATGGTGATGATGATTGTTGAGGATAGTGTGCCACTTGATGGTGATGATGATTGTAGAGGATAGTGTGCCGCTTGATGGTGATGATGATTGTAGAGGATAGTGTGCCACTAGATGGTGATGATGATTGTTGAGGATAGTGTGCCACTTGATGGTGATGATGATTGTTGAGGATAGTGTGCCGCTTGATGGTAATGATGATTGTTGAGGATAGTGTGCCGCTTGATGGTGATGATGATTGTTGAGGATAGTGTGCCACTTGATGGTGAGAATGATTGTTGAGGATAGTGTGCCGCTTGATGGTGATGATGATTGTTGAGGATAGTGTGCCGCTTGATGGTGATGATGATTGTTGAGGATAGTGTGTCGCTTGATGGTGATGATGATTGTTGAGAATAGTGTGCCGCTTGATGGTGATGATGATTGTTGAGGATAGTGTGCCGCTTGATGGTAATGATGATTGTAGAGGATAGTGTGCCGCTTGATGGTGATGATGATTGTTGAGGATAGTGTGCCGCTTGATGGTAATGATGATTGTAGAGGATAGTGTGCCGCTTGATGGTGATGATGATTGTTGAGGATAGTGTGCCGCTTGATGGTAATGATGATTGTAGAGGATAGTGTGCCGCTTGATGGTGATGATGATTGTTGAGGATAGTGTGCCGCTTGATGGTAATGATGATTGTAGAGGATAGTGTGCCGCTTGATGGTGATAATGATTGTTGAGGATAGTGTGCCGCTTGATGGTAATGATGATTGTAGAGGATAGTGTGCCGCTTGATGGTGATGATGATTGTTGAGGATAGTGTGTCGCTTGATGGTGATGATGATTGTAGAGGATAGTGTGCCGCTTGATGGTGATGATGATTGTTGAGGACAGTGTGTCGCTTGATGGTGATGATGATTGTTGAGGATAGTGTGCTGCTTGATGGTGAGAATGATTGTTGAGGATAGTGTGCCTCTTGATGGTAATGATGATTGTTGAGGATAGTGTGCCGCTTGATGGTGATGATGATTGTTGAGGATAGTGTGCTGCTTGATGGTGAGAATGATTGTAGAGGATAGTGTGCCACTTGATGGTAATGATGATTGTTGAGGATAGTGTGCTGCTTGATGGTGAGAATGATTGTTGAGGATAGTGTGCCACTAGATGGTGATGATGATTGTTGAGGATAGTGTGTCGCTTGATGGTGATGATGATTGTTGATGATAGTGTGCTGCTTGATGGTGAGAATGATTGTTGAGGATAGTGTGCCACTAGATGGTGATGATGATTGTTGAGGATAGTGTGCCACTTGATGGTGATGATGATTGTTGAGGATAGTGTGCCGCTTGATGGTGATGATGATTGTTGAGGATAGTGTGCCACTAGATGGTGATGATTATTGTTGAGGATAGTGTGCCGCTTGATGGTGATGATGATTGTTGAGGATAGTGTGCCACTTGATGGTGATGATGATTGTTGAGGATAGTGTGCCACTTGATGGTGATGATGATTGTTGAGGATAGTGTGCCGCTTGATGGTAATAATGATTGTAGAGGATAGTGTGCCACTTGATGGTGATGATGATTGTTGAGGATAGTGTGCCGCTTGATGGTAATGATGATTGTAGAGGATAGTGTGCCGCTTGATGGTGATGATGATTGTTGAGGATAGTGTGTCGCTTGATGGTGATGATGATTGTAGAGGATAGTGTGCCGCTTGATGGTGATGATGATTGTTGAGGATAGTGTGTCGCTTGATGGTGATGATGATTGTTGAGGATAGTGTGCTGCTTGATGGTGAGAATGATTGTTGAGGATAGTGTGCCACTAGATGGTGATGATGATTGTTGAGGATAGTGTGTCGCTTGATGGTGATGATGATTGTTGAGGATAGTGTGCCGCTTGATGGTGATGATGATTGTTGAGGATAGTGTGCCGCTTGATGGTGATGATGATTGTTGAGGATAGTGTGCCGCTTGATGGTGATGATGATTGTTGAGGATAGTGTGCCACTAGATGGTGAGAATGATTGTTGAGGATAGTGTGCTGCTTGATGGTGATGATGATTGTTGAGGATAGTGTGCTGCTTGATGGTGATGATGATTGTTGAGGATAGTGTGCCGCTTGATGGTGATGATGATTGTTGAGGATAGTGTGCTGCTTGATGGTGAGAATGATTGTTGAGGATAGTGTGCCACTAGATGGTGATGATGATTGTTGAGGATAGTGTGCCACTTGATGGTGATGATGATTGTTGAGGATAGTGTGCCACTTGATGGTGATGATGATTGTTGAGGATAGTGTGCCACTAGATGGTGATGATGATTGTTGAGGATAGTGTGCCACTAGATGGTAATGATGATTGTTGAGGATAGTGTGCCGCTAGATGGTGATGATGTTTGTTGAGGATAGTGTGCCGCTTGATGGTGATGATGATTGTTGAGGATAGTGTGCCGCTTGATGGTAATGATGATTGTTGAGGATAGTGTACCACTTGATGGTGATGATGATTGTTGAGGATAGTGTGCCGCTTGATGGTGATGATGATTGTTGAGGATAGTGTGCCGCTTGATAGTGATGATGATTGTTGAGGATAGTGTGCCGCTTGATGGTGATGATGATTGTTGAGGATAGTGTGCCGCTTGATGGTAATGATGATTGTTGAGGATAGTGTGCCGCTTGATGGTAATGATGATTGTTGAGGATAGTGTGCCGCTTGATGGTGATGATGGTTGTTGAGGATAGTGTGCCGCTTGATGGTGATGATGATTGTTGAGGATAGTGTGCCGCTTGATGGTAATGATGATTGTTGAGGATAGTGTGCCGCTTGATGGTGATGATGATTGTTGAGGATAGTGTGCCGCTTGATGGTAATGATGATTGTTGAGGATAGTGTGCCGCTTGATGGTAATGATGATTGTTGAGGATAGTGTGCCGCTTGATGGTGATGATGATTGTTGAGGATAGTGTGCAGGATTAGAAGAAGAAATAACCAATTTTGTCAATGAAGTATTGACTATAACATGCTTATATAAAGACTTAGTTTTTTTCTTTCTTACTTGCTGTACGTGGGAGATTATAATTATTGTGCATGTTAAGTAAAAGTAAAGAATTTTGTTGAGTAAAGTCATCATATCCAGATATAAACTGTGGTTGCTAAGGAGAATTATGTGAAGGTGAGGTACAGAAAGATGCATATAACTAAACAATAATGGCACTTATATTTTAAAAAGTGTCAGATTTGTAAGAAAAATGGCATGTAGTTTCCAAATATGCACTAATAAAAAATGTCAATTTTCATCATTTAAAAAAAAGGGGGAGGGGGGGGGGGGGGGGTTGACCTTAAAATGTTTCTTTTCCAGTCAGATTACAAATACATGTGATGACATACTTATATAATGATTTACTTTAATGTGATTCAAGTCAAAAAACCAAAACATGTTTCACAAGTAAAGTATGTCAGGAAGATATTTACTGGACGTTTAGAATGTTTTTTACCCTTTCTTATCAAGACATTTACACTCCACATTAAACTGACACATTTGTCACAGAACCCGATCAAGTATCCGGTGTGGATACATGCGGACGTGCTACAAGGTCCCCATGGCAGCAAGCCAGTGATAGACTACCACCGATTCTTTGCTTCACTGAAACGTTTGTTTCCCAAGTATGAAGGGTTTTTGTTTTGTTACTGTTTTTCTAAAAGCTCTTTTTATCCTAAACAATGGACCATGTGTAATTGCTTAGATTATTTTCATTGTCTGTGTGTGGATCAGGTCACAGTCAACCTGCTATGTGTGAGTGCTTGATTGTTGTCATTGTATGTGTGTATATAAGGTAGCATTCAACCTGCTATTATGTGTGAGTGCTTAGATTATTTTCATTGTATGTGTGTATATAAGGTAGCATTCAACCTGCTATTATGTGTGAGTGCTTAGATTATTTTCATTGTATGTGTGTGGATCAGGTCACAGTCAACCTTATGTGTGATTGCATCTCTCACATTTAGTCTCAGCAACTGAAGAGATTTGACAATATATTTATTTATTTGGTTTCTGTGAAACTAAGTAACTGAACACATCAAACTGGGAAGGCTAACCCGGTCAATAAATGCCCGCAGAAGTCGGATGTGTTGGTCAAAATGGTGCAAATATCGCAGCCATGCTGTAAACAGACACAACACAATTACATCTTTGGATGAATGCAGAAGAAGAAGAACACATGAAACTCTAGACTAGAAAGCTCAACGACATCACTTTTATGAAACTAAGTAACTTCAACACAAACAGAATATAAATTAGAGGCTGATGGAGCCTAGAATGCTGTTGTGGCTCTTCATCAGTCTACGAAGGCTGAGGTGGTTGGATCACACCTGGAGATTAGAAGATGGTAGAGTCCCTAAGGACATTCTTTATGGTGAGTTACAGATGGGCCTTTACTATGATATAAACAATTGGGTAAGCGGGACATGAATGATGCAGGTATTGAGATAGATAGATTGTGACAAAATGCCAAGGACTGTGTTGAGTGGAGAGGGCATATCAGAAGGGGAATAAGAATGAAGAAGTGATTGCTGAAAGGATGAGAGCTGAGCTTCTGAGAAGAAACACGCTAAATACATATGATGGCAACAACGGACCTAAAATCCCATGCTATAGTTGTGGAAGACTTTTTTTTTTTAACGCTGGCGGGTCTTGCTGGTCACACTCACCATAGCTATGGGTTGTGAGTCCCACCAAAGCTTCTCACAGAATAACAATAGAATCTGGAAAGATGGTACTGTACCAACAACAATTGTCTGTTACTTGCCATAGCTATGGGTTGTGAGTCCCACCAAAGCTTCTCACAGTATAACACTAGAATCTGGAAAGATGGTACTGTACCAACAACAATTGTCTGTTACTTGCCATAGCTATGGGTTGTGAGTCCCACCAAAGCTTCTCACAGAATAACAATAGAATCTGGAAAGATGGTACTGTACCAACAACAATTGTCTGTTACTTGCCATAGCTATGGGTTGTGAGTCCCACCAAAGCTTCTCACAGTATAACACTAGAATCTGAAAAGATGGTACCGCACCAACAATTGTCTGTTACTTGAAATCAACCACCCCCCCCCCCCCAATAAAAGTTCACACCGATCATCTGATTAAGTATGGATTAAAACAGAGATATCATTGAGGAGGTATCATGAATTTGTTTGTGTTATACAGGTGCACACTGTCTCTAGGCTGGACCACCGGCACCCACACGGACCTGTCACAGAGCGCCTACACCTGGGACATGGTCTGGGACATGCTGGATCTGGTGGAGGCCGCCCAGTTCAAGGACCAAATTATTGTCTTCCAGGTCGGTACCTATTTTTGTTGTTGTTGTTATTGTTGTTGTTATCTGAGAGGAATGGGTAAAATAACATTTACAGAGATTTAAAAAAAAAATTGAAAATGAGAATTGCCAGATAGTATCTATACTCAACCCTGCTGTATGGTGCAGAAACCTGGACAATGAACAAGCAGTTATTAACTCAGACTGGGCTCTGGAGATATGGCTAAAGGTACAGAAGAACTGATTGTGTATGGAAATAACAGTCAGATACAAAGATTTTAGAGAGACTGGGAATTGAAAAAAGGTTGTTGAAAGAAATTAAAAAGGGAAATATTTTGATCACATTAAAGTGAATACCGCTCTTATTAAAGCAATAATAGAGGGAAACATTGAAGTTTGCAAGCAAAGATTAGACAGTGAAACACCTTGGAGGATAGCATTAGGTTATGGTCACACTACAATCTGAGAGAGTATCCCAGCATACAACAGTCTGAGGGGGTAGGACAGGAGTCTCTACATGTGAAGAGATCCAGTGCAGCCAGCCTCCATTGTGGATTGATTGATTTGTTATTTTTGAGAGATGATAATAGCATAGTGGTTGCTGCTCATGTTTACTATTACTAGACTTGTAGTTTAGATACAATCTCCAACCAGTGGAGGGTACATTTCTTCTAGCCTGTGGGAGGGCCTATTTCTTCCAACCAGTGGAGGGCCCATCTCTTCTAGTCAGTGGGAGGATCCATTTCTTTTAGCCAGTGGGAGGGTCCATTTTTTCTAGCCAGTGGGAGGATCCATTTCTTCTAGCCAGTGGGAGGGTCCCTTTCTTCTAGCCAGTGGGAGGGTCCATTTCTTCTAGCCAGTGGGAGGGTCCATTTCTTTTAGCCAGTGGGAGGGTCCATTTCTTCTAGCCAGTGGGAGGGTCCATTTCTTCTAGCCAGTGGGAGGATCCATTTCTTCTAGCCAGTGGGAGGGTCCATTTCTTCTAGCCAGTGGGAGGGTCCATTTCTTCTAGCCAGTGGGAGGGTCCGTTTCTTCTAGCTAGTGGGAGGGTCCGTTTCTTCTAGCCAGTGGGAGGGTCCATTTCTTCTAGCCAGTGGGAGGGTCCATTTCTTCTAGCCAGTGGGAGGATCCATTTCTTTTAGCCTGTGGGAGGGCCCATTTCTTTTAGCCAGTGGGAGGGCCCATTTCTTCTAGCCAGTGGGAGGGTCCATCTCTTCTAGCCAGTGGGAGGGCCCATTTCTTCTAGCCAGTGGGAGGGTCCATTTCTTTTAGCCAGTGGGAGGGTCCATTTCTTCTAGCCAGTGGGAGGGTCCATTTCTTTTAGCCAGTGGTAGGGTCATTTCTTCTAGCCAGTGGGAGAGTTATTTCTTCTAGCCAGTGGGAGGGTCCATTTCTTCTAGCCAGTGGGAGGGTCCATCTCTTCTAGCCAGTGGGAGGGTCCATTTTTTCAAGCCAGTGGAAGAAGTCATCAAGTATTTGATCAAAGCCTGTGTGTTAAGTGTTTGCAGGTAGTTAGATTTGATTTAGTTTTAAATGTGGGTAAAAAGTAACTCAGAAACAGCAAAGAAAACTACCAAGAATCTAATACCAGACTGACACTGGACAGGACGCATATTGAGAAAATCTGGTAATAGTATAACTAGAACATCCTCACCCTGGAATCCACAGGACAAAAGAGATCAGTAAAAACATAAAATGACAAGGAGAAATGCATTAGAGGAAGGTATAGATAATTTGGGGGAGATCAGAATCAGCTGTGGGAAGTGGCAAGAGTAAGAACAACAACATGGCAGCATTTGACTGAGGTGATTGGATTTTGTGAAGCTCATTTCTAGTTGTCTGATGCTGAATAATGTTCTTGTCCATCCAGGCTAGACTGTCCCTGATTCACAACTCTGTGCCACAGCTGAAGTGGTTGTACGACAACGTCAAACTGTCCAGTGTCATCATCTTACACCAGGAAGGCGATGTGACTTTCAATGAGGATGTCATGTATGTGGCTTATCGATTCCCTCCTCATGGCATCTACTTCGATTTGAACCATGAGAGGTTCCAGACCTTGCTGGAGCAGTACCGGCACTTCTCCCGAGACAAGGTGAGCCATCTGGTGCTGAAGAGAGATGAAGTCATGTTCAAACCTAACGGCTGGCTGAAGATGGGCTTCCACAAACAGAAACAGTCCATCCTGGCCAGCTCAGAGGCAATTATCCTGACTGTTTCCATTGTCCACATCGTGTCCAAGTCTACCTACCTGCCCACTCCAGAAATCTCCATCCAGGGCCGGATACAGTTCTTCAACAGACACAACAGAGAGGCAGAGGGTTACAAAACAGGTGTCAACATTTATGTGCGCCCAACTGAGTACAGCCATTTTGACAATATTGTTGCAATCAGATGCTTCATTGGGGTCGGAGGGGAGATTGAAGTGACTGGAAGTAATCTTCCTGAGAATACACCAAACTTCCGAAAATCTGCCCGGGTAACTCCGACATCTGCAAACTGTTACAGGTTTAAAATCACGGATGAGAGGACCCAGATTTTATTTGCAGTGAAGTCACTTCATGGTTGTACAACATTAGAGAGCGTTGCAGAGGAAGACGAGCTTGTAGCGTTGTTGACAGTCCCATTGCCATCGGGGTTGGACAGCGATAAACAGCATCCATTTGTCATCAAACTGGAGGACTCCAATAGACAAGTGTTGATCGATGAGCTAAGTATTAGACACACAAACTGAACATGTCTGTGGGTGAAAGAATTGAGAGCTGAAACTGAACATGTCTGTAGGGTGAAAGAATTGAGGGCTGAAACTGAACATGTCTGTGGGTGAAAGAATTGATGGCTGTGTAACAGACACACAAACTGAACATGTCTGTGGGTGAAAGAATTGATGGCTGAGTAACAGACACACAAACTGAGCATGTCTGTGGGTGAAAGAATTGAGGGCTGAGTAACAGACACACAAACTGAACATGTGTGTGGGTGAAAGAATTGAGGGCTGAGTAACAGACACACAAACTGAGCATGTCTGTGGGTGAAAGAATTGAGGGCTGAGTAACAGACACACAAACTGAACATGTCTGTGGGTGAAAGAATTGATGGCTGAGTAACAGACACACAAACTGAACATGTCTGTGGGTGAAAGAATTGAGTGCTGAGTAACAGACACACAAACTGAACATGTCTGTGGGTGAAAGAATTGAGGGCTGAGTAACAGACACACAAACTGAACATGTCTGTGGGTGAAAGAATTGAGGGCTGAGTAACAGACACACAAACTGAGCATGTCTGTGGGTGAAAGAATTGAGGGCTGAGTAACAGACACACAAACTGAACATGTCTGTGGGTGAAAGAATTGAGGGCTGAGTAACAGACACACAAACTGAACATGTCTGTGGGTGAAAGAATTGATGGCTGAGTAACAGACACACAAACTGAACATGTCTGTGGGTGAAAGAATTGAGGGCTGAGTAACAGACACACAAACTAAGCATGTGTGTGGGTGAAAGAATTGAGGGCTGAGTAACAGACACACAAACTGAACATGTCTGTGGGTGAAAGAATTGAGGGCTGAGTAACAGTCAATCCAACATATCAGGAGCTGGCAAATGTAAATTGGTATTTTATTGTTTCTGCCAGATAATTATTTTGTTTGTAATATACAATTTGTAATGAGAGATATGTAGCCATTTTTTGAAAGCACCATGATTACTGATTGTAACAGGGAATCATATTTCTGTGTGGACAGACATATTGCTGGTGTGGGGGCTTATGGAGAGAACTACACAAGTTTAAGGGAATGAAGAGGTGAGGGAAAAGATTCTGGCTGTAGATGAGAAACATTCAGAATGCCAGATAATAGTGTTGATAGAATGGCATTACACTGGAACTCACGGTGTAAAAAAAAAAATGGAGGAAAGTACCAAAACTGCATAGAGAATAGAATAAGCAATAGAAACATATAATGAGCTAAAGAATGGCATTACACTGGAACTCACGGTGTTAAAAAAAAATGGATACAAGAATAGAATACAGCATACAAGACAGCATGAGTTGATTGTGGGAAAATGCTCTAAGATAGATACTGGGCAGAAGAGCTCTTCACATTCCAGAGTCAGTATTCTGACTCCCAACATTTATTTGTGAAATCATTGTTGTTTCATTCAATTATTCTGGACAATTATATTGTGTTTATGTCAACATATTTGTGAATTTTGGTTGTTGTAAGTGTGAACAACTGGTTCTGCTGCATGTGTTCATATGAGTATATATTATGTATTTTTCACATTATGTACAATAATTATACGTATATAAACTAATTTGTGTGTTTTATTTACATTTGTTTACACTTTGTTTAAATAAAAATAGTGTTGAAAAATATAAAATTAAATTCCAACATGTCAGTCGGAACGTAACTCAGTCGCAGGTCAAGGAGACCCTGCATAAGTGATATAGTCGAGATTGAAGTCTGTAAATATTGGAATAATTAGACAAGACTTCTTTGCTGTACATTGTAGATCTGACATTGCTGCTGCCAGGTTGTCAGCATTTACTGGTTTGTTTACTGAGACACCTCATACATATTAAACACATTTGTGATACTTTATTTTAAATCGTCCTACTGGTTTGTATTTGAATGCTGTGATTGATTGAAGCCTCTGTTATTACTTGTGGCTGTCGACACAAGCCCCAACCAACGTGCACTTTCTGTACAAAAACTGTACTACGCTGCTACCTGTGACTATACCACAGAGACTATTCGCGCCTGTGACTATACCACAGAGACTATTCGCACCTGTGACTATACCACAGAGACTATTCGCACCTGTGACTATACCACAGAAACTATTCACACCTGTGACTATACCACAGAGACTATTCGCGCCTGTGACTATACCACAGAGACTATTCGCACCTGTGACTATACCACAGAAACTATTCACACCTGTGACTATACCACAGAGACTATTCGCACCTGTGACTATACCACAGAGACTATTGGCACCTGTGGGGTCACAAATGACCTCCAGCTGATTTAACACCCTAATAATGACACACAACCTTTATCATCTGACACAACATTGACATCTCTGAAAGGGCTCCCATGTAATAGATCCACTAACACACAGCAACCAACTACAGTCAAGTCTGGATAAGTAGAAGTCACAGGGACTAGGAAAATGCCTCCACTGATCAGGACTTCTACTGATCCAGACAGCACACACAATTGAGATAATTGCTGGGACTAAGCTAGACATGCTAACCCAAATTCAACTTATCCAAATTCAACTTAAGTAAACTCGACTGTACTCATCAGTTAGTGGCTGTCCAGTTTGGTTCACTGTTATATTTCTATCAAACTGGATCTTTTGGGGGAACTTTGAATTCAACTATCACTGTCGATTCTTGGCGTCGAATGAACTTGTTTGGTCTGGTTGTGAAAGAGGACAGCCAGGCTCTGGGGTTTGGGGGTGAGTGAACTTATTTCTCAATCCAGGATGCATCAAGATTCCATTTCCTGTGTGGATGGTTTAGAAAAGATGCTGCTTTGGTTTGAGCATCAGTACATCATTTTCCCAAAGACCTCCATTGTGAACAGGTAAATACAGTGGGTGTGATACATTCATTGATAGTCAGTGGGTGTGATGCATTCATTGATGCAGTGGGTGTGATGCATTCATTGATACAGTGGGTGTGATGTAGTCATTGATACAGTGGGTGTGATGTATTCATTGATGCAGTGGGTGTGATGTAGTCATTGATACAATGGGTGTGATGTATTCATTGATGCAGTGGGTGTGATGTAGTCATTGATACAGTGGGTGTGATGTATTCATTGATGCAGTGGGTGTGATGCATTCATTGATACAGTGGGTGTGATGTAGTCATTGATACAGTAGGTGTGATGTATTCATTGATGCAGTGGGTGTGATGTAGTCATTGATACAGTGGGTGTGATGCATTCATTGATACAGTGGGTGTGATGTAGTCATTGAAACAGTGGGTGTGATGTAGTCATTGATACAGTGGGTGTGATGTAGTCATTGATACAGTGGGTGTGATGTAGTCATTGATGCAGTGGGTGTGATGTAGTCATTGATACAGTGGGTGTGATGTAGTCATTGATACAGTGGGTGTGATGTAGTCATTGATGCAGTGGGTGTGATGTATTCATTGATACAGTGGGTGTGATGCAGTCATTGATACAGTGGGTGTGATGCAGTCATTGATACAGTGGGTGTGATGCAGTCATTGATACAGTGGGTGTGATGCAGTCATTGATACAGTGGGTGTGATGTAGTCATTGATACAGTGGGTGTGATGTATTCATTGATACAGTGGGTGTGATGTAGTCATTGATACAGTGTGTGGGTGTGATGTAGTCATTGATACAGTGGGTGTGATGTATTCATTGATACAGTAGGTGTGATGTAGTCATTGATACAGTAGGTGTGATGTAGTCATTGATACAGTGGGTGTGATGTAGTCATTGATACAGTAGGTGTGATGTAGTCATTGATACAGTGGGTGGGTGTGATGTAGTCATTGATACAGTGGGTGTGATGTAGTCATTGATACAGTGTGTGGGTGTGATGTAGTCATTGATACAGTGGGTGGGTGTGATGTAGTCATTGATACAGTGTGTGGGTGTGATGTAGTCATTGATACAGTGTGTGGGTGTGATGTAGTCATTGATACAGTAGGTGTGATGTAGTCATTGATACAGTGGGTGTGATGTAGTCATTGATACAGTGTGTGGGTGTGATGTAGTCATTGATACAGTGGGTGATGTATCATTGATCCAGTGTGTGGGTGTGATGGTCAGCTACAGTGGGTGTGATGTAGTCATTGATACAGTGGGTGTGATGTAGTTGATACAGTTTGGGTTCACTGCTCAGTGTGTGGGTGCATGTAATCATTGATACAGTGGGTGGGTCCCATGTAGTCATTGATACAGTGGTTGGGTGTGATGCATTTGCTCATCAAGACAAATGACTTGGGCCAGTCCCTGGCAAAGTAGTCATTGATACAGTGGGTGTGATGTAGTCATTGATACAGAGGTGTGATGTGTCTTGATCACAGTGCGTGTGATGCAGTCATTGATACAGTCTAGACCAGTCATTGATACAGTGGGTGTGCATGCAACCTTGATGGCAACTGTAGTCCTTTCCACACCACTGCTCTCACAAACTGCACTAATCATGTATGCAGCCCAGCTTTAATGGTTCATGTTAGTGCAGCTCACAAGACAAATGACTTGGGCCAGTCCCTGGCAAAGGCAGAGTAGCCAGTGGCTGGGCAGTTCCATGGCTCTGAGTGCCTGCTTATATCACACTTGTGCACTGCAGATCAAACAAGTCTAGACCAGAAATGTGACAGGCTGTTGCATGCAACTGACAGCAACAAGTTGATCCACACCAGCACAGCTATAACTTAATGTATGCAGCACAGCTATAACTTAATGTATGCAGCACAGCTATAACTTAATGTATGCAGCACAGCTATAACTTAATGTATGCAGCACAGCTATAACTTAATGTATGCAGCACAGCTATAACTTAATGTATGCAGCACAGCTATAACTTAATGTATGCAGCACAGCTATAACTTAATGTATGCAGCACAGCTATAACTTAATGTATGCAGCACAGCTATAACTTAATGTATGCAGCACAGCTATAACTTAATGTATGCAGCACAGCTATAACTTAATGTATGCAGCACAGCTATAAGCACAGCTTAATTTAATGTATGCAGCACAGCTATAACTTAATGTATGCAGCACAGCTATAACTTATATATGCAGCACAGCTATAACTTAATGTGTGCAGCACAGCTATAATTTAATGTATGCAGCACAGCTATAACTTAATGTATGCAGCACAGCTATAACTTAATGTATGCAGCACAGCTATAACTTATATATGCAGCACAGCTATAACTTAATGTATGCAGCACAGCTATAATTTAATGTATGCAGCACAGCTATAACTTAATGTATGCAGCACAGCTATAACATGTGTATGAAGCACAAAATAAACACTAAGAAAATTTAGTTTTTTATGTAAATAAAAAAGAAAAAAACAAGATGATCACATCTCAAGGAATGTTGCAACCCTGACAAAAATTCTACAAGATCAGAAAGTTTTCACTAAAAACAACACATGCAGGCAGATATTTTCTGGGTATTTGAGTTATAGCTAGCGGTATTTCCAGTCTGTGTCTGAACATTATATATTAAGCACTTTTCATAAAATGTGCTTTTCAAGTAACTTTGCTAGTAAGGTAGGTCACCCTGGTTAATGTCAAATGATCATACTCAGGGATTTTTCCTTACAAAATAGCTGATACTGCTCACTACAAAGTGGCTAAAAAACAAGGCAGTACTGACAACAAAGTGACTAAAAAACGAGGCAGCACTGGCAACAAAGTGTCTTTTAAAAAAAAGGAGCAGTACTCGCGAAAATAGGTCTAAAAAAGAGGAGGAAGTACTCAGCACAAAGTGTCTATTACAGCAGCACTGAACAAAATTATCCTTACAAAAAAATCCATTGATCCCGCTATAACTGTATACAATTTACATGTGCCATTAGTGTTGATTCCTTGTAAGAAACAAGATGGTGACCAGATCGGTCAGAGAGAGAGAAAACAGATTATTTGTAATTGTCATTACTGCACTATGGACAAGCCAGTGAGTACGCAGTCTCACCCAGCAGAAGTGACAACCTTGTAAGCTGCTTGATTACATGCTAGAGCAATCCTTACCTGTTAAATGTGACAGTAACAGAACACCCCCCATCAGTACAATAGCACAAACTCCAAACTGAGGCGTGGAGTGAAATAGAGTGAATGCCTGTAATAAAGGCTGCATGGGAAGACAACAGACTGGACATGGACTTATGTCTCAACAACTGGAAGTTCATTAGATTACAATTATGTTTCAGATGTATTCTCAAGTACATTTAACAGACTAAACAATATGTATTCTCACAAACATATAACAGATTAAACAATATGTATTCTCACGTACACAGACTGAACAATATATATTGTCCAGTACATATAACAGACTAAACAATATGTATTCTCACGTACATATAATAGACTAACCAATATGTATTTTCACATACATATAACAGATAACCAATATGTATTTTCACATACATATAACAGACTAAACAATATGTTTTCTCAGGAACATATAACAGACTAAACAATATGTATTCTCAAGTACATTTAACAGACTAAACAATATGTACTCTCACGTACATATAACTGGCTAAACTATATGTATTCTCATGTACATATAACAGACTAAACAATATGTATTCTTAAGTACATATAACAGACTAAACAATATATATTCTCACGCACATATAACAGACTAAACAATATGTTTTCTCACGTACATATAACAGTCTAAACTGTATATATTCTCAAGTACATTTAACAGACTAAATAATGTGTATTCTCACGTACATATAAGAGACTAAATAATATGTATTCTCCCGTACATATAACAGACAAAACAATATGTATTCTCAAGTACATATAACAGACTAAACTATATATTCTCACGCACATATAACAGACTAAACAATATGTATTCTCTCGTACATATAACAGACTTAACAATATGTATTCTCACGTACACATAAGAGACCAAATAATATGTATTCTCCCGTACATATAACAGACAAAACAATATGTATTCTCAAGTACATATAACAGACTAAACAATATATATTCTCACGCACATATAACAGACTAAACAATATGTATTCTCTCGTACATATAACAGACTAAACAAGATTCATTAATACCCAACATATAGTTTGTTTACAATTTCAACAAGAAATCATGCCAGAAACATTCCAAACAGCAGAAATTCACTGGTCAGGTTAAACAAACTTTTATGTACATGGAAATTAGTTTCAACTGTTAAAAATCACTGGTTTCAGCAGTGTTTTAATTATAAAATACTATTTTAAAGTCCAGAATTAAAAAACAAAAACAAGTTTATTATTTCAATCAAATTAATTGTTCAGTTGTGTAAAAAAAAAAAAAAAAAAATAAATAAAACATTGCAACGGTAACCACACAGTGAAACAGTCAACATAATTGATATACTTTATTGTTTGAACGGGTAAAAAAAAAAATACTTATATTCTTGTAGTCACTCCTACAGTCTTTCTTTCCCAGGCACCTCATTTCCATGGTTACTAATTTGGGCTCTCCTCCGAACTTGGTCCCGATATTATGGCGGCCATAAAATATCCTTACGGGGCTCAGTTCTATTAAAAATATGCTGGCTCTGTATAACGAAACAAATGCTCTAACAGGGTCTCAGCGATATATTACTTGCGGACCTGTTTCTGTGACTGCCTCACGAACAGCAGCTACCGCATCTCCTGCAACTTCCTCCAATTAATTTGCTCGCGAGTCCCAGGCACCGTTTAGCCCCGCTCGGCAGTGAGTTTAATTGCGTTTTGCGCATGCCGAAAAGTGTGAGGATACAGGTCCGCAGGTCTTACATCAACCGCTGCTAAATCCTCAATCGGAAGAACAGTATTGCTAATCTGCGTGGGAGCGCGTGGTCTACCTACCATATCACTTTCATCGTCTGTAATGTCTCGAAATTGTCAATAGTCGCTATTATTGTCTGCAGAAACGCTCGAAATTGTCAACGGTTGCTTTTATTGTCTGCTACTATCGTCTGCAATGTTGAGTCTCTTGAAATTGTCAAGTAATCCTAGTTTTGCCGCAATTTGTTCCTTGGCAGAAAGTCCGCATTTTACATATGCCTGAGCCCCGTAAGGATATTTTATGGCCACCATAATATCGGGACCAAGTTCGGAGGAGAGCCCTAATTTGCTTTTATGTTTTGTTATGCTGGAAGAGGGGGGATAACTGTCCCAATACTTGACCAGCTTTACTACAGGCTGACTCTGACCAATCGGGAATGTTGTTTGTCTTATTGGGCCACACTGATTGGATTTCTTCTTATTCAACTTGGTGACTTGGCATTGGGAACTGTGTGGCCAATGTTGAGGTGATTCAAAGAATCATACCTTGATCTGTCTCCACAGAATGGCTGTTCCCCTGCTGAGAGTGGCTGTTCCCCTGCTGAGAGTGGCTGTTTCCCTGCTGAGAGTGGCTGTTCAACTACAGACAGTGAGCTTTCAACTACAGACAGTGAGCATTCACCTATTGACAGCATTTAAAAAAAAGCAACACTGTAGCTGTCCTCCTCTTTTTCTCCATCCCAGACCATTTCAATGCATAAGTTGACCTCCAAGGTCATAAAGGTAACAATAAAAACAAGTCTTACTGGAAATGAACCAGACCATTCTTTCAGTAAGCAAATGGTATGCCACATCTTCAGAGGATACAAACATGATATTGAAAACCATAACAGTAGAAAAATGTTACAAAACACCTGATAAAGTTACTGATCACAGAAGACACATGATATAGCAGTGTAATGTATACTTTCAAGTTTCCTTATTTGTTCAGTGTTACTCTATTCAGAACAAACTTGCCAATTTGGGCGATAACTGTATCTGACGAGAGCAGGTGTTGCTTGCTTCTAAACTCAACAGGGTCCGGATGTGTCCAGTGTATGGCCAGGGCGTCTGCCTGCCAGTTCACTTGTATGGGGTTCAGGTGGTCTGTGCTGTCTTGCTTGTAGTCTGGCAGCCATGTGGCATGACATGTGTTTAAAGCACACAGGATCTGAACAAAAGAGATAAGAGTTTCATTAAGGAAGATAGCTGGGTACTACTCTGTAATCTAGAAGACGAGAGAATATTACTGACATTCTACAAACATTGGAGGCTACTCGCTCACAGACAGCATCATGTCTCAAGACAAATATGTCTGCCATGTGTCAAATTGATAAGACAGAACAACAACGGAAGGTTTGGTTCCTGGATGAAGGAAGTGGACAAGATTGCCAGCACGTAGGGGACCACCCTGAGAAATGAACTGCTGGATACACCCCCAGAGTGACAACACAACAAGCAGGAGAGTAAGCCAGGGTATCAGTTTTCCAGTGGGCTGTAGTGGCAGCAACACTCTACACACAACCTGCTCAATGGTGAGAATATAAACTATAATAAATCCATTTATTGTCACAAGTGATTCAGTGCCTAAAGACTTGCACAAAACATTTGCAATGTTCCATCCTACCACAAATCTAGTTTTTAATGACTGCTTATAAAATTATGTGGGCAAAATAATGCAGTGGTTTCTCTTTGACTGTCACATCCAATATTATTCCTGGAGTGCCTGGTGTAGAACTTACAGTGACCCATCATGAGTCTCTGCTCCTCTCTGTGATGTGATATTTAGATGAGGCTGGTGTTACTCATCATTCGTAGCCCAGTCATTCACATTTATCTTTCCGTCTTCCTCCGTCTCTCTTGCTTTGTATTTCCCCAAATAAACTTCTTTGTTCCATTTCTCCTGTTGATACATCTCATCTCTCTGGTGGGTTCCAGCAACCCAATGTGGAGGATAAAAAAGAAACCCATTACCTCTAAACAAGCTTGCTGCAAATGACAATAAATTAACTGTTCATGGAAACTGGATTTGTTGGACCAAAAGGCAAAGATCCTGCAGCCTATCTGTAAACCACAACACAATATGCCACCTTCCTTTAAGAGCAAACATGGAAAAGTATATCATTATTCAAGTATAAAAACAACAGTACTGAAATGAGAATAGAAATTACCTGTAGATGTCTGTCTACATTTAAGGAGCGAGGCTGTTTCTCATAAACTTTGTACGGAATATGAATGGCATTGTACGACCAGTCACGGTCTAGATACCATCTGTAGGACTCCAGGAAATGTCTCAAAAAGGGAGCCCCGGGCGCTGACACTAAAACCCCTAAATTAAACACATCTGGAAAAGCACCTGTTTCTGGCCAGTCAACAGAGGCTGTGGTTTGGTGAAGTCTCATGGTATGTGGCAGTTGTTGAAGGAATATGACATCCCAGTCTGCGTAAACACCTCCATATCTAAGAAGTATATCACCTCGAAGATAATCACTGGCATGTGATGCAAATCTTTTGATTGGTTCACCAAAAACTGAAGTTGGAAAATCCCGATGGATGAATTTAACTCTAGGGTGCTGCTTGAGCTCTGTCCAGAAGTCACCTAGTGGCTTGTGATCCCCGTGAACATAGACTGTGTCAGCGCCGAGGACATACAAACTGCTCATGACACTGAGATAGGCAAAAAAGTTCAGCTGATTCTGGCCCAGCCAAACATAATGAACTATGTTTGGCACAATCACACTGTCTGAAGGAGCAGACATTAACCAACCTGATGTCCCATAACTGATCCAGCGAGCCAGCCTATGGAACTGGGAAGAACTGTTGAATACAAACACAGGAAATATATCCTCCTGGACGTAGACACAGACATCGCGGTCCAACAAAGAAAACATTCCAGCGCTGCTGCAGCGATAATATTTGGAGTCGTGTGATTGGAGGAACGATTTTAACGAATCTTCTGTAGGAACTTTCTGGACCACTTTTGCCTGAGCCGTTACGATCAGTGGTTCCAATGTATTATCATCTTTTTGAACAGAAATACTGATCTTCTTGCTCAGCAGATTCACTAAAGCAGGTGAAGGAGCTAAAACCGTTCTTCCATTGATTACAATGCCTCCTGCACTGCCTACAATACTCAAATAAGCAACTGTTTTTTCTTCAGCATTGCCGTAACAGGCATATTTAGAGGGCAAGTTTCTGATAATCAAAGGAGGAAGGTCTCTCAGCAGATCTGGAAGAAACTGAAAATATCCATCAGGATCAATGTATGGTTGCCTGATTAAATGTAGATATAATACTGATGGACTGATGACTTTAAAAGATGCTAGTACACTTAAATAATGTGTGAATGTAAAGGGACCGGAATCGCACCAAATAATGTGAACAACAGGGGTAGTTTGGGAAGACAACGAACTTTGCAGGATGTGACTGTGTAGATACAAGTCAAGTTGTTGTGGCTGCTCCAGTGTCTGTCTGGAGAGTGTTATACTTACATTAGTTAAGTCTGGACCATGAAAAAAGTGGCTGGGAAACACCGGAACAAATCCATGAAACAATTTTACTGGATCCAGCAGGGGTTTCATATTCGGACAACCGATGTTGTACACCAAAATATTCAGAAGCCCAAGCAATATGGAGCTGGCAACGCTAATACTGAAGCGGTGTGCCGATAGCCAATGCATAAGTTGCTTCCCTTTGCGTGTCACCATGACAACCAAGGCTAAGAGTGCCACTGCCATAGCGAGTATACGCCTCCAAGACAAGCGACATCTAAATTTCACCACCATGTCATCGCTGTCTGTCCTGTTTCAGAAGAAAAAAAAATTCAGTATTTAATATAATAAAATTACAGAACTTATGAAAATATACACATTCATGACCTTCAGTGTTTTATGTTTTGTTGTTGTTATAAAAAACTCGCTCTTGCTGCTACGGTCCATTTCTAGACTCTACTGACATTGTGTGAGTGAAGACATCTCTGAGTGCCATATTGACCCACTCCTTCTCTACAAATAAAAAGCATGTCTTAGTGCAGTAGGTGACTAGACTAAGATTTATGTATTTCTTTCAAAGTCGGAGTGCATCAGCCTGAAAGTAGTAGACGAACCAACAATCTGCATACAAGTAAGCCACATTTGTAAAACGGATGTGCACACAACACTCAAAGGTTGTTCTGGTACAATAGCAAATTTCAGAAGTGGGCGAGTAGAAATGACTTTTTGTCCGCTGAACGCAAACAAGAATGAAAATGTTTCCTGCTGCGAAATATGGGCTCGCTCTATCCCTGCATTCCGTCGTAACGGTCGTTAACTATCTTGACTAAGACCAGAATTACTTACCAATAGATATATTAACGTTCTGGTTTCACTGTTTAGTTTGAAGAGCAAATAGGCTGTCTATATTTTGTAGCTACAGATACAAAACAAACAAGGGCAGAAGGACCATGATCACAACAACGGCTGCCTCTTCAATTGTTTGTTTTGTGATATAAAGTAATTGTTCCGTCCGTGGGTGTTTGTCTGCATTCACAGTTTTTTAACAGTGTAACCCAGAAGTGCATTCCTTCACTACGTGCATGCCGGGATTCGTTTACAAATGGCGGCTGGGAGATCCTGGCAAGACCTGACTTGATCTGGTAGTAAGTCATGCAAGAAACACCGCACAAACTACACCCCTGCAATGCTAAATTATCTATGATACCAAAGTAAATTGTAATTTTAGCAAGAAGACACCAGAATATTCATTTCCCGCTCAGTATATTGTTGGATAGGGAAGAATCCCTGAATACTGAATCTAATGTTAATCAAGTTTACTTAATGTAATATTACTTAGTAATAAAATATCTTGGCTCTCCTCCGAACTTCTGCTCGATATTATAGTAGATACTTTTGTCAAATTTTCAAAATGCCCTCTACACCAATAAAACCAGCACATTTAGATAGCTGTAAACAATCTCTTTCCAATGGTACCTCATTTAGGCTTGTATATCATTTCTCAGCTGAGATATGTAGGTTTTTGTGGAGATGAGATGTACAAAACAGCTGTCAAAAACTTGCGTCCCAGAAACAAGAAGTTTTCTCTGTGCAACCAAACTGCGCACTTATTGTTTTGGCTTTGTTTTCACTAGACAAGATGGCAGATAATTAGACACAGTCACATAATAGCGATTGCCTGAAAAATGTCACTGTAAATCTAAAAAGCCACTGATAAGAAAGAAATTTTATAAACAAATGTAAAATTGGACGGAGAATTCAATTATAACTAGCATTACCAGTACAAATAATGTTAAAGCCTAAAGCCAACATTGAATACTTACCGCTATTTTTAATAAAACTGATGTAACAGAAAAACAGAGGACGTCCGGCTGTCGTAGACATGAGCTGTTAATCGGGTTCGTTCCTGCCGTTTTCAGCTATTTATAGCTGGTGAAAATTACACCAATCGCAAAATTTCACGACAGATTGGGACCCATCCCAAAACCAGCCAACATTTCCCAAACAAGTTTCGAACGGTTTCCATGGTAACGGAAATTGCCAAAAGACCGCTAATTATGGCGGCAAAAACAAATACCCTTAAAGGGCCTCAGTCCTGTGCAAAATGCTGAATTTCTTTCGAGGAACAAATCTTAGAAAAACTAGGATTACTTGACAATTTCAAGATACGCAACATTACAGACGATAGTAGCAGACGATAATAGCGACCATTGACAATTTCGAGCGTTTCTGTAGATGATACTAGCAGACGATACTAACGACCATTGACAATTTTGAGACACGCAACATTACAGACAATAATATGGAGATGGCGGGTAGACCACGCGCTCAGACGCAGATTGGCGAAAGTGTTCTTCCGATTAAACTCACCGCCGAGCGTATCCCCCCGCGCTGCTATGCACGGATGGGGATCTAAACTAGATGCCTGGGACTCACGAGCAAATAAATTGGAGTAAATTGCAGGAGATGTGGTAGCTGCTGCTCGTGAGTCCCAGCCATCTAGTCTAGCCATATTCCGCACCGTGTGTAGCAGCACGGAGGATACTGTCGGCAGTGTGGCAATTTTGTAGAAACGGGTCTGCAATTAACATATTGCTGAGACCCTGTATTGAATTGTCAACTTCTTACATTCAGGTAAACAGTCACCTATATTGACTCAGCAGTCACACAGACTTAGCAGTGACTTACATTCTAAAAACTGGTACCATCACTTCTGTGGACAGGTAGAGCAGACAACCAAATGTATCCTTCAAGACTGAATACTTTTGTGTCAGTTGTAGGCAAAACTGTGTGGTCATATGTTTTGTCAGTTGTAGACTAAACAGTGGGTCATATGTTGTGTCAGTTGCAGACGAAACTGTGTGGTCAAATATTGTTTCAGTTACAGACTAAACAGTGGAGTCATATGTTGTATCAGTTATAGTATGAACTGGTTAGTAGAAACTTTCACAAACATCTTTTTGGGAGTCTCTCACTTACAGCTACATCAAATGTAAAATCCCCTAGTGTATCTAGGACCCACAGTTGAAGCAAAGAAAGCAACACTGATTTATGCATGTCATAGGAGGCTACTAAAGAGTGTCTCCATTGTGACTGGATGGCTCATCCTGTAAGAAACTAGATATAAAATCCGAGTAATCTTTAACAATTCGACATAGAGTTGGGTGTCAGTTCTTTGAAGGCAAACTCATTGAGATTTTAACTACTGAAGAAGATCAAGAAGAAAAAAGAAAAGAAATGAAGACAACCTTACTTATTGTGTGGACATTACTAGAGCAACAACAAGAATTTGTATGTTTTTCCCAACTATGTTGCCAGATTGCAGGTTTTGTTTTTGAAATGAAAATTGCATGTTTTTATTTTCAGAAATATGTCTAACATAACTACAGGACCTAGGACATTGACCATAGTCTGACAAAATTACAGGACCTAGGACGTTGACCGTAGACACTAGCCATGAAAGTACGCCTGGAAGTGTTGGCGTCCACTTGTATCAGACGCAAGAAACCATGGCCTCGGATTGTCTGGCTTGGGAAAGTGAGTTCATTGGTTTATATACTGCTTTAAATTGTTTCTGAAATTAGCGTTTATGTGGGGTGTCTGCTAGCTCACCAACACCAGTATACTGAGTCACCACACATCTGCAGTGGGTCACCCAAACAAGTGCCCTGGATCACCAACACAAGTGTACAGAGTCACCACACATCTGCAGTGGGTCACCCAGACAAGTGCCCTGGATCACCAACACAAGTGTACAGAGTCACCACACATCTGCAGTGGGTCACCCAAACAAGTGCACTGGATCACCAACACCAGTGTACAGAGTCACCACACATCTGCAGTGGGTCACCCAAACAAGTGCCCTGGATCACCAACACCAGTGTACAGAGTCACCACACATCTGCAGTGGGTCACCCAAACAAGTGCCCTGGATCACCAACACCAGTATACAGAGTCACCTACACAAAGGCACTGTGTTAGTTAGTTAGTTGACAGATTATCCTCATTGCACATCAAACCATTCAGTCCATCGGTGCTCACATCTCCTCATTGGCTGCTGAAGATGAGGACGGAGCATGCATGGGAATGGCCCGAGTGCTGTGATGTCAATTCTTGACTCAACTCAGCTCAACTGGTAAATCCTGTAGCGGCTCATGACACTAGTTCTGTGTTAGTTTTTTATTCTTCTTTGGCATCTTGCATGGTGCTCATGTCTGGCCACACCCCTTCTAACATGTGGTTCTTGCAGTCTGGTATGGTTGCAGATTCATGGTCATTGCTTGGCTGTCGCAGACGTCTTACTTCTGTGAAAGCATTCAGTATATCTGCCTGGTGCATGGCTCATACCCCTTCCACAGGGGCTTTAACTGCAAGCCTATCAACTCCCTCATTTCCTTGCATGCCCTGGCACAAATATTAAACTGATATGCGTCAGCCCCTACCACTTTATAGACTACAGCCACTGTCTTTGGACCCAGGCCATTTCTGTCTTCTTAAGCATACTCATTGAGTCACTGAGACAGCATGCCCAGGAAAAGGTCTGTGTCTCCAGCCATGTTACTGCTTTGGTCACTACCATGACCTCCATAGTCAGACTACTTCTGAACAAGGCAATATCACCAGAATTTTGCTTTAGAATTCTAACTCCAACCTGAGCCGTAAAGTCCTATAAGCTTCTCATATGGCGAATTACAGACCCATCTGTGTAAATGGCCGCTTCCCCCTGTAGAGAATTTTCGAAAACCAAAATCTGCACTTCTGCTTCAATAGCTGCTGGACTTTCTTGTCTGCTTTTTTGTGTCTAATCGAATGCAGACAGAAAATGTCGTACAACACTCTGTTGGTACTTGTACCCATTCTACACCAGATGCTTTGTCCTCAAGTGAACACATCTTCTGATTAATATTATTGGACTGATCCATCCACGATTTTTCTCTTTTTAACCTGCTGCCTTTTTTCTTCTTAATTTCGCTATGCAGCGGGTGTTGTGTGTCTGTGTTGATTTTGAGGTAGGCACCTGCTTGGCAAATTTGAATTCTGTCCTCCATGGTTGGAAAATCAAGAAGGTGGCACATGCCCTGCATTCTGTATCTCTTCTACATCCAATAATAAAATCCTCTCCCTCTGCTTATGGCTGACAGTCAAGATCACCATTGCATACTCAAAGACAGAAAGGACCAGACCCTGATATAAGGGATATAAATGTTGCTGCTCACATTTTGTCACTGCCATTACTCACATTGCCACCAAGATTTTATTATGACCTAGTCTATGTGCTCAGTATAAGTCTGGGTCACCAACACAAGTGCACTAGGTCACCAACACAAGTGCAATGGGTCATCAACATACGTGCACTGCATCACCAACACATGTGCACTAGAGTCCCTAAACAGCTGTGTTGATTGTTTGCTGTCTCATAACTTGCTGACCTAATTCCTGATACCAGACACTGTGAGGCTAGCACCTCTCACCTGTGCCTGGAGTCTCTCTCAGTGCTGAAATGGTTTTGGGCACAATCGACCATGCTTGTCCTCCTCAAGGTCTAATAGAGCAGGAAAGTGTGAGGCTAGCATCTCTCACCTGTGCCTGGAGTCTCTCTCAGTGCTGAAATGGTTTTGGGCACAATCGACCATGCTTGTCCTCCTCAAGGTCTAATAGAGCAGGAAAGTGTGAGGCTAGCATTTTCACTTATGCCTGGATTGTCTCTCAGTGCTGAAATGGTTTTGGGCACAATCGACACTTGTCCTCCTCAAGGTCTAATAAGCAGGAAAGTGTGAGGCTAGCATCTCTCACCTGCGATGACTCTCTTTCATCTTCTGAAATGGCTTTGGCACAATCGCCATGCTTGTCCTGCTCATCTCACAGAGCAGAAAGTGTGAGGACTAGCATCTCTCACCTGTGCCTGGAAAAACAACAGTGCTGACTGTTTTGGGCACAATTTAATGCTTCCCTCTCAAGGTCTACGAGCAGGAAACATGAAATAGCATCAACCTGTGCCTGGAGTGTCTCTCAGTATAACTGAAATGGTTTTGGGCACAATCGACCATGCTTGTCCCCTCAAGGTCTAATAGAGCAGAAACAGGCAATCATCTCTCACCTGTGCTGGAGTCATCTCATGAACGAAAACACAACCATGCTGTCCTCCTCAAGGTCTAATAGAGCAAAAGTGTGAGGCTAGCACTCTCCCTGTGCCTGGAGTGTCTCTCAGTGCAAATGGTTTTGGGCTTCGCCAGCTTTCCTGCCAAGTTGGTAGAGTTGGAACACAAGTGTGAGGCTAGCATCTCTCACCTGTGCCTGGAGTCTCTCTCAGTGCTGAAATGGTTTTGGGTCGACCATGCTTGTCCTCTCAAGTCTCCTAGAGCCCAAATGAGAGGCTAGCATCTCTCACCTGTGCCTGGAGTGTCACTCAGTGCTAAATGGTTTATAATCGACCATCTTGTCCTCCTCAAGGTCTAATAGAGCAGGAAAGTGTGAGGCTGAATATCTCTCACCTGTGCTCTTCAGTGTCTCTCAGTGCTGAAATGGTTTTGGGCACAATCGACCATGCTTGTCCTCCTCAAGGTCTAATAGCAGGAAAGTTCGGCAGTCTCTCACCTGTGCCTGGAGTCTCTCTCAGTGCTGAAATGGTTTTACAATCGACCATAAAGTTCCTCACTATCAGCATTTCTTGTGATAATCTCCACCTGTGCCTGGAGTCTCTCTCAGACTGAAATGGTTTTGGGCACAATCGACCATGCTTGTCCGTCCTAGAGTCAAATAGAGCAGACACTGTGACATTTTTCACTTACTGACGTCATCTGTTTGGGCTTGATTAGCACTTGTACTGGGATCAAAATGAGATATAACTACATATACTATGAAATACATAAACACAGCAACTTAGGTCTTTGGGAGTGCTTAGACGTGTAACATGAGCAAATTGATTCCAGAAATGAGATGTAGACAAACCAGATTTCTGGCTTGTGTGATGAGCAGAGGTAAACTGATTGACACTTGACAAACTGGATTGGAGGCAAGCAAGAGGAAACCAAAGAAGTAACTAGATGACTTGGACCACTGTGACAAGGGAGACAAGAACCCAGATTCTCATGTAAGATCATTGTTTGGTCGCCAGTTTTTGGCACGGCACATGATGTTGAATGTGACATAAGCTTATATCAGTGGTAGTCTACGTAGTGAGATCATTTGATTTCATTTATTTGAGTCATGGTCAGTAACCAGCACAGTATTGTCTGTGTCTGTCAGGAAAAGGAGAGTCTGTTCTTGCTGGATGATAACCGTGTCAGTGTCTTGTATGTTCCTTCTGGCAAGACCAAGAGAAACCTACAGAAGCTGTCCAGCATTCTCCCCCAGACAGTTTGTTTGGCCCCAACATCAGACGGTAAATATGCCTTTTTATACTTGTTGCGTCTTTATGGCAAACTGCATGTAGTTCAGCATGCAGGTTTCACTTTCAGGTTATGGAAAATGGGGGGAGCAGATTAGATGTGCTAACTAAGCGGATCTGGTGTGATTTCTGGTGCAGACTGGGCTGTGGTGTGATCAGGCCTATATTAGAAACCACAAAATGTCCTGAAAAGAGAAAGTAGTCAGCATGATGTCAGTCCCCAACATGGATTCCTGTGCAGAGCCACCTTAGACCACTTACCCATTAGGTGCCCTGTAGTCTTACACGTCAGGGTCAAGGTTGCTACAATCCTCAGCACAGCCACAAATGTTCTCTTGGTGTTCCTGCACCAACTGTGAATCTCTGCCTTCATGAGGAGGTTGTTGGGCTGCCATGAGTGACAGCTTTAGGAGCAGCCACAAAAACAATGGCTAATATGTTGGTTTCCCCTCTGGTATAGTTTCAGTAAATCAAGACAGCGTTGTGATTCAGACATCTCTCTTGTCCCCCTTGGTGTAACAGAGAAGCCTGCCTATCTACCCACATACCACCCCAAAAGCCAACTTTGTACCACTTCATCCACATCTAGCTGCTGCCATACCATCCCATCCGGCTACTTACCTGCACAGCATGCACATACACATGTTTATAGATTATTTAATGGAATGAACATAGACAAACAGTGACATTGTTGTGTTTAGAACCCAATGTGTCTACCAACAGGTTCATATTTGGTGGGTGTGCAGTCATCTGGAGAGGTGTTCGTGTGGAACAAGGACAGGGATGAGCTGAAGACAATAGTTGGACTAGCTAGCCTTCTGGTTGATGGGGAGCTCACTCCAAGAGGTGAGTCCAGACCAGACCTGCAGACATGTGTACTTGTTCTGTACTACACAGAGTGTGTGTGTGTTTGTTTTTGGGTGTCCTCATAATCTCTGTCTCACTCACCCTTCACAGCCGTATATGAAAACTAGCTCTATATAGCATGTGAGAATTATTTTCTTAATCTCTGATGACATGGATTTATTGCACAAAAGATTCTTCATTTCATAAATGGCAGTTTTGACCTGTCCAATTTGGTTCTCTATCTCTGTGATACATCTTCCATCGGATGTTATCCGTGTGTGCCTAGATACTTACATTTCTATACTTGTCCTAAAATAACGCCTTTGACTTTATAATACTTTTAGGCACTATTTTTTTCTAGGAAATCGCCATTACTTCTGTTTTCCGATTATTCAGACTGAAGCCTATTGTATTACTTTCTACCATCTCATATCTATCAGTGCGTGTAGTTCTTTCTGACTAGTGGCTATCAAGAGGATGTCATCAGCATAACCTAGGTTGTTTATCTGTGATGACCACCAACCATATATCCTTGCGTATCCATAATAGATCTCTTGATATATTCACTGCATAATCAAAACAAATCAGGTCATAGTACACATTCTTGTCATACTCTCCTTTACGCTCTGAAATGTTCACAACTGGTTATTAATTCGTATAGCTGTTGTTTGCTGCCAATACATGTTCTTTATCATTCCTAAATTTTTTCCATCAATGTTTACTTTTCCATTAGTTTGATTATTTCTTCATATTTCACCCAATAAAACGCTTTCAAGAGTCAGTAAAGCATAAGTAAAGATCCCATTTGACTTCTATTGCTCTTTCAGAAAGTCATGATGAGGTTGTATATGGTACTACAGATCCACACTGTTCTTCACTAATTTCTGATTTAATTTTGTTTCTTTTTCTGAAAAGTTCATTGAAATCTGCAGCACTAGACAGAAAGTATCATATTGACGGACAAAGAATAAAATGGTTCAGCCATCTAGTGAGAATGCAGCCAAACCAAACTATGTATGAGACTTTTTACAGCAGAGCATCTGGGAGGAAGGTGAGAGGATAGCCGAGAAAAAGATGGATAAATGGTGTAGCTGAAACCTGCAAAAAGATGAACAAATCCATCACCCAAGCCACCCGAGAGTTAGTTAGTTAGTCTTTCCTCTTGTGTCGAGTGCGGCACATAGGGCAGAGGTCGTGACTCTCCATGCACGGCGGTCCGTTGCAATCCGTTGTAGGTCTTGGATGTTTGAGTGGCCCATGAGCGAGCCTTCCCTGATGATAGTTCTACGTAGGGTTTCCCTTGGTCTTCCACGAGATCTTTTCCCCTGTGGTGTCCAAATGAGGGCTTGGTAAGGAAGTCTTGATTTATCCATTCTAAGGGCGTGGCCGAGAAGCGTAAGAAAAATACAGGTAACCATAGCAGTGTTCTGTAATCTGGTATCAGTGAAATGACAAAAGAAAGGGATTGAAATCTGAAAGAACCACCAGGGTATAACATTGTGTCTGTAGATTGTCCCAGCTGATTGAAATCTGAAAGAGCCACCAGGGTATAACATTCTGTCTGTACATTATCTCAGCTGACTGAAATCTGAAAGAACCACCAGGGTATAACATTCTGTCTGTACATTATCCCAGCTGACTGAAATCTGAAAGAGCCACCAGGGTATAACATTCTGTCTGTACATGATCTCAGCTGATTGAAATCTGAAAGAACCACCAGGGTATAACATTCTGTCTGTACATTATCTCAGCTGATTGAAATCTGAAAGAACCACCAGGGTATAACATTCTGTCTGTACATTATCTCAGCTGATTGAAATCTGAAAGAACCACCAGGGTATAACATTGTGTCTGTAGATTGTCCCAGCTGATTGAAATCTGAAAGAGCCACCAGGGTATAACATTCTGTCTGTACATTATCTCAGCTGACTGAAATCTGAAAGAACCACCAGGGTATAACATTCTGTCTGTACATTATCTCAGCTGACTGAAATCTGAAAGAGCCACCAGGGTATAACATTCTGTCTGTACATGATCTCAGCTGATTGAAATCTGAAAGAACCACCAGGGTATAACATTCTGTCTGTACATTATCTCAGCTGATTGAAATCTGAAAGAACCACCAGGGTATAACATTCTGTCTGTACATGATCTCAGCTGATTGAAATCTGAAAGAACCACCAGGGTATAACATTCTGTCTGTACATTATCTCAGCTGACTGAAATCTGAAAGAACCACCAGGGTATAACATTCTGTCTGTACATGATCTCAGCTGATTGAAATCTGAAAGAACCACCAGGGTAAAACTTTCTGTCTGTACATTATCTCAGCTGACTGAAATCTGAAAGAACCACCAGGGTATAACATTCTGTCTGTACATTATCTCAGCTGATTGAAATCTGAAAGAACCACCAGGGTATAACATTCTGTCTGTACATTATCTCAGCTGATTGAAATCTGAAAGAACCACCAGGGTATAACATTCTGTCTGTACATTATCTCAGCTGATTGAAATCTGAAAGAACCACCAGGGTATAACATTCTGTCTGTACATTATCTCAGCTGATTGAAATCTGAAAGAACCACCAGGGTATAACTTTCTGTCTGTACATTATCTCAGCTGATTGAAATCTGAAAGAACCACCAGTATATAACATTCTGTCTGTACATTATCTCAGCTGATTGAAATCTGAAAGAACCACCAGGGTATAACATTCTGTCTGTACATGATCTCAGCTGATTGAAATCTGAAAGAACCACCAGGGTATAACATTCTGTCTGTACATTATCTCAGCTGATTGAAATCTGAAAGAACCACCAGGGTATAACATTCTGTCTGTACATTATCTCAGCTGATTGAAATCTGAAAGAACCACCAGGGTATAACATTCTGTCTGTACATTATCTCAGCTGATTGAAATCTGAAAGAACCACCAGTATATAACATTCTGTCTGTACATTATCTCAGCTGATTGAAATCTGAAAGAACCACCAGGGTATAACATTCTGTCTGTACATTATCTCAGCTGATTGAAATCTGAAAGAACCACCAGGGTATAACATTCTGTCTGTACATTGTCTCAGCTGATTGAAATCTGAAAGAACCACCAGGGTATAACATTCTGTCTGTACATTATCTCAGCTGATTGAAATCTGAAAGAACCACCAGGGTATAACATTCTGTCTGTACATTATCTCAGCTGATTGAAATCTGAAAGAACCACCAGGGTATAACATTCTGTCTGTACATTATCTCAGCTGATTGAAATCTGAAAGAACCACCAGGGTATAACTTTCTGTCTGTACATTATCTCAGCTGATTGAAATCTGAAAGAACCACCAGGGTATAACATTCTGTCTGTACATTATCTCAGCTGATTGAAATCTGAAAGAACCACCAGTATATAACATTCTGTCTGTACATTATCTCAGCTGATTGAAATCTGAAAGAACCACCAGTATATAACATTCTGTCTGTACATTATCTCAGCTGATTGAAATCTGAAAGAACCACCAGGGTATAACATTCTGTCTGTACATTATCTCAGCTGATTGAAATCTGAAAGAACCACCAGGGTATAACATTCTGTCTGTACATTATCTCAGCTGATTGAAATCTGAAAGAACCACCAGGGTATAACATTCTGTCTGTACATTATCTCAGCTGATTGAAATCTGAAAGAACCACCAGGGTATAACATTCTGTCTGTACATTATCTCAGCTGATTGAAATCTGAAAGAACCACCAGGGTAAAACATTCTGTCTGTACATGATCTCAGCTGATTGAAATCTGAAAGAACCACCAGGGTAAAACATTCTGTCTGTACATGATCTCAGCTGATTGAAATCTGAAAGAACCACCAGGGTATAACATTCTGTCTGTACATTATCTCAGCTGATTGAAATCTGAAAGAACCACCAGTTTATAACATTCTGTCTGTACATTATCCCAGCTGATTGAAATCTGAAAGAACCACCAGTTTATAACATTCTGTCTGTACATTATCCCAGCTGATTGAAATCTGAAAGAACCACCAGGGTATAACATTCTGTCTGTACATTATCTCAGCTGATTGAAATCTGAAAGAACCACCAGGGTATAACATTCTGTCTGTACATTATCTCAGCTGATTGAAATCTGAAAGAGCCACCAGTATATAACATTCTGTCTGTACATTATCTCAGCTGATTGAAATCTGAAAGAACCACCAGGGTATAACATTCTGTCTGTACATTATCTCAGCTGATTGAAATCTGAAAGAACCACCAGGGTAACACATTCTGTCTGTACATTATCTCAGCTGATTGAAATCTGAAAGAACCACCAGGGTATAACATTGTGTCTGTAGATTGTCTCAGCTGATTGAAATCTGAAAGAACCACCAGGGTATAACATTGTGTCTGTAGATTGTCTCAGCTGATTGAAATCTGAAAGAACCACCAGGGTATAACATTGTGTCTGTAGATTGTCTCAGCTGATTGAAATCTGAAAGAACCACCAGGGTATAACATTATGTCTGTACATTATCCCAGCTGATTGAAATCTGAAAGAACCACCAGGGTATAACATTCTGTCTGTACATGATCTCAGCTGATTGAAATCTGAAAGAACCACCAGGGTAAAACATTCTGTCTGTACATGATCTCAGCTGATTGAAATCTGAAAGAACCACCAGGGTAAAACATTCTGTCTGTACATTATCTCAGCTGATTGAAATCTGAAAGAGCCACCAGTATATAACATTCTGTCTGTACATTATCTCAGCTGATTGAAATCTGAAAGAACCACCAGGGTATAACATTCTGTCTGTACATTATCCCAGCTGATTGAAATCTGAAAGAACCACCAGTATATAACATTCTGTCTGTACATTATCTCAGCTGATTGAAATCTGAAAGAACCACCAGGGTATAACATTCTGTCTGTACATGATCTCAGCTGATTGAAATCTGAAAGAACCACCAGGGTATAACATTCTGTCTGTACATGATCTCAGCTGATTGAAATCTGAAAGAACCACCAGGGTATAACATTCTGTCTGTACATTATCTCAGCTGATTGAAATCTGAAAGAACCACCAGGGTAACACATTCTGTCTGTACATGATCTCAGCTGATTGAAATCTGAAAGAACCACCAGTATATAACATTCTGTCTGTACATTATCTCAGCTGATTGAAATCTGAAAGAACCACCAGTATATAACATTCTGTCTGTACATTATCTCAGCTGATTGAAATCTGAAAGAACCACCAGTATATAACATTCTGTCTGTACATTATCTCAGCTGATTGAAATCTGAAAGAACCACCAGTATATAACATTCTGTCTGTACATTATCTCAGCTGATTGAAATCTGAAAGAACCACCAGTATATAACATTCTGTCTGTACATTATCTCAGCTGACTGAAATCTGAAAGAACCACCAGGGTATAACATTCTGTCTGTACATGATCCCAGCTGATTGAAATCTGAAAGAACCACCAGGGTATAACATTCTGTCTGTACATTATCTCAGCTGATTGAAATCTGAAAGAACCACCAGGGTATAACATTCTGTCTGTACATTATCTCAGCTGATTGAAATCTGAAAGAACCACCAGTATATAACATTCTGTCTGTACATTATCTCAGCTGATTGAAATCTGAAAGAACCACCAGGGAATAACATTCTGTCTGTACATTATCCCAGCTGATTGAAATCTGAAAGAACCACCAGGGTATAACATTCTGTCTGTACATTATCTCAGCTGATTGAAATCTGAAAGAACCACCAGAGTATAACATTCTGTCTGTACATTATCTCAGCTGATTGAAATCTGAAAGAACCACCAGGGTATAACATTCTGTCTGTACATTATCTCAGCTGATTGAAATCTGAAAGAACCACCAGGATATAACATTCTGTCTGTACATTATCTCAGCTGATTGAAATCTGAAAGAACCACCAGGGTAAAACATTCTGTCTGTACATTATCTCAGCTGATTGAAATCTGAAAGAACCACCAGGGTATAACTTTCTGTCTGTACATTATCCCAGCTGATTGAAATCTGAAAGAACCACCAATATATAACATTCTGTCTGTACATTATCTCAGCTGATTGAAATCTGAAAGAACCACCAGGGTAAAACATTCTGTCTGTACATTATCTCAGCTGATTGAAATCTGAAAGAACCACCAGGGTAAAACATTCTGTCTGTACATTATCCCAGCTGATTGAAATCTGAAAGAACCACCAGGGTAAAACATTCTGTCTGTAGATTATCTCAGCTGATTGAAATCGCCAAGGAAGAGAAGGGTAAATAAAAAGTAACAGGTTTGTGTTTATTTGCTGAAAGAAAACCCAGAGAATAACATGTGACTATATGTTTGCTGTTTCCCCATGCAGCAGATGGATGCCAAGTCTTTCCCTCTCCTGGCTGCTTCCACCTTCTCCTGGTGCTTGGAGGCAGACATGTGTTTCTGTGGCAGAGGGAAGCAGACGCTAATGACTCAAAGAACAACACATTGTGGGGCAAGTGGTTTCGTATCAGATCCTCCAGCAGTATTGAAATGCCTTCTGTGGACTGCAAGGAAGTTAGCATGCATGCAGTGTTCACTTCTACCCAGGTACAGTTGTTTGGTGTGAGCTTTTCTGCCATTAGTTATAAGGGGATTTTCACAACAGGAGAACTAGGGTCACTCTTGATGGCCTGCAGAGCAGAAAAGTGTTGCTTGATTGAGGAGTTATCTCTCCAACTGTCTTTCATGTTTATGTCTGTGACCTGGTGAAAGACCTCCCTACAGGAGTGAAGGCTGCCCTGTATGCAGATGATTTGGCTCTCTGCTGTACTGATAAACACACCACAGGGGCAAATCTAAAAATGCAGCGAGCAACAGATCTCTTTATGTCATGGGCAGAAAAGTGGCATGTTGCCACCAACACAAACAAAACATCCACAACGCTTTTCTCTCTTTCTCCCAGGAACAAAGCTGCTAATATTCGCCTAGATACATCCTTGCTAAAGTAAGAAAGCTTCCCCTTATTGTATTGGAGTAACATTTGATAAAAGGCTCTTGTGGAGCAAACATATTCAAAATGTAGAAGGGAAGACCAGGAGATGACTAGGGCTACTTAGGAAACTGGCAGGCACAAGTTGGAGAGCAAATGTAAAAACCCTAAACAAAGTTTAAAATCGGGCGATAAAACCCCACTTGATGCAGCAGCTTGGTCATCAGCTGCTAATTCCCATCTACAGTCATTAGACAGAATGCAAAATCAAGCCCTTAGACTCATCACAGGATCCATGAAAACTGCCCCGGTCTCAAAGATGCAAAAAAAAAAAAAAATAACTGCAATGCAGACATTGTGCTATAGAAGAGACACTAAAACTATGATCCAGATGGAGAAGTTTAATAGTATACGTGGTGAATGTAAGATTAGATGATCTGGCATTGGAGGGTCTCAAATGTAGCAGCTTTGTCCATCGGGGAGGGGGGACATAGCAGATCTACCCATGAGAACAACACCCTTGAAACCTACCCTATACCCCGTACCTTGGGATCAAGTCAGTGATACAATACAGATAATGACTTCAGTCAGTGGACTCTACGGCTGGAGATGAATCCAATGACCTTCAAAAACGAGCAGCTGTTCTTAGCATGATTCAATAAAACTATCCTAAACATGTGTGGATACATGCTTACACAGATGGATCAGCAACCACTGCCGTTAAAAATAGGGGTGCTGGCATAATTTTCACATAGCCAGACAACCACTGCTACACAGAGTATATACCCACTGGTAAATTCTGTTCCAACTACACAGCAGAGACCCTAGGACCAGAGCAGGCTGCCAAAATCTTACACAGCGCTGGTTCTGACTGCCACAGAGTAGTCCAAAAGTGTACTGTTCACCAGTGGGTGCCATCCTTCTGTGGTATACCAGGAAACAAAACCGTGGATAAACTTGCTAAGAAAGGGGACAGAATGTAAACAGGAAGAGAATTCAGTGACATACTATGAGAAGAAAAGGGGCCATCCAGTCTATGAGAAGTGAACAGAGTCCGGCCAGAGAACTACCACTTACTTGACCGGCATGGGCAGGTGATTATTTTACGCCACAGGACAGGACATAACAAAGTTAACAATCATATGCACAAGTTTCATCTAAGTAGTTGACTATTGTGCCCATGCGGGCTGTGTGTGCAGACTACAGAACATGTCCTGCAAGAATGTCCCATATACAGCCAATTAAGAAGGGAATATTGGCCCATTGAGCCGACACTGCACTCAGAGCTGTAGGAAACTAAAAAGGGAACTCCTAAGAACAGTCAAGTTTATCACAAGAGCATGTCTTTTGGTGTAAACATAAAGGGTACACAAGAAGAAGAAGAAGGGGATGTATTCACAGACATGGTGTTATAGATCAGATTTTGTGGCCCCTGCCTGTAGGTCAAGCAAATCTATCGTCTCAGAGATTGTGACCTCCACCTGTGGGTTGACAGATCTACTTTGTCTCAGAGATTGTGACCTCCACCTGTGGGTTGACAGATCTACTTTGTCTCAGAGATTGTGACCTTGACCTGTGGGTTACAGATCTTCTTTGTCTCAGAGATTGTGACCTCCACCTGTGGTTTACAGATCTACTTTGTCTCAGAGATTGTGACCTCCACCTGTGGGTTGACAGATCTACTTTGTCTCAGAGATTGTGACCTCCACCTGTGGGTTTACAGATCTACTTTGTCTCAGAGATTGTGACCCCCACCTGTGGGTTGACTGATCTGCTTTGTCTCAGAGATTGTGACCTCCACCTGTGGGTTGACTGATCTGCTTTGTCTCAGAGATTGTGACCTCCACCTGTGGGTTGACAGATCTGCTTTGTCTCAGACATTGTGACCTCCATCTGTGGGTTGACAGATCTACTTTGTCTAAGAGATTGTGACCTTGACCTGTGGGTTGACAGATCTGCTTTGTCTCAGACATTGTGACCTCTACCTGTGGGTTGACAGATCTGCTTTGTCTCAGAGATTGTGACCTCCATCTGTGGGTTGACAGATCTACTTTGTCTCAGACATTGTGACCTTGACCTGTAGGTTGACAGATCTGGTGTGTCTCAGAGATTGTGACCCCCACCTGTGGGTTGACAGATCTGCATTGTCTCAGAGGTTGTGACCTTGACCTGTGGGTTAAGTGGACCTGCATTGTCTCAGAGATTGTGACCCCCACCTGTAGGTTGACAGATCTGCTTTGTCTCAGAGATTGTGACCTCCACCTGTGGGTTGGCATATCTGCATTGTCTCAGAGATTGTGACCTTGACCTGTGGGTTGACAGATCTGCTTTGTCTCAGAGATTGTGACCCCCACCTGTGGGTTGACAGATCTGCTTTGTCTCAAAGATTGTGACCCCCACCTGTGGGTTGACAGATCTGCATTGTCTCAGAGATTGTGACTGTGACCTTGGGTTAAGTGGACCTGCATTGTCTTAGAGATTGTGACCCCCACCTGTGGGTTGACAGGTCTGCATTGTATCAGAGATTGTGACCTCCACCTGTGGGTTGACATATCTGCTTTGTTTCAGAGATTGTGACCTCAACCTGTGGGTTGACAGATCTGCTTTGTCTCAGAGATTGTGACCTCGACCTGTGGGTTGACAGATCTGCTTTGTCTCAGAGATTGTGACCTCCACCTGTGGGTTGACAGATCTGCATTGTCTCAGAGATTGTGACCTCCACCTGTAGGTTGACAGATATGCTTTGTCTCAGAGATTGTGACCCCCACCTGTGGGTTGACAGATCTGCTTTGTCTCAGAGATTGTGACCCCCACCTGTGGGTTGACAGATCTGCTTTTTCTCATTGTCAGCTGTTTACATTTCTTCAAAGATAGTATGTCTCCTTAGCCTTGGGATTAGATTTCTAGCCATGTGAGACAAAAGTTAAAACCTTGAGGCACCTGTATGTACTTCATTCATATTTAAAATCTTTCCAAAGTAAGGAATTGAACCACACAAATTTGATCAGAGACCTCTGCCGGAGCATAATTTGTATTAAGAAAAGTTGCCCTCACAAAAGCATGGATAGTATGTGTTGTTCTAGTGAAGATACACTGAGATCCTTGCTGGTGTTATAGCGTTCATGGACTGTGCTGAAATTCTCCTCGTGTGATCTGCCGGAGGGCACTGAATCACTTATGACTGAGGCAGATCCATGTGTGATGAAAGCAGTCCTGTACAAACCAATCAACTAAACTTACCCAGATTTAGATAATCACCAGATTTACCCAGACTTGTATAATCACCAGATTTACCCATAATTATATATCACCAACAGATTTACCCTGAATGAGATAATCACCAGATTTACCCAGACTTGTATAATCACTAGATTTACCCAGAATTATATAATCACCAGATTCTTCTTCTTCTTCTCTTCCACCTTGTACCTCATCGAAGTGTCTGGGGGAGATGTAATGTTCGTTGATGAGCTCTGTCAAGAGCACTATTAAGACTGATGTATCACCAGATTTACCCAGAATTATATAATCACCAGATTTACCTTGAATTAGATAATCACCAGACAAATGTTTGAACTAACCATTGCATGCACACAGCCAGAACACACAAAGATGAAGATAGCTTATAAAAAAAAACACCCAGCTTTGACGATGAAAGTGCATTTCACCAATATTTTGATGTTTTATTATTGACTGATCGCATTTGGGGCTGTTAGCAAATGCTTGGTTTTGTTGTGTCCAAGGTATAATTTTATAAGTAGGATTGCAAATGTTGATGATGTGATAAACTTTGATATGTAACCCACAGGCCTTTGGTGACTGCTGCCAGTTGAGTGTGGTGTTCAACCAACAAGGAAACATATGTGTGACATCCCTGCTCATCCAGTTTAACTCAGACATGACTTCCAGGTGAAACTATTACACATCTTTTGTCAGTTGAAGTTGAACTGTGTCAAATGTGTGTTGTACACAATGATGATTCACCACCTAAAGACATCTTCATATAGCATGCCTCCCACTTACCAAACAAAACTTCTGTCATCTCCAGTAACCTGAGTCTACTTTCCTATTCTCCTGTCTGTTCTTCCTGCATCTGTACCTCCGAGAACTATTCCTTCCACATGACTGACCACTGCAGTGTTTAATGTCATGGAATCACTGCAGTGTCTGGCGTGTGTGCCTGGTCACAGCAAGCTGCAGTTCTGTGGTGGACTGTTAGTGTTGGCACATGTGACAACTGTCTTATGCATGTACAAGCTTTAGACTTTTAGCTGAGTCTGACATGTTTCTCACTAGTTTTCAAATGGGAGAGTGAAAGACATTTTGTACATTTGACACAGCAATGGAACTGTTATGGGGTGACCTTTTTGCAGTGAAAATGGAACCTCGACTAAGGACTGACATTCTTAAAAGATGCTCCAGTACCGTCTGATATTGTTTACCTGTAGAGCGATAGGGAGTCTAGCTTTGTTGAACTTACAGCATCTCTGACTCTCGATCCTTCCACACCAGAAACCATTTGGAAAAAAATTCCATATTCTGAGATACTTGAAAACAATCCCTAAAAGATCAATCCTTTTTCACACATTGCTAAAAAGTACATTTTTAAAAAATTAAAAAATACTTTCTATAAATTAAAAAAAATTGTTGTAAAAGAAAAATATAAAGCGTAGTAACCAATAAATGTGAGCACAGTGAAGACTTAAATCAAATAAATTCCCTATTGTCTCAAAATGTCATGGGTGATCCATGCCAGGACCGCTGAAGATAAAGGAAAATGAAGACATCATCATGACTGTAAAAAAGCCATTTTTATTTTCACAGTAGCCCTCCATATTTTGAGCAAATATATGTGGCCCTACTAAATACTGCGCAGGTGCAAACAGAACCAGCAGAGTTAACTGTAACTACCCTAGACAGGGCACTGCAGTGATGTTGGTTTAGGAGTATTTACAAAAATGTGTAACAGGTGGCAGTGCTGGAGTAGGAACATTATCAGGCCAAAGGGTTTAGTTTAAAGTGACTTTCCATTAAAGTTAATTTCAATAAATGCCACCATTTTGATTCCTGTAGCCAACAACCATCAGTATCACCACCTGCAAGCTTGTGGACACATTTCTCTAAACCGCTTAGTGCCATACAGCCAGACTGGGAACCAATCAACTTACAGGGAGCCTATACTAGCCAGTACAGCCATGATGGCCAGATACTAGCTGTTGGAGTCAACCAAAAGTCTCCAGCACACAGCAGTGTAGTCTTCTTGTCGACTTTCACCAAAGCCTTGCTGCTGTCAGACTTGAAGGGGTGTGGCCTCAAGAACCCCAGCAGCAAGAGGGGAAGGTATGGCGGATACTTTGTCTATCTGATGTTTTTGTGTTCATTGAGAGGGTGTGCATGGGAGCGAGCAAGGGAGACACAGAAAGAAATAAAGAGACAAAGAAAGAGAGAAAGTGACAAAGAAAGAGAAAGAGAGAGAGACAAAATGAGAAAGATAGAGAGACCAAATGAGAAAGAGAGAAACAAAAAGAAAAAGAAAGAGAGAGACAAAAAAAAAAAAGAAAGAGACAAAAAAAAAGAGGAACAGAGAAAGAGAAGGAAAGAGAGAGAGAGCTAGTATTACAACATGCAACTCTTTGAGTCCCAGCATGTCTACAGCAAATGCCCAGAAGGATATCCCAGGCCAGCCATTTTAGTAAGAAACTGGAGCACCTCTGAAGGTCAGAGAAACGGTTCATTTTCATGCCATCAATTATACTGAGTATATTATGCTAACCTATATGTTTAGAGCAATCTGCATGTGATAGTGATGTGATGTAACATCATGAAGCCCGGCTCACTAGCTCAGCTGGTTAAACCTGACTGCGGGGCAACTGGGGGACAAACTCCTTGTGGTCTTGGTTCACGCCCAGGGGTAAGCACAAAAGCCACATTTTCCCCAAATTTACGGTACCTATCATGGAATCAAGGCCGAAGGGTTTGCGATATCTATAGTACCGAGCCAAAGGGTTAGCAACCCATGGTTTCTGGATATAAAAAAAAAAAGTATAACATCACGCTAGTCGATTTTACTTTCTGGGACATTTCCTGGTACCCATGTAAGACTGGGTCTACCTGGGAGCCACAATCCTGACAAAATCCCATGCCTTAAAGAGAATTTGAACATAGAATAACTGGGTCTGGCCACTTCAGTGGCTAGCAGAGGTGACCCTTCACAAGCCAAACCAATGCCCAGCCAACGGTACAGCTTTCACCTGTTTGCTCCAAACAGGCAATACTGGATCTGTGACATGGCCTGGACCATTGACAATTTGTTTCTTGTAATAATGCTGCGCAATGGATCCGCAGCCCTGTTATCTCGGTTGTGTGACCCTTTGGTCCTGTTCTCCAAGGGATCCTCTGTTGAACTGGGGCCAGCATACTTTCTGACCTTCAGCCCTCTGATTACTGTGCAGTAAGTCTTGATTTCTTTGTTGTTGTAATGTACATCTTGTTTTATGTTTTTGTTGTTGTAATGTACATCTTATTTTGTGTTTTTGTTGTTGTAATGTACATCTTATTTTATGTTTTTGTTGTTGTAAAGTACATCTTATTTTGTGTTTTTGTTGTTGTAATGTACATCTTATTTTATGTTTTTGTTGTAATGTACATCTTATTTTATGTTTTTGTTGATTTAATGTACATCTTATTTTATGTTTTTGTTGTTGTAATGTACATCTTATTTTATGTTTTTGTTGTTGTAATGTACATCTTGTTTTATGTTTTTGTTGTTGTAATGTACATCTTATTTTATGTTTTTGTTGTACATCTTATTTTATGTTTTTGTTGTTGAAATGTACATATTATTTTATGTTTTTGTTGTACATCATATTTTATGTTTTTGTTGTTGTAATGTACATCTTATTTTATGTTTTTGTTGTTGTAATGTAAATCTTATTTTATGTTTTTGTTGTTGTAATGTACATCTTATTTTATGTTTTTGTTGTACATCTTATTTTATGTTTTTGTTGTTGAAATGTACATCTTGTTTTATGTTTTTGTTGTTGTAATGTAAATATTATTTTATATTTTTGTTATTGTAATGTACATCTTATTTTATGTTTTTGTTGTACATCTTATTTTATGTTTTTGTTGTTGTAATGTACATATTATTTTATGTTTTTGTTGTACATTTTATTTTATGTTTTTGTTGTTGTAATGCACATCTTATTTTGTGTTTTTAGTTGTTGTAATGTACATTTTATTTTATGTTTTTGTATGTAGAGCTTATTTTCAAATGTTGACTTTAACAAATATTTTTAAAGGTGTGGGAATCAGCTTAATTGCAGCATCCACGTGGCTTGGGCTTTCTCTGCAGAGTGGCTGTTTGTACAAAGCTTGAATCTCCCTACCTCCGGTGATGACCCCATTGATCTCTTAATACTTTCATTTGGGAATCAAAGGATTGAGCTTAGAACCAATCTCAGAACTGTCAGAGCATAACACAAGCTTAAGACCAATCTCACAACTGTCAGAACATAACACAAGCTTAAGACCAATCTCACAACTGTCAGAACATAACACAAGCTTAAAACCAATCTCACAACTGTCAGAACATAACACAAGCTTAAGACCAATCTCACAACTATCAGAACATAACACAAGCTTAAACCCAATCTCAGAACTGTCAGAGCATAACACAAGCTTAAGACCAATCTCACAACTGTCAGTGCATAACACAAGCTCAAAACCAATCTCAGAACTGTCAGAGCATAGGACAAGCTTAAAACCAATCTCACAACTGTCAGAGCATAACACAAGCTTAAGACCAATCTCACAACTGTCAGAGCATAGGACAAGCTTAAAACCAATCTCACAACTGTCAGAGCATAACACAAGCTTAAGACCAATCTCACAACTGTCAGTGCATAACACAAGCTCAAAACCAATCTCAGAACTGTCAGAGCATAGGACAAGCTTAAACCAATCTCACAACTGTCAGAGCATAGGACAAGCTTAAAACCAATCTCACAACTGTCAGAGCATAACACAAGCTTAAAACCAATCTCAGAACTGTCAGAGCATAACACAAGCTTAAGACCAATCTCACAACTGTCAGAGCATAACACAAGCTTAAAACCAATCTCACAACTGTCAGAGCATAACACAAGCTCAAAACCAATCTCACAACTGTCAGTGCAAAACACAAGCTCAAAACCAATCTCACAACTGTCAGAGCATAACACAAGCTCAAAACCAATCTCACAACTGTCAGAGCATAACACAAGCTCAAAACCAATCTCACAACTGTCAGAGCATAACACAAGCTCAAAACCAATCTCACAACTGTCAGAGCATAACACAAGCTCAAAACCAATCTCACAACTGTCAGAGCATAACACAAGCTTAAAACCAATCTCACAACTGTCAGAGCATAACACAAGCTTAAGACCAATCTCACAACTGTCAGAGCATAACACAAGCTTAAACCCAATCTCACAACTGTCAGAGCATAAGACAAAACCAATCTCACAACTGTCAGAACATAGGACAAGCTTAAGACCAATCTCATAACTGTCAGAACATAGGACAAGCTTAAACCCAATCTCACAACTGTCAGAGCATAGGACAAGCTTAAGACCAATCTCACAACTGTCAGATCATAAGACATGCTTAAACCCAATCTCACAACTGTCAGAACATAAGACAAGCTTAAAACCAATCTCACAACTGTCAGAGCATAAGACAAGCTTAAACCCAATCTCACAACTGTCAGAGCATAAGACATGCTTAAACCCAATCTCACAACTGTCAGAGCATAAGACAAGCTTAAACCCAATCTCACAACTGTCAGAACATAACACAAGCTTAAACCCAATCTCACAACTGTCAGAGCATAACACAAGCTTAAGACCAATCTCACAACTGTCAGAGCATAAGACAAGCAGCAGATGTGGATCTCTGGACCCTGCTGTATAAATTTAGGGTGCTCCGTACCCAGAGGAAACAGTGCTAGATGTTAAACCCCATGGGGGAGGGTGAGGGGGTTGCAGAAGACAGAACAGTTCATGTAGGAAACAAAACTGCAGAAAAAAGCTGGTTTTGTACTAGAAACAAAAATATGAAGCTATTGATAATTCTAAAATGTTGGTTAGACAAGAATCCCTCTAATACTGTGGGATGGAGCCCTGGCATTTACCGTAGCATATCTTCTTCTTCTTTGTTCAGCTCTGGTGTACAGTCCTGATTGTTGTCCATTTGAACTTTGACTTTGTGCCAGGGCCAGAGTTTTGCCTGTATATCTGTTTTGCTGGCTTGTTTGTGTGCAGCTGGTTGTCCCTTGCCGTTCAGGCAGATGCACTTTGAAGGTAGCTCCCATTTAGTTAACCCCTAGGACATGCTTGTTGCGGAGGTAGTAGGTCTTTACTTGTTTTCCCCACAGTGGGGTCCCAGAACCCACATGGGGGACAGCAGTATATGACTTCATTATTCTTATATTACTGCCGCTTGGGGTTTTTCTTTGTTATAATTTCCTTTTTTTTTTTTTTAATTATTAATGTGATTCCTTTATAAAATTATACTGATATGCAGCAATTTATAATATAAAAATCTGTAATAATGTATAGTATATAATATGCATCAATGTGTAGTATATAAATCTGTAATAATGTATGGTATATAATATGCATTAATGTATAGTATATAATATGCATTAATGTGTAGTATATAAATGTGTAGTAATGTATAGTATATAATATGCAATAATGTGTAGTATATACATCTGGATATGTCCAGGTCAGACAAGAAGCCAGATAGGATTGCTCATGAAACAAACCTGGCCGCGATCTCAGAACTTGATCCTATGCATCAAAGATTTTCCGTGACCACCCATCCATCGCTCCCTATTGTCCTGTTCTCCGATGGTCTGATAGTAACGATTGCTCAGCTGCCCAGTGAGCTGAATCCTATGGTATTCATGAGAGACCTGGTGTTGGAATCTTCCTCCTACCTCAGACAGGTAGCAGAGACCCATCGCTTGGATCTGACCCTGCCAAATGCATACAACCTTCCCGCAGCAGATCTGGAGGGTGTCACAGTTTCTGTACATAAACACAGTAAGCCAGGAGTGAGTGAGGAATATCATTACTCATTTGAAGAGGCAAGTATGACCTTAAACGAGACACAGGATAGTGTCAGTTTTGCTCTGGGGACTCAGGATCCAGGAAGTTGCCACATGGGCGTCATCCAGAACATGAGCTCAGGCAAAATCATCTTTGGGGAGCCAGATCTTTCAGTGCTTCACGGATCATTTCTTGACGAACCAGATTCTACGTTGAAGACGTTACAGCTAGCACAAGGAAATCTGTTTGCTGTGTGGAAAATTGCAGCATCCAGCAGCGAGCAGTGGTCGGCAAACATGGACAAGATTCTCAACCATGCTGTTCACAACATCATCAAGTTCTTTTCTCTAGTACTCAATTGTGCACAGGTCAGAGATCTGTTGGATGAAGCTGCTGACCAGTCTGTGAAGTCATCCGTCCACACGACAAGTTTGTTTAAGGTAAAGTAACATAAGTTTTTGTTTTTGTTTTTTGGTGTTGTTGTCTGTTAGTCATCTCTAAGTAGTGCCTGGCTGACTAATGTAAAATGTGTCAGCTTGTGTCTGTTTTTCTGTCTGTTAGTTATCATCATCAAGTGCCAGGCTCACTAGAATGGTCAGTCAGGCATCTCCATATGTTGCAGTCCCCAGCATCATCTGTTAGTTTGTGTACAGTTTGTGTACAGTTTGTGTACAGTTTGTGTACTGATAAATGTCCATACCTTCATACAAGGCTGTCAAGAATCACTGTGTGTGTGTGTTTTTTTACTCTGTTGTTTTCCCTATTGTCATGTGTTCCAGTTCTACTCTGTTGTTTTTCCCATTTCATGTTTTCCAGTTTTCTTTTGTTGTTTTCCCATTGTCACTTGTTCCAGTTTTACTCTGTTCTTTTTCCATTGTTTTTCACATGTCACTGTTTTCAAGTTTTCCTCTGTTGTTTTCACATTATCACATATTCCAGTTTTCCTTTGTTCTTTTCCCATTGTCAGTTGTTCCAGTTTTGCTCTGTTGTTTTCCTCTTGTCATGTTTTCCAGTTTTCCTCTATTGTTTTTCCATTTTCACTTGTTCCAATGTTTCTTTGTTGCTTTCTCATCGACACTTGTGCCAGTATCCTCTGTTGTTTTCCTGTTGTCACATATTCCACATATTACTATACATTTGCATTCACCAGCTGTAAACTCCTGAGGAAAGGTCTGGTTGTTCATCCACTTCTGACTTTAGTCTTGAATTTTGCGTGTACATCCATTCTACAGATGTGGCAGTATGTAGAATGTTGGCTCCTTACCTCTTAGGCAGATACACTTTGACTTTAAAGAAAGCTCCCTAATTAGTCAACTCTCATGACCTGCTTGTTGGGGAGACAGTGGGTCTGTTCTTGTTTTCTCCTACAATGGGGTCGCAGAACCCACATGGGAAGCCAATATATGATGTTAACAGTCAACATAATTCTTGCCGCTGTCGATCCTTCCCAGGTGGTGTCACTGTACAGGCAGTTGCTGGATCTTCTGCAGTTTGACTGTCTGCAGCGACATTTGCTGACCCACGTCTTCCAGCTGTCTCACAAGACTTTACAGACAATCCTCTCTAGTGCAGCACTCTGCCAGACTGACCCCAGGATCAAGACCCTCACAGGCTGTTTCACACTGCTGCAGTTCTCAGAGAAGAACCTACAGGATGTATATATTTCACTGCCAAGGATTCTTCAGTCAGTTGCTGAGAATGTGAAGACAGGGACAGGAGATGAGGAGAAACTTGGTCCTGGAGGAGAGTCAGTCAATTGCAGTCCGGAGCTGAGTTGGGTAAAAGGTCAGGAGTGAATTCATGTTTGTCATAGGTTTATGTGTTTGCATGTATGCATGCATCTATTCTTCCATCCATTGAAGTTTCTGCATAGATCTTGATCCTGACAAAGTTTGACTTCTTTCTTTGAGGATATTCCTGCATGTCACTGTCTAAGATCATCTGACAGTAGAGAGAGAGAGAGAGGGAGAGAGACAGGGAGAGAGGGGGATAGAGAGGGAGAGAGGCAGAGAGAGAGGGAAAGAGAGAGGGGGAGAGAGAGAGAGGGAAAGAGAGATAAAGAGAGAGAGAGAGAAAGAGAGAAAAAGAGAGGAATGACAGATCAAAAATGGAGATTAGAAGTATGGGTAAATGAATTGTTTGAAAGTTTATGAAAATGCAAGGCATGCACATAGATATAGTGTAACAGATGCAGGATTTGCTTGTAGATGTGCTTTGATGAAATGAATGGTTTTTTTTCTGTTGTTGTTTAAGTGAAATAACACACTATCTCATTGATACATCTGCAGGCTGACTTCATCATGGAAGCTTTTATACAGATCTGTGAACCAGTTTATTGACAGTGATGAAATGACTGCTGCCGATGTTGGCCGAGCCCAAGCTTTGAAGTCAGCCATTGAACAGCACCTGATTGAACTTGATGTGGACATCCCCACCGTGCCAGTGGCTAACATCAACAGTGGTTTGTTTTAGTTGCTGCGCTAGTCTATGGTTGCTGTGCTAGTCTATGGTTGCTGTGCTAGTCTATGGTTGCTGTGCTAGTCTATGGTTGTTGTGCTAGTCTATGGTTGCTGTGCTAGTCTATGGTTGCTGTGCTAGTCTATGGTTGCTGTGCTAGTCTATGGTTGCTGTGCTAGTCTATGGTTGCTGTGCTAGTCTATGGTTGTTGTGCTAGTCTATGGTTGCTGTGCTAGTCTATGGTTGCTGTGCTAGTCTATGGTTGCTGTGCTAGTCTATGGTTGCTGTGCTAGTCTATGGTTGCTGTGCTAGTCTATGGTTGCTGTGCTAGTCTATGGTTCCTGTGCTAGTCTATGGTTGCTGTGCTAGTCTATGGTTGCTGTGCTAGTCTATGGTTGCTGTGCTAGTCTATGGTTGCTGTGCTAGTCTATGGTTGCTGTGCTAGTCTATGGTGGCTGTGCTAGTCTATGGTTGTTGTCCAGAGAAACAAGTGTCACTGATCCGTTTCCACACGTAGAGGCTTTTTTTATAAATGACATGTGTGGTAAATGTGAGATAACTGTATTCCGGTAGAAGTGAGATGTTTAAAGATGGATCTACAGCTGGTCCAGCAAATCAGAAGAAGATGTAACTGTGTACTTAGTGGTGATACCCATGAAGACTTTAGGAGATGTATGTAACTGTGTACTGAGTGGTGATACCCATGAAGACTTTAGGAGATGTATGTAACTGTGTACTTAGTGGTGATACCCATGAAGACTTTAGGAGATGTATGTAACTGTGTACTGAGTGGTGATACCCATGAAGACTTTAGGAGATGTATGTAACTGTGTACTGAGTGGGGATACCCATGAAGACTTTAGGAGATGTATGTAACTGTGTACTGAGTGGGGATACCCATGAAGACTTTAGGAGATGTATGTAACTGTGTACTTAGTGGTGATACCCATGAAGACTTAAGGAGATGTATGTAACTGTGTACTGAGTGGTGATACCCATGAAGACTTTAGGAGATGTATGTAACTGTGTACTTAGTGGTGATACCCATGAAGACTTTAGGAGATGTATGTAACTGTGTACTGAGTGGGGATACCCATGAAGACTTTAGGAGATGTATGTAACTGTGTACTTAGTGGTGATACCCATGAAGACTTTAGGAGATGTATGTAACTGTGTACTTAGTGGTGATACCCATGAAGACTTTAGGAGATGTGAGTGTGTCCAGCCAAGTACACAAGACCTGAAGCCAGTCATACAGGTAAGTAAACAGGAATAGATGAGTTGGACATCTGATGAGAATGCCCTACCACTGGCTACCACAGAGAACGACGCGAAAAGGAATAGGATGAACATAGAGTAAGAGGAAGACTACACATAACATGGAATGATGGTATCAAGAAGTCTTGTCAGGACAGTGTGGAAGGCTAGGTAGATGCGAAAAAATCAGGGGTGAACACCAGGGTGTTGTCAGGACGTTGTGGATGCTGGCAACTGCAAACACACCAGCACTTTCTACAGGAATGGCCAGATTTTTTCAGTAGAATAGAGAAAAAGTATATCTGACCCATTCGGACTGGTCAATTATAAGGACTGCTTATAAGGATTAAGGGAAATCTCAGAGACAACATCTGTCTCACGGCTCCTGCTGGATTAAATGGTCTCTGAAGAAGTGTAGGTAGAGCAAGCAAGCTCAGGAAGCAATGGGACTATTTACTTCACACTTTGAAGGTGATGTGTTTGTGTTTATACTCTGTCAGTTCTTGAAGACGAAGAATGTCTACAACAGTGCTCCGTTTTCTGTCACAAACCAGTTAAAAGTTAGTTGTGTATCCTTCACAGGACGTTGCAGAACCAATCCTAGCATTTTTGACTATTGTGGTTTTTCTAGGCAAGGTTACGTCCAGTAGTTTGCCATTGCTTTCTGGACGGTCAGCTTCTTGATACCACTGTTGAAGCCAATGCAAGGCGCAAAGCCCGCAGCAGGGATCGAACCCAGTAGCCCGGCATTACGAAGCGCGTTTACAACGCCTAAGCTATAGACACTGACACAAACCAATTACACTTCTTTATTGAGCAGAGTTACCCCAGCAATTGGGCTGCAGATTACCCCCCCCCCCCCCCCACCATAGGGCCACAGTTTACCCCCACCATAGGGCTGCAGATTACCCCAGCGATGGGACTGCAGATTACCCCAGCCATGGGGCTGCAGATTACCCTAGCCATGGGGCCGCAGATTACCCCAGCCATAGAGCTGCAAATTACCCCCCACCATAGGGCCAAAGATTACCCCAGCCATGGGGCCACAGATTACCCCAGCCATGGGGCCACAGATTACCCCCACCATAGAGCTGCAGATTACCCCCCACCATAGGGCTGCAGATTACCCCAGCCATGGGACTGCAGATTACATCAGCCATGGGGCCACAGATTACCCCAGCCATAGAGCTGCAGATTACCCCCCACCATAGGGCTGCAGATTACCCCATCAATGGGACTGCAGATTACCCCCACCATAGGGCCGCAGATTACCCCAGCCATGGGGCCACAGATTACCCCAGCCATAGAGCTGCAGATTACCCCCCACCATAGGGCTGCAGATTACCCCATCAATGGGACTGCAGATTACCCGCCACCATAGGGCCGCAGATTACCCCCCCACCATAGGTCCGCAGATTACCCCCCCCACCATAGGGCCGCAGATTACCCCCCACCATAGGGCCGCAGATTACCCCCCACCATAGGGCCGCAGATTACCCCCCACCATAGGGCCGCAGATTACCCCAGCCATAGAGCTCCTGATTAACCCCTCCCCCCTATGTAGTTCTAGACTAACAGAAAGATGGCTGCTCGGCTAGAGTGACCTCCACCATGATTACAAATTGCTGAAGGCTCTCTATAAACTTGTACATGCAAGTGATATTATGTCTCTGATTCTGCAGGTGAAAGACTAAGCTTGGATGGCAAACATACTCTGGCTGTGGATGCGTGGAAAGATCAGCTTAAACAGTATCGAGGTCAGTTTCCTATCATTGTTATTGCTATTGATCCTGCTGCTCTCGTTGGTCCTGTGTTACATAATCATACATGAGGCTCTTCTTACTTGTTGTGTAGCTCGATATCAAATGTTTCTTTGATCTGATTTTGTTGTGTAGCTCAATATCAAGTGTTTCTTTGATCTGATTCTGTTGAAAGTAACAACTGGCAGAATTTGAAAGGGAAACAAATGAGGATGGCAAACAATCTTTCATGTTAACAAGAAGCTGCAAAATTGGCCCTTCTGGTTAGGTCCAATCTCCCGTAAATGTAGCTCTTCCAGTTGGTTCCGATCTCCCTTAAATGTAACTCTTCTGGTTGCGTCCAATCTCCCGCAAATGTAATTCTTCTGGTTGGGTCCGATCTCCTGTAAATTTAATTCTTCTGGTTGCGTCCAATCTCCTGTAAATGTAGCTCTTCCAGTTGGGTCCGGTCTCCCGCAAATGTAATTCTTCCGGTTGTGTCCGATCTCCGTAAATGTAATTCTTCCGGTTGTGTCCGATCTCCCGTAAATGCAACTCTTCTGGTTGGGTCCGATCTCCCGTAAATGTAACTCTTCTGGTTAGGTCCGATCTCCCGTAAATGTAACTCTTCTGGTTGCGTCCAATCTCCCGCAAATGTAATTCTTCTGGCTGGGTCCGATCTCCTGTAAATGTAATTCTTCTGGTTGCGTCCAATCTCCCGTAAATGTAGCTCTTCCAGTTGGGTCTGGTCTCCCGCAAATGTTATTCTTCCGGTTGTGTCCGATCTCCCGTAAATGTAATTCTTCCTGTTGTGTCCGATCTCCCGTAAATGCAACTCTTCTGGTTGGGTCCGATCTCCCGTAAATGTAACTCTTCTGGTTGGGTCCGATCTCCCGTAAATGTAACTCTTCTGGTTGCGTCCAATCTCCCGCAAATGTAATTCTTCTGGTTGGGTCCGATCTCCTGTAAATGTAATTCGTCTGACCTGCTGTGGTGGCTTGTTCACAAAAAGTCTAGCAAAGAACACTTTGTCTAGGCAAATATTTAGGAAGACCGCAAATGTTTAGGAAGACCGCACGTGTTTAGGAAGGCCGTCATTGATTAGATTAAAAAAAATATAGCATTAGGGAAGTTTTTATGTAGACAAATGGCTTTTTAAAAATAGATACTATGACTGCCTAATTTCTCATAGATGATATTGCTTACCCAGTGACTGGGTTGAGGGGCGTCAAGTGTGAGTCATCTTAAATACACTTTTTTTATTGTCAAAGAGAGGTAAATCAGTTAATTCTCTTTTGCATTTGTTTTGTTTTTACTGATTACTTCTATTATTCTTTATTGAAACTAGTATTATTTGGTCCATAAATGTAATTAGGATTTTGAATGTAACCTGTTTTTTTTTTTTTAAGTTAATGATCTTTTCAGGAATTCCATAAATAAAGGTAACTAGCTTTGTTGTTTCTAGATCAATGGGGTGAAAGGGTTAAGATAAGGTCTTAAATCTGTGTCTTGTTTTTTATTTTGTTCCTCTACAGAAAATGGTAGTATGAAGAATGCAAGTCAACTGTTTCATTCGCTCCTGTACACCTACATCCTGCGGAATGATTTTGTGGCAGCCATTGCTTTTGTAGATGACCTGATTGTGAAAGCCAATCCTAGCCTAGCTGCTGACCTTCAACCCCAGCAGAAGATGTCGAGCCATGACCTCAAGGCTTCTGTCTTGTCTGTAGTTGCCAGCACATTGAGAACACAGGTAGATGACTCATTCTATCACTATAGCTTGTTTTCTCATGTTTTCATTTCTGGAATATTTGTTATTATATTTCATTTTGTTGTTGAGGCATTTGTTTACACATCCTGATTTATTTATTGATCACTGGTTGCACATCAGTGAGTTGTTGTTCGCTGGCTTCACTGCCATACAGCAGGAAAGTTTCAATATATCATGTGGGCTTTCCCTTTCAGACATTCTGTGAATGACTTAATAAAAAAATATATGTACAACCATGTATATTTTAGTCTGTTTAGTGCAGAAGAACCAGTGCCTTGAAAGGTTTCCAGCATTTGGTGAATTGTTCTGTATAAATTGAGTCAACAGCAGCTTGTAAATCCATGTTTTCTAGTAACTGACCCTCCATCTTCCTTAGGCACTGCATGACCCAGATATGATGCCTTGCATACGAGACAAGACCATACGCCAGCTGGTTCAGTCCATGGCCAGGTTTATGGCTGCTTATTTCAGTAATAACCTGATCTTCATCTTCCCACCACACAATCCTGCACCGCTGCCACCTGTTCATTTGGAAACATCTAACACCAGTAAGTGAGAACTTCAAGCAAGTTTCCGTGTGTTTCACGTCTTGTCTACCTGTGATGTGTAACTGTCATCTTATTGTGTGTGTCTACCAGTTAAAGGATTTAGAGGGTATAGAGCTAATTAAAGATGTAGAGGTTCTAGAGATTATAGAGCTAATTAAAGATGTAGAGGTTCTAGAGATTATAGAGATAATTAAAGATGTAGAGGTTCTAGAGATTATAGAGAAAATTAAAGATGTAGAGGTTCTAGAGATTATAGAGAAAATTAAAGATGTAGAGGTTCTAGAGATTATAGAGATAATTAAAGATGTAGAGGTTCTAGAGATTATAGAGATAATTAAAGATGTAGAGGTTCTAGAGATTATAGAGCTAATTAAAGATGTAGAGGTTCTAGAGATTATAGAGCTAATTAAAGATGTAGAGGTTCTAGAGATTATAGAGATAATTAAAGATGTAGAGGTTCTAGAGATTATAGAGATAATTAAAGATGTAGAGGTTCTAGAGATTATAGAGATAATTAAAGATGTAGAGGTTCTAGAGATTATAGAGATAATTAAAGATGTAGAGGTTCTAGAGATTATAGAGATAATTAAAGATGTAGAGGTTCTAGAGATTATAGAGATAATTAAAGATGTAGAGGTTCTAGAGATTATAGAGATAATTAAAGATGTAGAGGTTCTAGAGATTATAGAGCTAATTAAAGATGTAGAGGTTCTAGAGATTATAGAGATAATTAAAGATGTAGAGGTTCTAGAGATTATAGAGATAATTAAAGATGTAGAGGTTCTAGAGATTATAGAGATAATTAAAGATGTAGAGGTTCTAGAGATTATAGAGATAATTAAAGATGTAGAGGTTCTAGAGATTATAGAGATAATTAAAGATGTAGAGGTTCTAGAGATTATAGAGATAATTAAAGATGTAGAGGTTCTAGAGATTATAGAGATATTTAACCCACTGATTACCGTGCGCGCACATTATGCGATGTTTACTTTGCTTACCATGAACGCACCCATTGTGATTGTAACTTTAGATGTTTACCGGCGTGTTACAATTGAGACTTTTGCAATAGATATAGTTGAAACCATTAGTCCATTCATTTCTCTATTATTCTTTAAGAAAAACCATTCAGTAGTGCTTAAAGTAAATTGTCCACAAATTGTTTTGGTGAGCTCCCTTGTTGATGGCATAAAACATTTGTTTTGATAGTAGCGGTTGGTGGTTAGGGCGTCATGGTGGAAGAGTTTGGGTGATTTTCCTGATATTATGAAATATTGTCTTGATTGTTTAAAACTGGAAAGGAAGGTAAAGATATTTCTGAACACTTGCATGACTGTGACTTTGATCATTGTTACGAACTGCCCTCAAAAACATTGTCATAACTGGAAGACAGTGTTTTCCCTACAACAGCGGTGTGACAGTCAGATGTAGGTTATCTTTCATTATATCGGATAAACCATTTCATACGAGTGCTCCAGGTGTGTGTTGTCAGATGTGTTTGTAAGTGTAGATTATGTCTATTACAACTTTACGACTAGAGCAAGTCTGACTGACTTTCTACTACACCAGGACATCACACAAGCGATAAACACCCGATGACACAATGTGCCACCATGCGGATGAGTATCGCCGTGGAGAGGTCCCAGGAACCGCGTTCAGACTTTTGGCCATATTTATGGCCTGCCTATATTGCGGCCCCCGGCAAAGCCAGGGTGGAGCTTCAAATAAAAAACTTCATCCTGAAAAGGACGATAGAGAATATTATTATGACTAGAGCAAGTATCTGTTAAGCAGCTATTAGCAACAAATGGGCAGTAGAATCTATAAGGAGACTGGCCATATATAGAAGGGCAGAGGTCAGACAGCATTAAAAGCTTGTGACACAGTACCAGCCACCAAATGAAACTCAATGTTTTGATAACCTGCAACTTTCCCATGTGAAAATACAGATGTGAGTCATAAACAAGCCCACTCATGTCTTGTGCAAACATGTGCTCTGTCTTATAGACACCATTGATCTACCCTGTACCTAGAGCAGCCACTCATGTCTTGTGCAAACACTTGCTCTGTCTTATAGACACCAGTGATCTACCCTGTACCTAGAGCAGCCACTCATGTCTTGTGCAAACACTTGCTCTGTCTTATAGACACCAGTGATCTACCCTGTACCTAGTGCAGCCACTCATGTCTTGTGCAAACACTTGCTCTGTCTTATAGACACCAGTGATCTACCCTGTACCTAGAGCAGCCACTCATGTCTTGTCTTGTGCAAACACTTGCTCTGTCTTATAGACACCAGTGATCTACCCTGTACCTAGAGCAGCCACTCATGTCTGTGCAAACACTTGCTCTGTCTTATAGACACCAGTGATCTACCTCTGTCTTATAGACACCAGTGATCTACCCTGTACCTAGAGCAGCCACTCATGTCTTGTGCAAACACTTGCTCTGTCTTATAGACACCAGTGATCTACACTGTACCTAGAGCAGCCACTCATGTCTTGTGCAAACACTTGCTCTGTCTTATAGACACCAGTGATCTACACTGTACCTAGAGCAGCCACTCATGTCTTGTGCAAACACTTGCTCTGTCTTATAGACACCAGTGATCTACCCTGTACCTAGAGCAGCCACTCATGTCTTGTGCAAACACTTGCTCTGTCTTATAGACACCAGTGATCTACACTGTACCTAAGCACTCATGTCTTGTGCAAACACTTGCTCTGTCTTATAGACACCAGTGATCTACCCTGTACCTAGAGCAGCCACTCAGTCTTGTGCAAACACTTGCTCTGTCTTATAGACACCAGTGATCTACCCTGTACCTAGAGCAGCCACTCATGTCTTGTGCAAACACTTGCTCTGTCTTATAGACACCAGTGATCTACCCTGTACCTAGAGCAGCCCACTCATGTCTTGTGCAAACACTTGCTCTGTCTTATAGACACCAGTGATCTGTACCTAGAGCAGCCACTCATGTCTTGTGCAAACACTTGCTCTGTCTTATAGACAGCCAGTGATCTACCCTGTACCTAGAGCAGCCACTCATGTCTTGTGCAAACACTTGCTCTGTCTTATAGACACCAGTGATCTACCCTGTACCTAGAGCAGCCACTCATGTCTTGTGCAAACACTTGCTCTGTCTTATAGACACCAGTGATCTACCCTGTACCTAGAGCAGCCACTCATGTCTTGTGCAAACACTTGCTCTGTCTTATAGACACCAGTGATCTACCCTGTACCTAGAGCAGCCACTCATGTCTTGTGCAAACACTTGCTCTGTCTTATAGACACCAGTGATCTACCCTGTACCTAGAGCAGCCACTCATGTCTTGTGCAAACACTTGCTCTGTCTTATAGACACCAGTGATCTACACTGTACCTAGAGCAGCCACTCATGTCTTGTGCAAACACTTGCTCTGTCTTATAGACACCAGTGATCTACCCTGTACCTAGAGCAGCCACTCATGTCTTGTGCAAACACTTGCTCTGTCTTATAGACACCAGTGATCTACACTGTACCTAGAGCAGCCACTCATGTCTTGTGCAAACACTTGCTCTGTCTTATAGACACCAGTGATCTACACCAGTGTCTACCTACCTAGAGCAGCCACTCATGTCTTGTGCAAACACTTGCTCTGTCTTATAGACACCAGTGATCTACCCTGTACCTAGAGCAGCCACTCATGTCTTGTGCAAACACTTGCTCTGTCTTATAGACACCAGTGATCTACCCTGTACCTAGAGCAGCCACTCATGTCTTGTGCAAACACTTGCTCTGTCTTATAGACACCAGTGATCTACCCTGTACTAGTACCTAGAGCAGCCACTCATGTCTTGTGCAAACACTTGCTCTGTCTTATAGACACCAGTGATCTACCCTGTACCTAGAGCAGCCACTCATGTCTTGTGCAAACACTTGCTCTGTCTTATAGACACCAGTGATCTACCCTGTACCTAGAGCAGCCACTCATGTCTTGTGCAAACACTTGCTCTGTCTTATAGACACCAGTGATCTACCCTGTACCTAGAGCAGCCACTCATGTCTCAAACACTGCTCTGTGACACCAGTGATCTACTTGCTCATGTCTTGTGCAAAACACTTGCTCTGTCTTATAGACACCAGTGATCTACCCTGTACCTAGAGCAGCCACTCATGTCTTGTGCAAACACTTGCTCTGTCTACACTTAATTTTTGGCTGCTGCTCCTCTGGGTGGTGAGCTACTTTGTGGTAGAGAAGACATGGGGAAGGCTCTCTGGGATCATAAGGACAGTGCAATAGAACAGATAGGGAATCCATACACTGAAGGACTAATTCAGGGGGAGAAAAAGGGGGGGGGGGGTGGGTAGAGGTTCTGGAATAAAACCAACACTGAGGGGAAACACGGGCAGACTTGTAATCAAGATACAACTGGTACTGTTAGCATGTGGACTTTTCGTTGGTCACTTAAGGAAGGCTCAGAGTATGTGTGGGAGTTTCCTGAGTTAGATGATGTCAGTTTTTGATTCATTCATTCATTCATTTTCACTGACACTCAGTACTGGTGAGAGTATATTGTTTGTGGGGTTGGTGGGTCTGATCTTGACTCTGACTGAATGAGAAAACAGACCCTAGAGTCAAGACACTAACCACCGCTGCTCTAATGTTAATTTATTCATGCGTCTGCAGACCCAAGAGGCCCCTGTCTTTGCCTGATTGGCTCACTCCTGACTCTATCATGAAAAGGAAGCTGGAGGTATTGGTCAAAGATGGTAAGTCATGTCTAAGTTGTCTTTATCATCATCACCACCACCACCATTACCACCACAGCTACCACTACCACCACTGTCACCACCACCATAACTACCACCATCATCACCACCAACTCTGTGAGCATTAGGTTGGTGTCTGTTGGCAAAGATATACTTCAGATGACTAGAGGAACATGAGCAGTGTTGCTTTTATCCTAGCCAATCTGTGCTTTGCTGGGCTGAAGAATGACCTGGGTTAATCCTAGTAGACCTCTCTATAGACCCAAAGTTCTAGGTCTGTTTTCCATGCGATCTCACTGTCACAGACAGAATGTTTCAACTCATGGTCATGTTTTCCATGCCATCTCACTGTCACAAACAGACAATAGTTTTCATTGTTTCCCTCCTCAAAGTGTTGCTGCACAGTGCTGACTGTTTGCCTCCTGGCCCAGATATGGATTGTCCCCCACTGATCTTGAAAAGTCGACCCAGTCTAAAATTGATACAAGTAATTTCCTGGTAACTGACAGTCTGCACCGAGAGACCTGAGACCTGCTGTCATTAGCCTACCCCTTCCTTAGTTTGCTCCTAAGTGATTTCACAAACATTTCTTTTAATAGAATTTGACCTAGTAGAAAAACTTTATGGGGGTGGGGGGGGGGGGGGGGAAAGGGGGAGTTGATTTTTAGAGGTCCTCTGTTGTGATTTCATGCAAATATTAATGGCATATTTATGTGATTTGTTTCTTACAATTCAGATGTGAAACTAATGAATGACAGCTCAGATCTGACATACTTGACCAATGTACTCAAGGACATTTCACTGTCAGGAATCATGGGCTCTGTTGAGGTTGGTCCCTGGCTGCTGGAGCAGTTGGTTGAAAAACTTAAGTCGGTTGTCAGGCAGTTGCCTCCTCTTGTTGCTAAAGACTTTTACTTACCAGCACCGCCCCTCTTCCTACCACAACCTGCTGTCGGAGAACAGGTATTCCTTTCATGATTTCTGTTTTAACCTTTATTCTTTTCATGATTGCTGTTTTAACCTGTATTCCTTTCATGATTGCTGTTTTAACCTGTAATCCTTTCATAATTGCTGTTTTAACCTGTAATCCTTTCATGATTGCTGTTTTAACCTGTATTCCTTTCATGATTGCTGTTTTAACCTGTATTCCTTTCATGATTGCTGTTTTAACCTGTATTCCTTTCATAATTGCTGTTTTAACCTGTATTCCTTTCATAATTGCTGTTTTAACCTGTAATCCTTTCATGATTGCTGTTTTAACCTGTAATCCTTTCATGATTGCTGTTTTAACCTGTAATCCTTTCATGATTGCTGTTTTAACCTGTAATCCTTTCATGATTGCTGTTTTAACCTGTAATCCTTTCATGATTGCTGTTTTAACGGCTTGACAGACAGTGGACTGGTTCTTGAGGAGAATACTAGACATGGAGAACTGGGACACATTCTGACTGGACAACCACACAGCTGCTACACTGCCACCATTCTCATGTTCTCTTTCACTGCTGACATAATCTCCCCTTGATATTTACAGCAATGTTTCTTCTGGTTAACATTACTTTCACTGCTGACATAATCTCCCCTTGATATTTACAGCAATGTTTCTTCTGGTTAACATTACTTTCACTGCTGACATAATCTCCCCTTGATATTTACAGCAATGTTTATTCTGGTTAGCATTACTTTCACTGCTGACATAATCTCCCCTTGATATTTACAGCAATGTTTATTCTGGTTAACATTACTTTCACTGCTGACATAATCTCCCCTTGATATTTACAGCAATGTTTCTTCTGGTTAACATTACTTTCACTGCTGACATAATCTCTCCTTGATATTTACAGCAATGTTTCTTCTGGTTAACATTACTTTCACTGCTGACATAATCTCCCCTTGATATTTACAGCAATGTTTCTTCTGGTTAACATTACTTTCACTGCTGACATAATCTCTCCTTGATATTTACAGCAATGTTTCTTCTGGTTAACATTACTTTCACTGCTGACATAATCTCCCCTTGATATTTACAGCAATGTTTCTTCTGGTTAACATTACTTTCACTGCTGACATAATCTCTCCTTGATATTTACAGCAATGTTTCTTCTGGTTAACATTACTTTCACTGCTGACATAATCTCCCCTTGATATTTACAGCAATGTTTATTCTGGTTAACATTACTTTCACTGTTGACATAATCTCCCCTTGATATTTACAGCAATGTTTATTCTGGTTAACATTACTTTCACTGCTGACATAATCTCTCCTTGATATTTACAGCAATGTTTCTTCTGGTTAACATTACTTTCACTGCTGACATAATCTCCCCTTGATATTTACAGCAATGTTTATTCTGGTTAACATTACTTTCACTGCTGACATAATCTCTCCTTGATATTTACAGCAATGTTTCTTCTGGTTAACATTACTTTCACTGCTGACATAATCTCCCCTTGATATTTACAGCAATGTTTCTTCTGGTTAACATTACTTTCACTGCTGACATAATCTCTCCTTGATATTTACAGCAATGTTTCTTCTGGTTAACATTACTTTCACTGCTGACATAATCTCCCCTTGATATTTACAGCAATGTTTCTTCTGGTTAACATTACTTTCACTGCTGACACAGCCACTGGCCAGTGCATACCCATTGGTGAAGAAGACTGATCCCTGGTAGAGCATCACAAGTAGCATCAGCAATAGATGACCTGACCTACATACTGTAGCTGCCATGTCTTACTATAGGAATTACTGTTTTCCAGGGACATAACTCTCAAGAGGCAACAGAAGAAAGAACCCAGCGTGCAAAGGCATCCTCCATCATCCGTTTAGCCTTGTGTGTGATGGAGGCTGCCAACTTCTCACTAGCAGCAACCCAGTGGTATGTGTGTGCTCTGGCTGAAGCCCAGAAGAAAGCCTTACAGTTTAAGGTTAGTTTAGATTTTCAGTTTTCTCAGACTCCTAGCTTCTTCTTGTTTAACTCCTTCAGTGTTTATAAAGCTGGCACAAAATCCTGCAGTCAAGTTGGGCAGGTCAGGAGCTGAGGGAAAGATGACTATGCTGACTAGTGCACACAGGACAATAGAGGAAGGCAGGAGGATGGGGGTGAAAATGTCTGCGCTGGAATCTTTAAGGTGAAACAGATTTTATATATATGTGTATGTGTACATATTTATATACATATATATATATCTGGATGGATGGAGTGACCTAAAGAGCAAGAAGAAAATAATGAGAGACAAAGAAGAGTAATGAGAAGAAAAAAAAAGGGGTTTGGGCGGCTGCAGAAGATGGCCAAAAATGGATGGCATGGCAAATTTCTTCCTGGCCTATGCTCCGGTAGAGGATACAAAAATATTTGTGAAGCTACTTAGATACTTTAACACACTGTCTTTCTTCAGACATATAGATTTTCAGTTGATTCAATGATCTATTTTACAGGTCAGCATTGAGGGTCCATGTGTTGATCTTCCAGATGCCCTGTACCAGTACTTGGAGATGGACACTGACCATGTGTTGTTCACTAGCACCTCTGATGATGACCCATCAGTGCGGTCAGTACTGTCCAGCTTCAGGGACCTGTGTTCACTGGTCTGGTTATTGCACGCCCGAGACAAGCTTTCACTGGCCCTGCGCTCCAAAGAAAAACTCTTGAATCTTGTAAGTCGGCAGGGAAATCTATCTTTAAAATATGGGAGCAGAGCATCTGGCTATAGGCACATAATGGTTTATAGCTAGGCTGTGATATCTTCACCTTTCAACCTAACACATCGCTGGGCAAACTCTTGCTAACCTGTTACGATTATGAATTTTTCTCGCATTTATGGGCTTTTAATGACATGAAGTCTTTGTGTCGTAGCCACTATGCCTACACAACAGCTTTGCTACTGGCTGTAACTACACCGTTTGTTGACATGACGACGATGACTGTATGTAAAACATTTTGGATATTTTTCAGGTTTATACATTTTTTAGTGTGTTTTAATTACATTACAAAAGTTATGATGTCATTGTAACCTCATAGTAGTCTCATTTCCAGTTGTTTTGCTCCCTATGGCTAAGTCAAACCACATTTATCATGGTCAGAGAGCCCGGCTCTCTAGCGTAGTTGGCTAAACCGGATTACGCGGAGACCGGGTGACGAACTCCTTGTGGTCCGGGTTCAATCCTGGGGGTAGGCAGCAAAGCCTCATTTCTCCCAGATTTTACGGTATTTACAATGGAATCAAGGCCGAAAGGTTGCGATATCCATACTACCGAGCCTAAGGGTTAACATCTCATGGCTTCTGGATACTAAAACAAACAAAACAAACAAACATCATGGTCAGAGACATGGAAAGCACTTATTTCTCTGCTCGGTTTCTATATACTGATGTATTCTTACATTAAGTAAAAGTAAAATTCCCTTTTCCACGCCTTTCAGGTGTATAGGGTATATAGGGCTAGACCTATATTTTATAGACCAAACGGCACTTGTTGAGGGATGTGGTCAGCATCACGTCAACCGCCTTTACTTTCCAGGACTGTACCCGGTACCCACTCAAAGCTGGGTCGACCTGGGAGCCAAAGTCATTTTGAAAAATGTCCGGCCTCCATCAGTAACTGAACCCACGATCTTCTGATCCGCAGGTGAGTGTCTAGCCACTAGACCAAGGCGGCTCCCTTATTCTTACATAATTGTTTTTTTAATTTACAAGAAAAAAATTATTATTATTCTTTTAGTGATTTGACATCGACAATTGTAGCTGTGGACTTCTCACTTGCCTGTCTGCTCCATGATCTGGGGCTTTGGCCCCCTGGATTTTTATAAAAACTGACCAGGACGGCTAATTTCTTCTCCTTCTCTTCCTCTAGTTTCTTAGGCCAGAGTTTCAGAGAATTGTCATCCTGCATTTGTTTTTAATAAAATGTTGAAAAAGGTCATTTTCCCAAATCTGTTCAGATGTTTACGAGGTGAAAAAGTCAAGAAAGTGGGTCTATTCCCCCCCCCCCCCCCCCCCCCGTGTCCCCCACAGCTCAAACTAAATGAGGACCCAGAATCCACACAGCAAGTTATTCTTGTTTGATGTGAAATGTTGCCTCCATGGTTTTTTGTTTGACTGCATTGTATTTTTGATGTGAAATGTTGCCTTCATAGTTTTTTGTTTGACTGCATTGTATTATTGATGTGAAATGTTGCCTTCATGGTTTTTTGTTTGACTGCATTGTATTATTGATGTGAAATGTTGCCTTCATGGTTTTTCGTTTGACTGCATTGTATTTTTGATGTGAAATGTTGCCTCCATGGTTTTTCGTTTGACCGCATTGTATTTTTGATGCAAAATGTTGCCTTTAAGAAATAGTCTTGGCTTTTGTTTGATTGTATTTTGTGTTCCCCAGGGACTTGATGTAGAAAATGAGGAGCAGTGGCTGCGAGAGTGTTTCCTGACCTTGCAGTGGGCGGTCCACATGGTCACATTCAGTCATTTCCTGTCTGACGAAGCCAGCGTTTACAAAGTAATCCTTTTATCCAGTTACAAGCATTATCATTCAATTCATAGCTGTTAGCGTATTGTCTTTTCTATTCAGATTTATTGAACTGACTTCAATCTGTTTGTTTTTTCTCACTGAGACGGTGATCTGGATTTTTCCCCCAGCTGGTGCAGTATTATTTCCTCCTAACCAACATGGTTCTGCTGTCAACTATAAATCTTTCAAAAAATTTCCTTTTTTTTTTCAGAATTAAAGAAAGAAAAAGTGTGAAACAGAAAACATTAGGAGGAAGGAAATTTACCACACCACCACTATCATGGCGTAGAATAAATGATGACCAAACACTGAACGCTCTAATCACAGTCATTGGTTTAAGAGAAACTTTACCTTCATGTAGCCTCCCCCCCCCTTTCACTCTGTTCATTCATTTATCATCACCACCATCATTATCACCCTGTTGACCAATCAGCATTCACTGGATGAGACACCCTGTAGACCAATCAGCATTCAATGGGGGAGACACCTTGTAGACCAATCAGCATTCAATGGGTGAGACACCTTGTAGACCAATCAGCATTCAATGGGTGAGACACCCTGTAGACCAATCCACATTCAGTGGGAGGTGTGGTCAGTGTTGTATAAACTGATTTTACTTCTCAGAATCTTTCTGTTATGTAGACTAGGTCAACAAGGGCGCCCAGGTCATGGACACAGCTCTGCTTTGATTGGAGTGTGAACCTGTGACCACCCGGTCAGCAGGCTGGTGTGCTGCCTTCACAATTTGTGCTGGTGGAAAAGTAGAGGAGAAGTGTGGAAGGGGAAGTTGTTAAGGATGATCAGCACAGACTGAGAAGGAGACACATTGTGTTTTGTCTTTGTGACCGTGTGTGGTTTAACACGGTCTTGTCTGTTTTATCCTTGCTGGCCGTTAGTGGTTTAACATGGTCTTGTCTATGTTCTGTCTTGGGTGACTGTATGTGATTTAACATGGTCTTGTCTGTGCTCTGTCTTGGGTGACTGTGTGTGGTTTAACATGGTCTTGTCTGTGCTTTGTCTTGGGTGACCGTGTGTGGTTTAACATGGTCTTGTCTATGTTCTGTCTTGGGTGACTGTATGTGATTTAACATGGTCTTGTCTGTGCTCTGTCTTGGGTGACTGTGTGTGGTTTAACATGGTCTTGTCTATGTTCTACCTTTGGTGACCATATGTGCTTTAACATGGTCTTGTCTGTGTTCTGTCTTGGGTGACCGTATGTGATTTAACATGGCCTTGTCTATGCCCTGTTTTGATTGACTGTATGTGGTTTAATATTGTCTTGTCTATGTTCTACCTTTGGTGACCATATGCGATTTAACACGGTCTTGTCTATGTTCTGTCTTGGATGACTGTGCTTTAACATGGTCTTGTCTGTGTTCTGTCTCTTGTGACCATGTGTGGTTTAACGAGTTTTGTCTATGTTTTGTCCGGACTGACCTGTGTGGTTTAACATTCTATTGTTTGCATTGGTGTCCTTCAGGTGATCCTGTCTCTGCTCCTGGACTTCCCTGCGACAGAGGATGTTGCTGATGTACTGGCTGAGTGTATATGTGACCTCAACAACCTGCACCCAGAGGTACAGGAGCGGCTTGACCGGTTGCTGGACACCTGGCAGGTCAGTGCATCATCACCATCATGAGACCTACCAATAAGTATATACAATCATGAATGGAATTCACAGAACAAAGATAAAATGTCAAAGAAATAAATGTGCATTTTTTAAAGAAATGCATGAAAACTGAACTTGTTGACAAAAAGTAGACAAAGAAACTCAAGGTATTTAAACATGTTTTGAGGGGAAATGAAATGGAAGCTTGTTGACAACTTACAAACTTTGTAGTAACAGTGCCAGGGGAAGACAGAGAGATAAGTACCTGGGTGGCTTTTCAATTGGGCATGATTTGAAGATGAAAACAGACATGGTCGTAGATTGTGGAGATTGTGATTGTCTCCCTAATGTTTTGCTGTTTCGGTTATCATGGATGTGAAGCAGCTGATGTTCTAGGACAGATGTTTATACTTGTACCTTTTATCATGTCAGCAAGGCATCCTGAGCAGACACATGTGGGTAATTAAAGGGACAACACCCATGGCCTCCACAGTGATGGAGCATGTTGAACACTAAACACTTGGGCTTGTGTGAGAAAGTGTTACAATTCCCCCACACTGTAACTCTGATGGAGCATGTGCAGCACTAAACACTTGGCCTTGTGTGAGAAAGTGTTACAATTCCCCACACTGTAACTCTGATGGAGCATGTTGAACACTAAACACTTGGCCTTGTGTGAGAAAGTGTTACAATTCCCCCACACTGTAACTCTGATGGAGCATGTTGAACACTAAACACTTGGGCTTGTGTGAGAAAGTGTTACAATTCCCCCACACTGTAACTCTGATGGAGCATGTTGAACACTAAACACTTGGGCTTGTGTGAGAAAGTGTTACAATTCCCCCACACTGTAACTCTGATGGAGCATGTTGAACACTAAACACTTGGGCTTGTGTGAGAAAGTGTTACAATTCCCCCACACTGTAACTCTGATGGAGCATGATGAACACTAAACACTTGGGCTTGTGTGAGAAAGTGTTACAATTCCCCCACACTGTAACTCTGATGGAGCATGTTGAACACTAAACACTTGGCCTTGTGGGAGAAAGTGTTACAATTCCCCCACACTGTAACTCTGATGGAGCATGTGGAGCACTAAATACTTGGGCTTGTGTGAGAAAGTGTTACAATTCCCCCACACTGTAACTCTGATGGAGCATGTTGAACACTAAACACTTGGCCTTGTGGGAGAAAGTGTTACAATTCCCCCACACTGTAACTCTGATGGAGCATGTGGAGCACTAAACACTTGGTCTTGTGTGAGAAAGTGTTACAATTCCCCCACACTGTAACTCTGATGGAGCATGTTGAACACTAAACACTTGGCCTTGTGTGAGAAAGTGTTACAATTCCCCCACACTGTAACTCTGATGGAGCATGTGCAGCACTAAACACTTGGCCTTGTGTGAGAAAGTGTTACAATTCCCCCACACTGTAACTCTGATGGAGCATGTGCAGCACTAAACACTTGGCCTTGTGGGAGAAAGTGTTACAATTCCCCCACACTGTAACTCTGATGGAGCATGTTGAACACTAAACACTTGGCCTTGTGTGAGAAAGTGTTACAATTCCCCACACTGTAACTCTGATGGAGCATGTGGAGCACTAAATACTTGGCCTTGTGCAAGGAAGCCTAACAATTCCCCACACTGTAACTCTGATACCTTCTTGTTTCTGCTTTTTATGTTCAAATTTCCACCATCATTGGAGTTTTTAAAAATAATTTTCTCTAATATGATAAATGATATGGCAAATGATTTGCCTAATGAGATACTAACTACCTCACCTTGCCATTGCTAGTTAGTCTATGCACATGCGGCTCTGTCACATATATGATATGTTTCAAGACATAGAAAAGGCTTAGGGATATTCCACACTAAATCTACAATTTGCCACAAATAGTCAGAACAAATTCTTCAGCTACATTTTAAGTTAACAAAAAAAAAAAAAAAAACCCACCTGAGATTTATTCCAGAAAATACATAAACAGGAAACTGAAGTCACTTTTTGTGTTTTATTTTATACAGAGGATAATCCTGGCACCAGAAGCTAAGGGAAAACTAGCAGGGAACAGGGAGGATGGAGGAGGGAACAGTTCAAGTTTGTTTCAACATGGGAGTCCCAGAGGCAAGAGTCTAAGTGTCTACTACCACAAACAGTGCCTGGTGAGTGTGATTATGTAGACACCTGGTTAGTGTATCCATGTAGGCACCTGGTTAGTGTGTTTGTAAAGACATATGGTTAGTGTGTTCATGTAGACACCTGGTTAGTATGTCCATTTATACACCTGGTTAGTGTGTTCATGTGGACACCTGGTTAATGTGTTCATTTATACACCTGGTTAGTGTATTCATTTATACACCTGGTTAGTGTGTTCATGTGGACACCTGGTTAATGTGTTCATTTATACACCTGGTTAATGTGTTCATTTATACACCTGGTTAGTGTATTCATTTATACACCTGGTTAGTGTGTTCATGTAGACACCTGGTTAGTGTGTTTATTATATAGAGACCTGGTTAGTATGTTCATATATAAATCTGGTAAGTGCATTCCTATAGACACCTGGTTAGTTTATTCATGTCGACACATGGTTAGTGTGTTCCTGTGGTTAGTCAGCATGTTTATGTAGACACCTGGTTGATGTGTTCATTAGAAATTTTGAGACTTCCTCTGTAGACTCAGAACCAGATAACGGTTTCCTTGTATGTAGACACTAGTCCCTTATCAAAGAACGACTGACCATGATCTCCACTGTGAATTAAACAAATGAAACAAAGAGAGAGGATGCTATCTCGGGATAGAAGCCTCATGGAGAAAACTGGTAATAGTAAAATGAGTATGTTCTTGCATTAAAACCCTCAGGCTGTAAAAAAAAAAAATAAACACATGGAAAAGAGAATTAGACACAATTTGACCTTTTTGCCCTCTGTAAGCCGAAAAACTAAAACTTCTGGTTGGGTACAGTTCCCTGTTAATGTCACTTTCTGACTTGCCTATCATGACATGTTTACCAGATGTCAAGTTTATGCAGTTGGCTGAGTTTTCACCTGCACAAATGTTTAGGAGGCCAGGATTTTCATGAAGTTACTAATAATAACATTTAGAGAGATTTTCATTTGTGCCAAGATGACATATTTTCTCATTAGCATTCATGGTAAAGGTCACAGGGTCACAGCATGAGTCACCCAATGAGCATATGTTTTTGAGTTTCAGGTGGATATATTCAATTTAGTGTTTCACCCCGTACATGTGTTTTGATTACTGCTTTCACATATCTTTATATATTTCAAAAAAAAAATAATTTTAAAATGTCAATAAATACATTTTTTTTCGTTTGTTTACAAAGTTCTTAGTGACCTGTGTAAAAATTGTTGTTGTTTTTACCCCTCCCCCCCCCCTTCCCGTCCCCCAATAATCCTAAGGGGATCGGGGCCAATTTTTTTGTTTAGAGTTCTTGGGTGAAAAGGTTAATATGGGGAGGACAGGGGTAGGCTGCAGAAGATGGCAAAATATAGGCTGCTTTGGCTTGGGTTTGTTGCGGGCATGTACCCCAGTAGGGAAAGAGATGTCACACTAGAATGTGATGAAGTTCGGTAATGTGAATTTGTTTTTTTTTTCAGGTTGTGGAAAAGATTATCAAGAAGAAGAAACAGTTCTTCGGTTCATATGAAGAATTTGTCTTTGCAGACATCAGGGATGAGTCTAGGAAACCAGGCTATGAACTTAGCGTTGGCTCTTATCCATTTGAAACCAAGAGGCTTTATGTGGAGTTTTTGGACACTTTTGTCTCCATCAGTTTTAGCCACATCTTGGAGTCAGTTTCTGACAAAAACAAGAACTTCAGCCTGCCAATGTTGCAGGTGTTTTCTACAGACATTGTTAACAGAGAAATTATGAAATTTGTTGAGGGAAAGTCTAGCTCTGCGCACAAAAAGCAGCAAGAACTCTCTGTGTTCTCTGGTGCTTCGAAAGCCCTGGCTCGGGCATCCAGCCAGGAAAGAACTCAGTCACCTGCAAGGAAAAACTCAGAGACTTTGGCTCGACCTGTTCCAGGCAGGGGGTATGGCAGAGAAATGATGCAACTCACGGGGAAGAAAGAACAGAATTTACAAACTGGCAATTCTGGTGGTCTGTTTCGAGGGATGAGTATGGTGGATCCACAGTCAGAGAAGAGCTACGCTCCTGTCAGAAGGTAAGGAATGTCATCTCATTGTTTAAACACTGTATGTGTATTCCCTTTGGAAGCTGCAGTTGTGCCATGGTGAGCACACTTGCTTGCCAGCCTGGGGGCTGTAGGTTTGAGTCCTCATACAGGTGAGTACTTATACAACCACATCACTCACTGAGAGCTGATTGGTCTATGAAAGGATGAGGCTAGCACCATATAGCCAGTACATTTGTTTGGTGTTGACAAAGGTCCTTGACCTGAAAGGTGGGCACAAGGGTCCTTGACCTGAAAGGTGTGGACAAGGGTCCTTGACCTGATCTAGGTGGGCACAAGAGTCCTTGACCTGACCTAGGTGTGGACAAGGGTCCTTGACCTGAAAGGTGTGGACAAGGGTCCTTGACCTGAAAGGTGGGCACAAGGGTCCTTGGCCTGAAAGGTGTGGACAAGGGTCTTTGACCCGACCTAGGTGGGCACAAAGGTCCTTGACCCGACCTAGGTGGGCACAAAGGTCCTTGACCTGACCTAGGTGGGCACAAGGGTCCTTGACCCGACCTAGGTGGGCACAAGGGTCCTTGACCTGAAAGGTGTGGACAAGGGTCTTTGACCCGACCTAGGTGGGCACAAGGGTCCTTGACCTGAAATGTGTGGACAAAGGTCTTTGACCCGACCTAGGTGGGCACAAGGGTCCTTGACCTGACCTAGGTGGGCACAAAGGTCTTTGACCTGACCTAGATGGGCACAAAGGTCCTTGACCTGACCTAGGTGGGCACAAAGGTCTTTGACCCGACCTAGGTGGGCACAAAGGTCCTTGACCTGACCTAGGTGGGCACAAGGGTCCTTGACCTGAAAGGTGTGGACAAGGGTCCTTGACCTGACCTAGGTGGGCACAAAGGTCCTTGACCTGACCTAGGTGGGCACAAAGGTCCTTGACCTGACCTAGGTGTGCACAAAGGTCCTTGACCTGACCTAGGTGGGCACAAAGGTCCTTGACCTGACCTAGGTGTGCATAAAGGTCCTTGACCTGACCTAGGTGTGCACAAAGGTCCTTGACCTGACCTAGGTGGGCACAAGGGTCCTTGACTTGACCTAGGTGGGCACAAAGGTCCTTGACCTGAAAGGTGTGGACAAGGGTCCTTGACCTGACCTAGGTGGGCACAAAGGTCCTTGACCTGACCTAGGTGGGCACAAGGGTCCTTGACCTGACCTAGGTGTGCACAATTGTCCTTGACCGGAACTAGGTGGGCACAATTGTCCTTGACCGGATTTGTGTGGTCAAGGGTCCTTAACTTGATTGGTATGGACAAGGGTTCTTGACCTGTTTGGTATAGACAATGGTCCTTGACCTGACATAGGTGGGTACAAGAGTCCATTGACATGACCTAGATGTGAACAAGCATCACTGACCTGACCTAGGTGGGCACAAGAGTCCTTGACGAGACCTGATGTCTAAAGTAACTCCAGTTCTCTAATCATTTATAATAACATGACTAATTGATTCTTGTGTGCACACAGTGTGTTGTGTTGTGCTGAGGAACTATCCAATGATACCACATTAAGTGTCTGTCATTTGATGTTCTTAAAACGTTACTACGACTTGAGCTTGTGGCTTTATGAACTGTTGAGGATAACACATGTACTCTGCCCAGAGTGGGCTGAGTGGCTTTAGTCAATCATGTCCCTCTGTAGCTCCTATATCATGTCCATCTGTGGCTCCTAGACACCAACATTTCCACTCCCCTTCCTCCTCCAAAAGCGTGTCACGAAAATGCAGGTAATTAGTGGTTTGTTGATATTGAGTGTGTTGGGTTGAAAGGTGCAGATATCACAGCCTTGCTGTAAACCACAACACAATGTGCCAACTACCCTTTTAGTGGGAAATACAGAATAAGAAGAAGATTCTGTTTACTTTAAAACCTATCCACAATTTCCCATCTTTTGTTTTTCTGCCACACATTATTGATGTTTTTGTTGTTGTTGAATTGTTCAACCAGGTATGAGAGTGAGCCAGTTCTAGATGACCTCGATAGTTTTGCTGGATCTGAAGCACAAGCTTCACCTGATATCAGCAGACGCAAGCAGAGTTTGACAGAATTCACCTCCAGTTTCTGGCGATCAGAAGAGAACCTTTACCCTGGCACTGGCAGGAAAGACCCAGGGAAGCCATCGTTTTCCCTGATTGTCAGTTTTGGCAAGAAGTACACAGTACTACAGCAGATGGTCGAGTGGTTGGAGCTCTGGGGTAGCCAGTTTCACAGTCTTGGAGTCCCTGGTGGAGAGAAGATCCTAGACATAACTGTGAGTATGTGTAGATATATGTGTGTGTGTGTGTGTGTGCATGCGTGCGTGCATGCATATTCATATTTGACTTTTTTTCTTTCGTTGTGATGTATTTGTTATATTTGTTTTAGCTTTTACGAGGGAAAGTCAATTAGTAAGTCACAAATGTTTATGAAATGGCTGAAAAATGTAGTTGATGGTTTCTCAAGGTGTCATTAGGTGACAGCAACATCCAACTTTATCTCTCCGTTCATTAGGTGCCGCTAGGTGTTGCATAAAATGGCGACTGTACTTACGGAGTGTATTTTCAAAGAACAACCTGCTGTTGTTGGGTGGGTGGGAGGGCTGCCTTAAAAGGAAATTAATAAGGAAATTCTTTCTCTTTATGCCGACAAATGTTTATCCCGTAAAGTTCTTTTGATGCTTCTTGATTCAATTGGAAGAAAACGCCCAGGCCTGCTGACTAGAGATCTATCGCTCCTTCATGACAATGCCAGACCAAATATGGCTTGCTTAACTCAGGAGAACATTAACCCTCTAGGGTGGGAACTTCTGGAACATCCACCTTACAGCCCCGACTGAGCCCCTAATAATTGGTCCACTGAAAACCCACTTTGATGAGTGACATTTGGCGAATGATGCAGAAGTTGAATGTGAAGTTTAGAAAACAGAGCAGACATTTGTATGCAGAAGGTTTGGAAGGACTGATAAAACGGTGGCACAAGTGCATCAATGTCGGTGGAAATTATGTTGAAAAATACAGGGACAGTGTATGTGTAAAAATAAATCTTGTTCAAGTTGTTATCGTCTTAAGTATTTTTTAAACGACCATTTGTGTCTTACGTATTGACTTCCCCTAATATAAAGTTTGTATGCATGCTGGCACATTAACCAGTGACACACTTCATGTATTTCAACCAGGGCAAGGAAATTATGAAACAAGATACAGTTGCTGTTGTTGGGCTTTTTGTAATCAGCATTTAAAATTGTAAACTAAGAGCAGAATTTATTATAGGTCTGTATGTTCGGTGCCTAACTCTTTACAAGTAAAGTCTGTATTTTTCTTCCTTCGTTTCTTGTGAAAAAAATGTGTTTCTTTCATTAAAAACAAGATGTCCAATGTTTTCAGCCAAAGATCAAGATTCACATTCCAGCACAACTGATTGTTCTAGCACTGTGGCTGCTAGAGCATAAATACAGTCCTAGCAGTACAGCAAATCATGGCCGAGAGAAGTCTCCACATGGTCGGCCATCAGCAAGGCAGAACCAGAGTTCATTACAATTTCAAACATCAGATTCTGCTAAAAGGTAAAATGTTTTGTTATTCTGTTAATTGTTTTTATTGTGCAGTCATGTTTTGTTTCTAGATAATAATATTCTAATTATAAACACATTTTGATGTGCCAAATCTTTCGGCATGACACGTAGTTTGATCCAGTGCTAAACGATCTTTGGAGCTGCACATTTTTCTTGGTTTCAACCAACTCCCTGTAGAAGTCTCCACAGGTGAAAGGATCCACTTAATTGTGTCCACTTTCATGTCAGTGGCTTGTCCTGTGTTTTCCCTAAACCCAACGACAGAGTGGAGGATCCACTTTATTGTGTCCACTTTCATGTCAGTGGCTTGTCCTGTGTTTTCCCTAAACCCAACGACAGAGTGGAGGATCCACTTTATTGTGTCCACTTTCATGTCAGTGGCTTGTCCTGTGTTTTCCCTAAACCCAACGACAGAGTGGAGGATCCACTTTATTGTGTCCACTTTCATGTCAGTGGCTTGACCTGTGTTTTCCCTAAACCCAACGACAGAGTGGAGGATCCACTTTATTGTGTCCACTTTCATGTGAGTGGCTTGACCTGTGTTTTCCCTAAACCCAACCGCAGAGTGGAGGATCCACTTTATTGTGTCCACTTTCATGTCAGTGGCTTGTCCTGTATCTTTCCTACACCCAACAACAGAGTGGAGGATCCACTTTATTGTGTCCACTTTTATGTGAGTGGCTTTTCCTGTATCTTCCCTAAACCCAACGACAAAATGCTAAACTGAAGCCACTACCTGGAGCCCATAAGTCAATGTTTATTGACTTTACTACAGAGGCCTTAACTTAAAATGTTTTTATGCAGTGACCAAAAGACCTTAACTCCCTCTCTCTCTCAGTGCAGTGACCAAAAGACCTTACTCCCTCTCTCTCTCAATGCAGTGACCAAAAGACCTTAACTCCCTCTCTCTCTCTCAATGCAGTGACCAAAAGACATTAACTCCCTCTCTCTCTCTCTCAATGCAGTGACCAAAAGACCTTAACTCCCTGTGTCTCTCAATGCAGTGACCAAAAGACTTTACCTCACTCTCTCTCTCAATGTAGTGACCAAACAACCTTAACTCCCTCTATCTCTCTTCATTGATTAAAATCTCCATTTCACATTAATACCAGCCAGCCAGTTCAAGAACTAATTCTGCTCCTGCAATCATTTGTCATGGCAAGTCATCGCTAGATTAATTTTTCCAGCCATTATTTTCCTGGGGCTGACCCAGCCTCGTCATCAGCACCAGACCATTTTCTAGGATTAGCCTGGGATTTGACTGCATTTGTCTGGGATTTTTCTGAGATTTGACTGGTCTACCTGGGATTTGACTGCATTTGTCTGGGATTTTTCTGAGATTTGACTGGTCTACCTGGGATTTGATTGCATTTGTCTGGGATTTTTCTGAGATTTGACTGGTCTACCTGGGATTTGACTGCATTTGTCTGGGATTTTTCTGAGATTTGACTGGTCTACCTGGGATTTGATTGCATTTGTCTGGGATTTTTCTGAGATTTGACTGGTCTACCTGGGATTTGATTGCATTTGTCTGGGATTTTTCTGAGATTTGACTGGTCTACCTGGGATTTGTCTGCAATTTGTGTGTGATTTGACTGGGGTTTGTCTGTGGTTTGTTTCATATTGGTCAGTGATTTGACTGGGATTTCACTGGAAAGGAGATGAGAGATGACACTTGCCAGCTGACCTCACATATCAGGACCTATAATATGTGGTCACAGCATCTCACATTACAATGGCAGTATAAGACCCTCTTTACCTTTTCTAATTGTATACATCCGGGTCAGCCCGCAGAGCCATTATCATCATCATCATCATCAGGTTAATCATTCTGAAGACTTGTTATGAAGTCATCTGACCATGTCTTCCTACTGTCTCCTGTTCTTTGAATATTTGAAACCATCCGTTCAAGTCTTTGAATTCCACAGGTCAACATCTGGTCGCTCACAAAAACCTGCCAAGCAAAGATCAGGACCTCTGCAAAAATCAGAAGTAGCAAAATATGTAACAGTCCAAGAGACAGGGCCTCACAAGTGAGATATCTGTGGACTCCTCTTGTTGGTGTCTGACTTGTGTATTGTTTAAACCAGTAAAATTAGGACATCAGACGGGAAATGTTTGGAGCAGTTTTTTCTTTCTCTCTCTCTCTCTCTGTCTCTCTCTCTCTCTCTCTCTCTCTCTCTCTCTCTCTCTCTCTCTCTCTCTCTTTCTCGCTCTCTCTCTGTCTCTCTCTTCCTTTCTTTAGCATTTTAGTTCCCTTTCTGTCTCTATTTATTCTCTCTTTTCCTGTGTCTGTTTTTCTTTCCGTCTATATCTGTTTAAAAATTTTGGGTTGAAGAAAAAGTGTAGACTGGGTGTCACAAGCATAATGTTATAGATAAGAAATAGGTCAAGCAGAAGATAAAAATACCTGAAAGAACATTGACCATGAGAGGTAAACATAGAATATTGACCATCAGAGGTAAACATAGAATATTGACCATCAGAGGTAAACATAGAATATTGACCATCAGAGGTAAACATAGAATATTGACCATCAGAGGTAGACATAGAATATTGACCATCAGAGGTAAACATAGAATATTGACCATCAGAGGTTAACATAGAATATTGACCATCAGAGGTAGACATAGAATATTGACCATCAGAGGTAAACATAGAATATTGACCATCAGAGGTAGACATAGAATATTGACCATCAGAGGTAAACATAGAATATTGACCATCAGAGGTAGACATAGAATATTGACCATCAGAGGTAAACATAGAATATTGACCATCAGAGGTAGACATAGAATATTGACCATCAGAGGTAAACATAGAATATTGAGCATCAGAGGTAAACATAGAATATTGACCATCAGAGGTAGACATAGAATATTGACCATCAGAGGTAAACATAGAATATTGAGCATCAGAGGTAAACATAGAATATTGACCATGAGAGGTAAACATAGAATATTGACCATCAGAGGTAAACATAGAATATTGACCATCAGAGGTAAACATAGAATATTGACCATCAGAGATAAACATAGAATATTGACCATCAGAGGTAAACATAGAATATTGACCATCAGAGGTAAACATAGAATATTGACCATCAGAAATTAACATACAAGGTTCTCCACATTTCTTGTTCATGTTTAAAAATAGAATATGTTTCAACCAATTGAATGCAGTTTCCACAATAACGGTTGGCTGCCATGGCAGGGCAGGAAGAAATCTGACCTGGTTGATGCCCATCTCCCTCCAGGCCAGCCAGTGCCCCATTAGCCTGAAAACTCACAGCTTCACCTTTCTGGTGTGCACCATGAGGGAGGTAGGGTTGACCTGGGTGGTGTAAGGGCGGTTGGCAGGGTACTTCAATTTCACCTTTCTGGTGTGCACCATGAGGGAGGTAGGGTTGACCTGGGTGGTGTAAGGGTGGTTGGCAGGGTACTTCAATTTCACCTTTCTGGTGTGCACCATGAGGGAGGTAGGGTTGACCTGGGTGGTGTAAGGGTGGTTGGCAGGGTACTTCAATTTCACCTTTTACCTCTCCGAAGAGGAGCTAGCCAGCCTTAACAATTCTGGTTCCAGTGCAAAGCAGTTTGGCACATCCTTACACACCAACCAACCCAAAGTACTTTGGCACATCCTTACACACCAAGCAACCCAAAGTACTTTGGCACATCCTTACACACCAAGCAACCCAAAGTACTTTGGCACATCCTTACACACCAACCAACCCAAAGCACCTTGGCACATCCTTACACACCAACCAACCCAAAGTACTTTGGCACATCCTTACACACCAAGCAGCCCAAGTAGTACCTTTACACACCAACCAACCCAAAGCACACATCCTTACACACCAACCACCTTGGCACCCTTACAACCAACCAACCCAAAGCACCTGGCACATGGCACACACCTTGGCACACATCCTTACACACCAAGCAACCCAAAGTACTTTGGCACATCCTTACACACCAAGCAACCCAAAGTACTTTGGCACATCCTTACACACCAACCAACCAGTAATAAAGAATATAATTGCTCAAATACACTTTGGAAACAGTAATTAGGGACCCCTTTAGATGGCTGCTTCTTCAAAGTAAGAATGGAATGCCTAGTCACATTGATTGGGGTAATATAACTTAGCCCTTAAGGAAGTTACACTTCAGAATAACTGAGTCAGCACCTATTTGGTCAGTGGTTCTCAACTTTTTTTGACTGTTGACTCTTTGCTCTATTCTTGACTTTCCTTTCTTCCCTGCACATCCTACTTGACTTAAGATCGCTTGAAGAATTGAAACTGTCATTCCTGCTGGGTGTCAACAGAGTGATTTCAGTTTATTATCTACTTTGGTAGATGACATTGATGTCTGTTTATGACACTGACTTCTGTTTATGACATTGACTTCTGTTTATGACCTTTTTCTGTTTATGACATTGACTTATGTTCATGACACTGACTATTGTTTATGACACTGACTTCTGTTTATGTGATGTCATGTTTTTTGTTTTGTTTCTTTGTTAGTCTAGAAGAAGTGACCAGAAGCCAAAATGCTCAGGTTTTGGGACTTTCTGTTCCTCCTGCTACACAAGAGCAAGATGAGATCATTCATGCATATACCAATATACTGGATGAGTAAGTCAGCTCTCACTGTTGTTGTTACAGTGTTGTTGTTGTTACAGTGTTGTTGTTACAGTGGTGTTGTTACAGTGTTGTTACAGTGTTGTTGTGTTACAGTGTTGTTGTTACAGTGTTGTTGTTACAGTGTTGTTGTGTTACAGTGTTGTTGTGTTACAGTATTGTTTTGTTACAGTGTTGTTGTTGGTAGAAATGACAGCAGTTTAAAAATGACCATCAGAAGCTTGCAGGCTGGCACAGGTAGTCTTGGTTGTGCACATCTGGCCATCTTCAGCAGCACCTACAGGGTGGCATGCTGATACCTGGCAATGCTGTGGCCACCAGCTGTCCAGAATGTTCTCTCATTGTCTTCCTCTGTCTGTCTCTTATCTTATAAATCTTTCTGGGTTGCCTCTTTCTGTTGTTTTTGATATGCACTGGGCTAAAGAGGATTTGGAATTATGATCCAAATAGGCCAGCCCGCTTACTTCCTCTAGAAGATCAAGAAAAGAAGAGAATACTTGTTGCAAAAGAGCCTGGTGTTACTGATGATGTACACTTGCACGAGGTTACTGAACAGTTTGTTGCACGTCCTTGACATGATTTTCAGAACCAACCCCAGCATGTTTTGGCTGGATTTCACCAGGTAGTTTTTCGTTCAGTAGTTTGCCAATGCGAAGCCGTCAGCTGCCTAATCACCGACAGCTAGGATTAAACCCAGCACCCTAGAATTATGAAAGTTATTCACAGCACCTAAGCCACAGATGTCGACAAGAGATTACTAGCTGTCTCATTTTAACATGTTATTTTATATTTATGATTACTATTTATGATTGATGTTGATTGTTTATATTTATAATTGATCGTATTTGTTGAAAATATACACTGTTTGTTGTTGTTACTGATTCAGACATGAGGAGAGCAGTTCCATTGACGTCAGCTCCTTGGCATCTGATGAACTTGATGGCAACTTGAAAACAACACTCAATCTTATTAGGAGGTAAATGTACCAACACTCTTTTTTTTTCTTTCTGGGATAATCTTACAGTGTATCTTTCGTGAGCATTATCAACTCAGTGTATCTTTCTGGGATAATCTTACAGTGTATCTTTCATGAGCATTATCAACTCAGTGTATCTTTCTGGGATAATCTTACAGTGTATCTTTCATGAGCATTATCAGCTCAGTTCATATGTATTATGTCCAGATCCCTCTCTCTTTCTCTGTCTCTCTCCCTGTCTCTCTGTTTGTCTCTGTCTGTCTCTGTCTGTCTCTCTGTCTGTCTGACTCTCTCTCTCTCTCTCTGTCTCTCTCTCTCTTTCTCTGTCTCTCTCTCTCTGTCTCTCTGTCTCTCTCTCTGTCTGTCTCTCTCCCTGTCTCTCTGTCTGTCTCTCTGTCTGTCTGACTCTCTCTGTCTCTCTGTCTGTCTGTCTCTCTCTCTCTCTATCTCTCTCTCTCTTGTATTTCTTTTTCCTCTTGAGTTTTTCTTCATCCCCCTCCTTCTTCTCTTTAGTCTTCTTTCCCCACGTATCTTCTGTTAGAATGACATTTTTACAATATAACATTTTCAGAATGTGGATTGGCCAGTGTTTTTTCACTTTGTAAACAATTGTATATACGACACTCAGCAACTATTGGCTAATTATATCGTCTTTCTGATATTTGAACAAGTATATAGTTTTAACGTATACTCTTGAGTTACCATTTTTTTTTTCAGAACCAGTTCAGAGAGCCTCCTCAAAGAGAATTCAGCTCTCAATCGTACTCTCTTGCCCAGTGATGACACAGGGGGACCTGGTTTGAACCCTCCACAACCTAAAGACAGGGGCACTCTTGCAAAACAACATCATGCAGATGCAGGTAGAGAAGCTCTATTGATATAATCGTTTCATAGAATTCTTTTTGACAAACATGTCATTCTTCCATTTCCTCAAACAATGGTTTACCGGCACCATTGTTACAGCACTTGGGTCATGCCTTTGTGTGCTCTGTCTCCCTCAAAAGAGGTTGATAAGTAACATATGATAATTTGTCTTGTATAAAAGAGGTGAAAGTTGCTTTTCTAGTCCTGGAGGCAGTGTAGGCATATGGTGATACCCCCATAAATTAAATGACCAAACGACATTTGATAAATGATGTGGTTTTCTTCATGCTATCCACTTTTACTTCCGTGAACATCCACTTTTACATCCGTGAACATCCACTTTTACATCAGTGAACATCCACTTTTACATCCGTGAACATCCACTTTTACATTCGTGAACATCCACTTTTACATCCTTGAACATCCACTTTTAGATTCGTGAACATCCACATTTAGACTGGATCAACATGGAAGTCTGAATCCATTTGTTAAAGTCTCTGCTGGGATGGGGATTTATTCACATGACCAGCAGGACTGCCGGCAGGCAAGCTGGCGATCTGGCCACCATAACACTTCACACTGTCACCAACCCTTGTCTTCCATGTCTACTTTTACATCATCTACCATGGCCTAACACTTCACACTGTCACCAACCCTTGTCTTCCATGTTTGCTCTAACATCTGACATAACCTAACACTTCACACTAACTATCACCAACCCTTGTCTTCCATGTTTGCTTTAAGTGTATGTTTTGTGACCTAGAGAAGTCCCAACACTTCATCACCCAAACAACACCTGGATCTGCCCAGACATTAATTCTTGTCTTATCTGTCTGCTCTAACATCAGCCTCACAAAATCATCGGAATACTCACAGTCAAACAGACAAGAACAGCAACCATCCCAAGAGGCAACCAGCTTCTGATGGACATCCCAACCCAGTCAGAAGGGAGGATCTGGGAGGGGACATCGCCAGTCAGCTGCAAGGGGTCATTAGAGATGAGTTGCGGAGAATCATGGAGGTCTGTAGTTCTCTGTGTGTTAGTGTTTAATATTTTCCTTCAACAATGATAGTACTGCCTACCATCTCAAGTAGCTTACACAGCACCTTAGACTTGCCAGATGCCAGTGAGAGTCGGTCCAATTGTGGGGACCACAAATCCAGATGAAGTTGAATCTGTATGACTATATTGCATGACACTAAGGGTTAGCAGAACACAGAACTGAAAACTGGGTGGAAAACAACAGTATATGTTGGCAGGAGGCAGTCGTATCATAGTTAATTATGCTGCCTTCACAAAGTAGTGGTCAAGGTTTTATCCCTGGCAGTGATTTGGGGGAGGGGAGGGGCAGCATTATGGATGAGATTAAGGCAGCATTGTAGATAAGATTCAGGCAGCATCATGGATGAGATTGAGACAGCATTGTAGATAAGATTGAGGCAGCATCGTGGATGAGATTGAGGCAGCATCATGGATGAGATTGAGACAACAATGTAGATAAGATTGAGGCAGCATCGTGGATGAGATTGAGACAGCATTGTAGATAAGATTGAGACAGCATCATAAATGAGTTTAATGCAGCATCATGGATGAGTTTAAGGCAGCATCATGGATGAGTTTAAGGCAGCATCATGGATGAGTTTAAGGCAGCATCATGGATGAGATTGAGACAGCATTGTAGATAAGATTGAGACAGCAACATGGATGAGTTTAAGGCAGCATCATGGATGAGATTGAGGCAGCATTGTAGATAAGATTGAGGCAGCATGATGGAAGAGATTGAGACATCATTGTAGATAAGATTGAGGCAGCATGATGGATGAGATTGAGACAGCATTGTAGATAAGATTGAGGCAGCATTATTGATGAGAATGAGACAGCATTGTAGATAAGATTGAGAGAGCATTGTAGATGAGATTGAGACAGCATTGTAGTTAAGATTGAGGCAGCATCTTGGATGAGATTAAGACAGCATCATGGATGAGATTGAGGCAGCATCATGGATGAGATTGAGACAGCATTGGATAGATTGAGATTGATGAGATTGAGGCCGCAGGATGAGATTGAGACAGCATCATGAGATGAGATTGAGAGCCAGCATCATGTAGATTGAGATTGAGACAGCATTGTAGATGAGATTGAGATAGCATCATAGATGAGATTGAGGCAGCATCATGGATGAGATTGAGGCCGCATCATGGATGAGATTGAGGAAGCATCATGGATGAGATTGAGGCAGCATCATGGATGAGATTGAGGCCGCATCATTGACAAGATTGAGGCAGCATTGTAGATGAGATTGAGACAGCATCATGGATGAGATTGAGACAGCATTGTAGATAAGATTGAGGCAGCATCATGGATGAGATTGAGGCAGCATTGTAGATAAGATTGAGACAGCATTGTAGATGATATTGAGACAGCATTGTAGATAAGATTGAGACAGCATTGTAGATGAGATTGAGACAGCATTGTAGATAAGATTGAGACAGCATTGTAGATGGGATTGAGACAGCATTGTAGATAAGATTGAGACAGCATCTTGGATGAGATTGAGACAGCATTGTAGATAAGATTGAGACAGCATTGTAGATAAGATTGAGACAGCATTGTAGTTAAGATTGAGGCAGCATCATGGATGAGATTGAGGAAGCATCATGGATGAGATTGAGGCAGCATCATGGATGAGATTGAGGACGCATCATGGATGAGATTGAGGCAGCATCATGGATGAGATTGAGGCCGCATCATGGATGAGATTGAGGCCGCATCATTGTAGATGAGATTGAGACAGCATTGTAGATGAGATTGAGACAGCATTGTATATGAGATTGAGACAGCATTGTAGATGAGATTGAGGCAGCATTGTAGATAAGATTGAGACAGCATTGTAGATGATATTGAGACAGCATTGTAGATAAGATTGAGACAGCATTGTAGATGATATTGAGACAGCATTGTAGATAAGATTGAGACAGCATTGTAGATGGGATTGAGACAGCATTGTAGATAAGATTGAGACAGCATTGTAGATGAGATTGAGACAGCATTGTAGATAAGATTGAGACAGCATTGTAGATGAGATTGAGACAGCATTGTAGATAAGATTGAGACAGCATTGTAGATGAGATTGAGGCAGCATTGTAGATAAGATTGAGACAGCATTGTAGATGATATTGATATTGAGACAAGCATTGAGACAGCATTGTAGATAAGATTGAGACAGCATTGTAGATGAGATTGAGACAGCATTGTAGATAAGATTGAGACAGCATTGTAGATGGGATTGAGACAGCATTGTAGATAAGATTGAGACAGCATTGTAGATGAGATTGAGACAGCATTGTAGATAAGATTGAGACAGCATTGTAGATGAGATTGAGACAGCATTGTAGATAAGATTGAGGCAGCATCATGGATGAGATTGAAGCAGAATTGTAGATGAGATTGAGACAGCATTGTAGATGAGATTGAGACAGCATCATTGACAAGATTGAGACAGCATCATGGATGAGATTGAGGCAGCATCATTGACAAGATTGAGGCAGCATCATGGAGGAGATTGAGGCCGCATTATGGACGAGGTTAAGGTTGCATTGTAGGTGACTAAGGCTGTACTATAGGTGACGTTGAGGCCGAACCATGCATGAGATTGAGGTTACATCATAAATCACTTTTTTGTACATATTATAATCTAGAGTAGATATCATAATCTAGTGTAGATATCATAATCTAGTGTAGATATCATAATCTAGTCTAGATTTAATCTAGTCTAGATATCATAATCTAGATATCATAATCTAGTGTAGATATCATAATCTAGTCTAGATATCATAATCTAGTCTAGATATCATAGTGTAGATATCATAATCTAGTCTAGATATCATAGTGTAGATATCATAATCTAGTCTAGATATCATAGTGTAGATATAATAATCTAGTCTAGATATCATAGTGTAGATATAATAATCTAGTGTAGATATCATAATCTAGTCTAGATATCATAATCTAGTCTAGATATCATAGTGTAGATATCATAATCTAGTCTAGATATCATAGTGTAGATATCATAATCTAGTCTAGATATCATAGTGTAGATATCATAATCTAGTCTAGATATCATAGTGTAGATATCATAATCTAGTCTAGATATCATAGTGTAGATGTCATAATCTAGTCTAGATATCATAGTGTAGATATAATACTCTAGTGTAGATATCATAATCTAGTGTAGATATCATACTCTAGTGTAGATATCATAATCTAGTGTAGATATCATACTCTAGTGTAGATATCATCTCTATCATCATAATCTAGTGTAGATATAATACTCTAGTGTAGATATCATAATCTAGTGTAGATATCATACTCTAGTGTAGATATCATAATCTAGTGTAGATATCATACTCTAGTGTAGATATCATAATCTAGTCTAGATATCATACTCTAGTGTAGATATCATAATCTAGTCTAGATATTATAGTGTAGATATCATAATCTAGTGTAGATATCATAATCTAGTGTAGATATCATAATCTAGTAAAAATATCATAATCTAGTGTTGATATCATAATCTAGTGTAGATATTATAATCTAGTGTAGATATCATAATCTAGATATCATAATCTAGTGTAGATATCATAGTCTAGATATAATCTGGTGTAGATATCATAATCTAGTCTGTATGTCATAATCTAGTGTAGATATCATAATCTAGATATAATCAAGTGTAGATTATCATAATCAAGTGTAGATATCATAATCTAGTCTAGATATCATAATCTAGTGTAGATATCATAATCTAGTCTAGATATTATAGTGTAGATATCATAATCTAGTGTAGAAATCATAATCTAGTGTAGATATCATAATCTAGTGTAGATATCATAATCTAGATATAATCAAGTGTAGATTATCATAATCAAGTGTAGATATCATAATCAAGTGTAGATATTATAATCTAGTGTAGATATCATAATCTAGTGTAGATATCATAATCAAGTGTAGAAATCATAATCTAGTGTAGATATCATAATCTAGTGTAGATATCATAATCTAGTGTAGATATCATAATCAAGTGTAGATATTATAATCTAGTGTAGATATCATAATCTAGTGTAGATATCATACTCTAGTGTAGATATCATAATCTAGTGTAGATATCATACTCTAGTGTAGATATCATAATCTAGTGTTGATATCATAATCTAGTGTAGATATCATAATCTAGTGTTGATATCATAATCTAGTGTAGATATCATAATCTAGTGTAGATATCATAATCAAGTGTAGATATCATACTCTAGTGTAGATATTATAATCTAGTGTAGATATCATAATGTAGTTTAGATATCATAATCAAGTGTAGATATCATACTCTAGTGTAGATATTATAATCTAGTGTAGATATCATAATGTAGTTTAGATATCATAATCTAGTGTAGATATCACACTCTAGTGTAGATATTATAATCTAGTGTAGATATCATACTCTAGTGTAGATATTATAATCTAGTGTAGATATCATAATCTAGTGTAGATATCATAACATTGAACCTTTTTGCCACAACTGCAAAACTGCTTGTGTGTATACTGTGCTGTATACCATTTTGTAGCTATAGAATGAAGCTAAATTTAAAAAAAAACCAAATGTGTTTGTTTGAACTACAGGCTCAGCATTACAGCGTTCTGGCTATGATGGGAGCTCTGGACCACAAACCGTCCAGTGATGTTATGACTCTGGCTGTGTCACAGACTTCACCTCCAGTTGGCCAGAGTTTTGTCCAGAAACAAGCCACCTTTCAGAAACAGTCAGAACAACACAGTCCTCATTCACAAATGTCTTCAACACAGAAGAATCTTGGCAGAAAAAAGGAGAGAGAAATGGTGGAGGTTGAGTCTGTGGCAGAAACGCCATCAGTGCAGGTTGGTCATTTTCTAAAAATTAATTTTCAGTTGCTTAATTTGATCTTGTATGGTACTTTCATCATCCTCTTCATCATCAGCATCATGTGCTTTGACAGATGATTTCGGGCGTTCATCTTGTTCAGCAGATCAGGGTCCTTGATGTTCTGGATCAGTTCTGCTGATGATATCCTCTATGCCATCATCTTAGATCACTAGGAATCAGTTTTCTTTTGGAGTGTATGTCAGCAACTTCTGCCTCTGATCTGTTTAGCCACCACACTGCTGGATCTGCTTTCTTGGCAGTCTGCCTCTGATCTGTTCAGCCACCACACTGCTGGATCTGCTCTTATGGCAGTCTGCCTCTGATCTGTTTAGCCACCACACTGCTGGATCTGCTCTCATGGCAGTCTGCCTCTGATCTGTTCAGCCACCACACTGCTGGATCTGCTCTTATGGCAGTCTGCCTCTGATCTGTTTAGCCACCACACTGCTGGATCTGCTCTCATGGCAGTCTGCCTCTGATCTGTTTAGCCACCACACTGCTGGATCTGCTCTCATGGCAGTCTGCCTCTGATCTGTTCAGCCACCACACTGCTGGATCTGCTCTTATGGCAGTCTGCCTCTGATCTGTTTAGCCACCACACTGCTGGATCTGCTCTCATGGTAGTCTGCCTCTGATCTGTTCAGCCACCACTCTGCTGGATCTGCTGTCATGGTAGTCTGTCTCTGATCTGTTTAGCCACCACACTGCTGGATCTGCTCTCTTGGCAGTCTGCCTCTGATCTGTTCATCCACCACACTGCTGGATCTGCTGTCATGGCAGTCTGCCTCTGATCTGTTCAGCCACCACACTGCTGGATCTGCTCTCTTGGCAGTCTGCCTCTGATCTGTTTAACCACCACACTGCTGGATCTGCTCTCTTGTCAGTCTGCCTCTGATCTGTTTAGCCACCACACTGCTGGATCTGCTCTCTTGGCAGTCTGCCTCTGATCTGTTTAGCCACCACACTGCTGGATCTGCTCTCATGGCAGTCTGCCTCTGATCTGTTCAGCCACCACACTGCTGGATCTGCCCTCATGGCAGTCTGCCTCTGATCTGTTTAACCACCACACTGCTGGATCTGCTCTCATGGCAGTCTGCCTCTGATCTGTTTAGCCACCACACTGCTGGATCTGCTCTTTTGGCAGTCTGCCTCTGATCTGTTCAGCCACCACATTGCTGGATCTGCTCTCATGGCAGTCTGCCTCTGATCTGTTCAGCCACCACACTGCTGGATCTGCTCTCATGGTAGTCTGCCTCTGATCTGTTCAGCCACCACACTGCTGGATCTGCTCTCATGGCAGTCTGCCTCTGATCTGTTCAGCCACCACACTGCTGGATCTGCTCTCATGGCAGTATACTTGAAATTGTTCATCTTCTGAGAGCTACAGTTTAATGTTATCTCATTATGTATATTATTATTATTGGTATCAAGAGTAACATATCTGTCACCTCATAACAGGTAGACAACACAACAGGTAGGCATTTATTCAGTTTGTCTGATGCCATCATCGTCTGAGAGCTACAGTTTAATTTTATCTCATTATGTATATTATTATTATTGCTATCAAGAATAACATATCTGTCACCTCATAACAGGTAGACAACACAACAGGTCGGCATTTATTCAGTTTGTCTGATGTCTTCATCGTCTGAGAGCTACAGTTTAATGTTATCTCATTATGTATATTATTATTGGTATCAAGAGTAACATATCTGTCACCTCATACATTGCCCTGGTGATTAGTCTCCTTCATTGTAGGCAGCTGATGTTGTTAGATAATGCAGCCTTCACCACAGAAGGTTTGGTCGGAGTATCTGCACCATGACACTCATTGCCTCTTGAGTATTTGAGCAGATACAACATTTTGGCTATCCTCCGAATAATGGGCACAAAATATGGCGGCCAAAAACAGGGCCTCAGTCACGTGTCACTTAGGCACTTCCGGTGACTTAATTTGCAAACTTCGGTGACTACCGCCACCTCTGAGAGTATCCCCCACACCGCTCACGCGGCATGGATTGGGGCTATACTAGATGGCTGGGACTCCCGAGCAAAGCTGCAGGAGATACTCTCAGTGGTGGCAGTAGTTGCCGGAAGTTCGCAAATTAAGTCGCCGGAAGTGCGCAATTGACACGTGACTGAGGCTCTGTTAGGGTTGTTTTTTTACGGCCACCATAATGTGCCCGTTATTCGGAGGATAGCCAACATTTTGCAAGAGTCAGCTTCAATGATCAGGTCTTGTGGAAATTGCCTTTTTTGTGTGTGGATCTGGGGTAGGTATTGTAAAAAAAATTCTGTAACATGTAAATTCAAAAGCCCTCATTTTCTACTTTAGTGACTGCAGAATGGAGATGTGAAGTGCCTAAATAATTAGGAAAGTGCAATTTTTATTTATTTGTTCCTGTCATTTGTACACATCTGATTTTTATTTATTTGTTCCTGTCATTTGTACACATCTGATTTTTATTTATTTGTTCCTGTCATTTGTACACATCTGATTTTTATTTATTTGTTCCTGTCATTTGTACACATCTGATTTTTATTTATTTGTTCCTGTCATTTGTACACATCTGATTTTTATTTAAATCATCCTGAATTGTTGATAGCACAAGAAGTAGATGTAAAACTGTAATGAAACATTTACATTCGTCCTCAGCATTCTGTAACTACCAGCAGACATCAACATCTGTCCCAGAGTGAACACCTCGGTGCAGTCATGGAGAATGTTTTCTTGCGTTACCCAGGGTAAGTTTCTGATTGGTCAGTCTGTGTCAGTGTTTTGTTTATTGCTTAAACTAAAGTGGTTGAAAACTTGATGGATTGATACGGAAACAAAAGTGGGAAACTTGGACAAGTAACCAGTCAGCTGAAGAGCACACATACGCCGTTGAAATAAATATTACAGACAGAAACTACAGATTTAGTGGATAGAAAGGAGAACAAATCTATCCAACAAGGACTCCATACAGAAGCAGATGTTAATTTAGACACAGAATGTTAATGAAATATGGTGCACATTTAACAAACATGATGGTCTGGACAAGATAATGGAAGAAAGTGTACTAGGAGGTGGAGAGAAGAAACGCGAAAGCTTTAAATGGATTTAAGATGTCATTGATGATTCTGTGCTACCTGTGGTACAGTGTTCACATTGTAGGCAATTGCCTTGTGAGCCACCTTTGCTTTGTAATTGCAGAGGGATTGTTAATGTGTGCAACATGCACTTGGGTCCACCCAATCAGTCACCAAAACTACTTTACTCCGACAACACAGCAGTTTGTTCCACCTCCGTCCACTCAACCATTGTTCTCATATTTGGTCCCACCTCCACAAACCTTTCCACAGCCCAGGGATGAGCAGCCAGTGCCATTGCTCTCAGTGTCAGCTGGCGAGAACCCTCTGTCAGGCTTCCCTCTGCTCAGAATCCTTTCTCCAGGCTCATCTTTTGTGAGTTCAGGAGCAGCTTTAGATAAGATGAAACAGAAAGAGAAGATTGAAGAGACAAGACAGAAACTGCTGAGGCAGTTCCAAGAGCAGGTGCTTCAAGATAAGGAGAGTGCAAACCAGCAGATTCAGGCACATCAGATGCTTCGCCTGGACACTCCAGATGAGCTGGTGAGTCAAGTGATAGACACCTGCCTTCGTAATGTCAGCACTAAGCTGGTTATAGCTGACATCATAACCTTGGTGTGTATAGTGGAGACTCTACTAGCAGCTTTGTTACCTTTGGTATGTTCTTGGGCTCATAGCAGCCTCTTTAACACACCAAGGTGGAGATGCATCATATGGCTACCAATAGAAATATCAGGTCATCACCATCATCATCATCATCACCACCTTCATCATCACACTCAGCATCATAATCACCATCATCATCATCATCACCACCTTCATCATCATCACCTTCATCATCATCATCACCTTCATCATCATCATCACCACCTTCATCATCACACTCAGCATCATAATCACCATCATCATCATCATCACCACCTTCATCATCATCACCTTCATCAGCATCATAATCACCATCATCATCATCATCACCACCTTCATCATCATCACACTCAGCATCATCACCACCTTTATCATCATCACACTCAGCATCATCACCACCTTCATCATCATCACCATCATCATCATCATCACACTCAGCATCATAATCACCATCATCATCATCATCACCATCATCACCATCTTCATCATCATTACCACCTTCATCAGCATCATCATCATCACCCTCATCATCATTACCACCTTCATCAGCATCATGTATGTCTATGAACATAGGTGTGTGTGTTTTATGTTTGTGTATGTATGTATGTATGTATGTGTGTTGATGTATGTAAGGATGAATGTTTGTATTATGTATGCATGTAGGTGTAGCCTATGTATGTATGTATACATGTATACATGTGGATGTATGTATGTGTGTGTATATGTATGTAGGTGCCCGTATGTATGTATTACATACATCTGTGTATGTGTATTTATGAGAATGTATGTAAATGTAGCTGTGTAAGTATGTGGGTGTATGTGTGTGTGTATTTATGTATGTATGTGGATGTATGCAAATATATGTAGCTGTGTAAGTATGTGGGTATATGTGTGTGTGTGTATATGTATGTATGTGGATGTATGTAGATATGTGTAGCTGTGTAGGTATGTGGGTATTATTATGGTTGTGTATGAAGGTAGAATAGTATCTATGTGTGTGTATGTATGTATGAATTATCTGGGTGTGTGATTGTGTGTGTGTTTGTATGTATGTGGATATATGTATGTATATTTAGGTTTGTATTTATGTATGTATGTTGTATGAATGTGGGTGTATGTATGATTGTGGGTGTGGGTGTAAATAATGTATGCAAGTTTGTATGTATGCAGGTATGCATGTGTGTATGTATGTATGTGGGTAGCTGTATGTGCGATTGTATATGTGTGTATGCATGAATGTGTGTGTAATGTATGTGGGTGTATGTATGCATGCATGTATGTATGTATCTATGTGTGTATGTATGCATGTTGGTGAATGTATGTATGCATATGTAGCTATATAAGGAAGTGTTTGTATGTGTGTGTATTTAGGTATGTCTGCAAGTATGTATGTATGTGTGTAAAGATGTTGTGAGTGTATGTATAGATGTGTGTGTATGTATGCATGTATGCATGCATGTTCGTTTATTAATGCATGTGAGTGTATATGTGTGGTTGTGGGCGTATGTGGGTGTCTGTACATGTGATTGAATGTGTGTGTTTGTGTGCATGCATGTGTAGGTGTGTATGTATGGAAAATGTGTGCATGTATGTCTATGTATGTATGTATGTGTGTGTTTTATGTTTGTGCATGTATTTCTATGTATGTATGTATGTGTGTGTTTTATGTTTGTGCATGTATTTCTATGTATGTATTTGTGTGTGTTTTATGGTTGTGAATGTATGTAGATGCGTGTATGTATTTTTGTATGTGTGTGTGAAAGTTAACAAGTGTTTATTGAAGACTTTAAGCATTCTGTACGCAGGCACCGCCAACTTCCTTAATTCTCCTTTCGGCAACTTTGCTGAAAAACTTGGCCTTTACGATCACAGGTCTCTTGGGCAGGTGACCTTTGCCCAAAACCTTGTAATAACCAGCCGGGGCTACATCAATGACTGGGGCCTTCTCAGAAACCAGGTCCAGATATCTGGTTCTAGATTGTTCATTCAACAGGGACCACAGCTTGTCCACACTGATGGATGGGCAGAGGAATTTGTTTAAGGTCTTGTGGTAGTATCTCATACCCACTTTACCAAAGTAACCAGCGTGGTATTTGTCAAAGTTGATTCTGTGGTGATACTGACCACCAGCATTACCACGGCCACCAGCAGGATGCTCTCTGTGTTTCCCATGTATATGAGTGTGCATGTATGAGAATGTAAGAGTATGTATACATGTGTGTGTGTGTATGTGTTTGAGTGTGTAAGATTGTGTACACATGATGTGTGTATGCATTATTCCATAATGTATATTTATTACATCCACAACATGCATTATTGATAACAAGCATTGGTACTCTGAAAAATGAGTGCTTAGAAGGGCTAAATGCCAGATGGGACTGCGTGCCCAATTTGTAACCTTCTGAAAATAAAGTTTGTTTGTTCGTTCGTTCATCCACCTTCATCATAATCACCATCACCTTCTGTTATCATCATAAGATAGATGTTCTGGCCTGAGCTTATTGGCCTGTGGGACTAGAGTTCCATATTACAGTCTGTCTAAATATTACAAGAATGTGACTTATTACAACAGATACATAGCATACATGGAGCAGCAAATAACCATATGCTGCACTGGTTGATGCAGAGTCAATTACGCAGCTGCAGAAGCCACAATAAAAGCTTCCCAATCCACTGATACCAGTATTTATAATTTAATTGCCAGCAGTCTGTGAGATCAGAGAAATCTGAGTCATCCCGGAGAAGTCATGTGGACAAGGCTGAAGATGAGCCAGCTGAAGTTCCAGACAGGTCGGCATCTGCCCAGCAACAGCCTGGGGTGGAAGTGGCTGATGCTTCAACCAGCGACACACGGATAAGCCAAGGCTTTGCTCTACCCAGAGGTTGGTCACTCTTTATTGTTTGACTGAATTATTATTATTCCTCCTCTCCTACTCCTTTTACCCATCTTCACATTCTCCTCTTCATCTTGTTGTTGGCTGTAGATCTGCCATCATCTAAAAAAAAATGGCTTGGACTCATTTGCAATCGTTAGCAGGCAAAATGTGCAGTCAGCAATCTTCATAACAGTCAGTGCCATAGTTCAGCTTCCTCTGTTAGCAGGCAAAATGTGCAGTCAGCAATCTTTATAACAGTCAGTGCCATAGTTCAGCTTTCTCTCTATGTACGTCTACCCATAATACTCTGTATGTACGTCTACCCATAATACTCTGTATGTACGTCTACCCATAATACTCTGTATGTACGTCTACCCATAATACTCTGTATGTACGTCTACCCATAATACTCTGTATGTACGTCTACCCATAATACTCTGCATGCAGTAAAACAGCCGTCCTGTCGGTAGAAATCCTGACCCATATATTTCATTGTCTTCTCCTTCAGATATTGATGCATTAGATATTCATTTTCATATCTCCATTTTGTTCTCAAAATCTTTTTCAAAAAGCACATTTCCACTTTCCACTTTGACTTCATCAGTTCCTTATTTGTTGGAGTCCCAGAACACCTGATCTACTGCTGTAGTGTGTTGAGGGGTCTTTAGTGTTAGGTCAGTTGTGGACTTACTGGTCTAAATAGACACCAGTGGAAATCCTGAGAGGGGCAGCCCCCAGCAGAAAGATTTCATTTCCAGTGATGATGTGGTCCTTCAGCAAAGGGAACCACTCTTTGTCTAACATTGACATCTGTCCACAACTCAGACTACACACAAACCTCGCTCTCAGCATCATTTACTCATCTGTGTTTGTTTTTTAGTCTGCATAACTATGTTATTGACTTGCTGTTACTGTTGATAATATGCTATTGTTATCTTGCTATTGTTGCTGTTTCATTACGGATGTGTCACTTGTCACTGGCCAGGTGTGTTTGATAGTTACCTGCAGCTGGGTGAGCAGCTTATCGGGCCAGAAGTCAGTGAAACTAACGCTGCGTTCCAGTTGAAGATGGCCCTGGCAATGCAACGACAGTTAGAAAAGAAGATACGGTCAAAGGTCAGTCTGTTTTGTTTTTGTTTGACAATTCTCTAATGGATACCAAAGCTGAATATGCAGTCAGTATTTCCAAGCATTTATGGCGGCAACATGGCCACTAGACTTGTTTCATTTTGTCCTGTCTCTAAGCCAAATGGCAGTAATGTTCCAGAAGATTCATTCCTTCTGTGACATACTGGAAATTGAGAACACTGACAGATGTCAAAAAGTTGCTTCTGCTAAAATACCATCACTCCTTTCTACACACATCCTCGCAAATGGTAACTGACTAGCCTCACAACTGTTATGTTTCTTTCCCTCCTGTTTGTCACCTTTTCCTCCGCGATGCACATAAACTATCAAACAGTCTATCATTGTCCTCGCTAATGATCATCTGAACAATGGAGGATTTTGTAAACTGCCAGCTTGTAATGTTAGGTCAGGATCACTTTGGTGTGGTTAGGGGTGAGATGTGATTTAGTTTGAGGCACTCCTGTTCAGGTGATGGATAAACTCTTGCAAAGAACTTCTTCTGGAGCTAGCTTTTGACTTGGTTTCTTTTGAAAAAATGGGTATAGAAGAAGTGCAAGAGCTGATTGTGGATTTTACAAAATTGCTACCATGGACTCACAAGCTGATATCTATCTTGGTAGAATATCTTCATGGATGAATGATGCCCTATGATGTATCTTAACATCAATTGTTTAACAAAAAATAAACATTTATAAAGTTTGTGAGTCACCTGATATTGATGTCTGGTCACAGGTGGACTTCAGTACTATGACTCAGGAGCAGGTGGATGCTGTCATGGCAACAGATCCTTCGATGGAGGTCATCAGGACAGCAGAAGCTGCAACATCTATTACAAAAGACACAGGTAGAGAAGCTTGTCTAACACAACATCTGTTACAAAAGACACAGGTAGAGAAGCTTGTCTAACACAACATCTGTTACAAAAGACACAGGTAGAGAAGCTTGTCTAACACAACATCTGTTACAAAAGACACAGGTAGAGAAGTTTGTCTAACACAACATCTGTTACAAAAGACACAGGTAGAGATGCTTGTCTAACACAACATCTGTTACAAAAGACACAGGTAGAGAAGTTTGTCTAACACAACATCTGTTACAAAAGACACAGGTAGAGATGCTTGTCTAACACAACATCTGTTACAAAAGACACAGGTAGAGATGCTTGTCTAACACAACATCTGTTACAAAAGACACAGGTAGAGAAGTTTGTCTAACACAACATCTGTTACAAAAGACACAGGTAGAGATGCTTGTCTAACACAACATCTGTTACAAAAGACACAGATAGAGAAGCTTGTCTAACACAACATCTGTTACAAAAGACACAGGTAGAGAAGCTTGTCTAACACAACATCTGTTACAAAAGACACAGGTAGAGAAGCTTGTTTAACACAACATCTGTTACAAAAGACACAGGTAGAGAAGTTTGTCTAACACAACGTTTATTACAAAAGACATAGGTAGAGAAGCTTGTCTAACACAACATCTGTTACAAAAGACACAGGTAGAGATGCTTGTCTAATACAACATTTGTTACAAAAGACACAGGTAGAGAAGCTTGTCTAACACAACATTTGTTACAAAAGACACAGATAGAGAAGCTTGTCTAACACAACATCTGTTACAAAAGACACAGATAGAGATGCTTGTCTAACACAACATCTGTTACAAAAGACACAGGTAGAGATGCTTGTCTAACACAACATTTGTTACAAAAGACTCGAGTAGAGAAGCTTGTCTAACACAACATTTGTTACAAAAGACTCGAGTAGAGAAGCTTGTCTAACACAACATTTGTTACAAAAGACACGAGTAGAGAAGCTTGTCTAACACAACATCTGTTACAAAAGACACAGATAGAGAAGCTTGTCTAACACAACATTTGTTACAAAAGACACGAGTAGAGAAGCTTGTCTAACACAACATCTGTTACAAAAGACACAGGTAGAGAAGCTTGTCTAACACAACATCTGTTACAAAAGACACAGGTAGAGAAGCTTGTCTAACACAACATCTGTTACAAAAGACACAGGTAGAGAAATTTCGTCAGGTGGGACTGTGTAATGACTAAATGATTTATGATTGTCCTTTTAGGAGTGGATCCAGTTCAAGAAGTTGTCAATGAATACAACTTAAAGCGCCACAACAACCTCATCCCACCTGACATCTTCATGGGGCTGCGGTTTGGAGACCTGGATGCTCAGACTGGCGCAGAACCGGCCACACCAAGTAGTGTTGTGAGTGTTGTGAGTGTTGTGAGTGTTGTGAGTGTTGTGAGTGTTTCTCATTGCTAGTTTGTACAGGCGGTAATAACCACGGCAGTTGCTGTCTCACAGTGATCAGATTCCAACCTCACAGAACCGGCCACACCAAGTAGTGTTGTGAGTGTTTCTCATTGCTAGTTTGTACAGGCGGTAATAACCACGGCAGTTGCTGTCTCACAGTGATCAGATTCCAACCTCACAGAACCGGCCACACCAAGTAGTGTTGTGAGTGTTTCTCATTGCTAGTTTGTACAGGCGGTAATAACCACGGCAGTTGCTGTCTCACAGTGATCAGATTCCAACCTCACAGAAACCTAACACAGTCTAGCACTAGAAAGGAAATTCATCATCGATGAAAGCAGCATTTACAACAAATCAGTAGTTGCACACTCAAATTTTGCACCAGCAGTTCTGTGGCAATAGGCCACTTGCCATATTCAGAATCTGCATTTCACAACAGAAACCACGAGGGGCACCATAGATAGATAGGCATTCAAAATGAAATCTGCAGCTCACAGTGTAACGCTTTGCACTCAGTAGCTGAATGATGAAACGACTTTCAGTCCAGATATAGGGGAAATACAATGGCTAACCACAGTCAGAGGCAAATATCCCACCACAACTAAAAGAAACAGTCAGCTTGTCTATCCACCATAATGGAACAGAGATTTGTCAAAGTGTAGTAATCGCTGGCAGGTATTGTCAGAGGATCTGAGATTCTAGGCATTCACACACATTAGGCTGAGAGTCTTGATTGCAGAGTGCCTAGTTAGCAGTTTCTTTCCTTGTCAGATTTCTTTCTCAGACAATTTCTGAGTATTACTTTTGGGTTTGTATGGGGTCACTTATAATGCACACAAATAGCACCACAAGTGATTAGTCTCTCCCATGGGCAGCACAACTGGAGATTCAGATGCATGTCGTGCAGAATTATCTGAGCTGTATTTTCAAGTGGCTTTCTTCATAAAAGACATTTTGGATTTTTCTTTCAGCCTGGCAAAGGGAGGTCCTACCTGAATGTTATAGACGTCCGTGCCTCATCGGTCTTACGGGACATACCGGAGCGGGTGGAGAAACCTGAGCCCTTATTAGACCAGGAGTACCTGAACACAGCCATTCTCAGCTCCGAGAGAACTGTGCAGCAGATAGGTAAGTCTCAGGTCTTCTCAGCCTTCCCAGCCAACACATGCAACTAAGGAAGTATTCTGAAAAGCAAAGGGAATTAATGATAATTGTACACTGGGTGACACATGGGGGATGGTAGAGTCCTTAAGGACATCCCTCGGTGGTGAATTACAGACGGGTAGAAGATGTCAAGGCGGGTCTCTGCTAGATATAAAGATGTGTGCAAGTGGAAAATCAATGATATATGAACTGAGGTAGATTGATGGGAACTGAGGTAGATTGATGGGAACTGAGGTAGATTGATGGGAACTGAGGTAGATTGATGGTAACTGAGGTAGATTGATGGGAACTGAGGTAAATTGATGGGAACTGAGGTAGATTGATGGGAACTGAGGTAGATTGATGGGAACTGAGGTAGATTGATGGGAACTGAGGTAGATTGATGGGAACTGAGGTAGATTGATGGGAACAAAATCTCCAGGGCCGTATTGCCTGGAGGAGGCAAATCAGAAATGAAATGAGAAGGAAGGAAGACAGTATTTCAGAAAGGATGAGAGCTGAGCAGAAACACACTAAACACATGATGATGGTGGCAACAACGGTTCTGAAATCCTGTGCTATAATTGTGAAGACTTTTCTTAATGATTATTGTATTCCCTGTTCTGCCTGTGTGGGTTCCAGAACCTCAGTGTGGGGGAAACAAGAATAGATCCACTGCCTCCCCACAAGTATGTCGTAGGATTCAACTAATTGGGGGCTTCCTTCACAGTCGAAGTGCATCTGCTTAAACAGCAAGGAACAACCAGCTGCACGTAAATAAGCCAGTAAAACAGATGAACACCACAAAACTCTGATCCTGGCACAAAGCCAAAGTTTAAATAGATGAAAACCACAAAACACTGACCCTGGCGCAAAGCCAGAGTCTAAATAGATGAACACCACAAAACTCTGACCCTTGCACAAAGCCAGAGTTTAAATAGATGAACACCACAAAACTTAGACCCTGGCACAAAGCCAGAGTCTAAATAGATGAACAGCCAGGACTTTCTGACAGAGTTTACAGATACAGCTGGTGAACAAACAAAAAACACAAAAAAAGGAAATATTCACTGATCACACTTGAAGTCTAGTCAGTTGCTTTATTTTCTGACAAATGTGATCAACCGTTTTGTTTATGCTTGAAACTTTATGCTTGAAACTATAATGCATGTACGTGATTGTTCAGGTACGCTGGAGGAAACACTGAGACAAAAGTTTGCGCCCAGACCTGCCCGGACACCTGGCCGTGGTTACGATTCTGTCACAGTGAAAGTTTTTGACCAGTTACGACCTCCAGCTAATGATCTGTAAGATATTTAACCTTCACATTTATCTGTAGATTGCCAAATTGTTAAACTGAAGAGCAACAGATGATGATAGGAAATTAGTTTAAATGATTGATTGATTAAAATAAATTATTGAATGAATCAATCAAGAATGGACATCACTGCACCCTGGGACATTCCCAGACATGCTTATCTTTCCTTCTTCAGCAGCTGAATAAAGAACTCCCATTCTCATGGTGCCAGTGGCCACCTGATTACAAGTCTGTCTATTTCTGTCTACTACCTATTGAGTGTCATCCACACTGGCTTGCTGCTCGCTGAATCATTGGCTCCAGGTGTGGAGTCTGTTGTGCTGCAGCGGACATTATGTCCCAGATATCCTTAAACTGTTTGCTTGGCATCCAGAATACCAGTAACAGCCAGTCTACCCGACTGACTGTTCATTACTCAACACATCTGAATATCCCAACATAGACGATATGTCCTGTTTTGAGTAAGTCCTTCCAGAAAAAGAATATAACTGTAAACTTGTCACAGGAAGGACATGTAGATAGTCAAGACTGGTTGCAGAGAAACAAACTTGAACATTTACCAACAACTGGCACACTTGATGTGGAAGAGCAAGATAGGTGGCTCAACATAATTAGTAAGGGTAGATAGGTGGCTAAAACTTGATGATTTGGGATGAAGGGGACGGGAGAGGTGGCTAAAACTTTATGAGTAAGGGGGAGATAGGTAGCTAAAACTTGATGAGTAAGGGGAGATAGGTAGCTAAAACTTGATGAGTAAGGGGGAGATAGGTAGCTAAAACTTGATGAGTAAGGGGGAGATAGGTAGCTAAAACTTGATGAGTAAGGGGGAGATAGGTAGCTAAAACTTGATGAGTAAGAGGGAGATAGGTAGCTAAAACTTGATGAGTAAGGGGGAGATAGGTAGTTAAAACTTGATAAGTAAGGAGGAGATAGGTAGCTAAAACTTGATGAGAAAGGGGGGAGATAGGTAGCTAAAACTTTATGAGTAAGGGGGGAGATAGGTAGTTAAAATTTGATGAGTAAGGAGGAGATAGGTAGCTAAAACTTGATGAGTAAGGGGGAGATAGGTAGCTAAAACTTGATGAGTAAGGGGGAGATAGGTAGCTAAAACTTGATAAGTAAGAGGGAGATAGGTAGCTAAAACTTGACGAGTAAGAGGGAGATAGGTGGCTAAAACTTACTGAACAAGGGGAAAATGGGTGGCTGAAACTTGATGAACAAGGAGATAGGTGGCTAAAAATGACACACATACCCTACACCACCATGATCAGTTTATAATTGGGACAGTGAAAGACAGGTTTTTTTTTTTCTTAAATTTAACTAAATGCTTTGGTAGGGTTTCAAATAAAATGCTCAAATTTTTTCTGTTTCTGCAAGTGCAGACGGCACATTCTGAATTGAAACTATAATTTAGAGGTCTCTGTGAAGAACCGGGTGTAATGAAAGGGAGTCTGCTCACCTTTAAACAATGTGCCACCTTCCCTGCTCCCTTTATTTCCAGTGTGTCTGTCGCTGTGCTGCCCAGGAGCAGCATGTCCCAACCCAAAGCAGCAGTGATCCGTCGTCTCCAGGACATGTCCGTTCAGCTAAAGGCAATCGATGAAATGTCTCAGAATATTGAGAGGGATTTCCAGTCATCTCATTTGGTAAGCTGCACACCACCTGTATACCCACTGAACACCACCTGTAGACTCACTGAACACCACCTGTATACCCACTGAACACCACCTGTAGACTCACTGAACACAAGATCTGTTTGAAGCAATCCATTATTATTGCCTGTATTGACCATCGGGCTCATTCAGAATGGGCTCATTCTTTCATCATTGTCTTCTTCTTCTTTCTCTTCTTTGCGCTCACCAGCTGTAAACTCTGGCAGAAAGTTCTGGTTGTTCATCCACTTCTGCACTTTAGTCTTGTTCCAGAACCTGTACATCCTTTTTACTGATGTGGCTTATTTGTATGCAGACTGTTGGTTCCTCACCTCTCGGGTAGATGCACTCTGACTTCAAAAGAAACAACTTTGATTACTTGTAGCTTACAGCGTGCTTGATGGAGAGCAGTGAATCTGTTCTCTCTTCCCCCCGACCCCACCCCCCACGCTTGGGCAGAGGAACCCACAGAGGATTATCTTTGTGTTCAGATGACTGGTTAAGTGTTGTTGTTGTTGTTGTAAATGTGCATTGCAAAAGGTTATCTCATCAGTGTTACAGTTTCTTCCTCAGCCAAGGAAAATTTGAGAACAGGGCACAAACTCTGTGGCACTGACAATGACCTCAGTGCCAAAGCACTTCAGCTATAACTGTTTGTGTTGCTGTCTTGTTCATCCCCGGTTACTTCCGTTCTAGAGCCTCCACTTGCAATAAATCTGGTTGCAATAACTCTGTTTGCAATAAGTCGTCGTCTAGGAGATGATGTGTCTAGTGAATGATCTTAGCCCACATTCTTATGATGACATAACTGGGACAAGCCGACACCGACTAAAAAGTACGATGCAGTTTATTGAAATCTCATCACTTACATAGAAAGTCCTGTCTGTGTCCTAATTCACAGCTTGCATGCACCACATCGTTTAGATTCCAACACGCTGACGTCTCACACATTCATCGACCAGAGTTCAGCGCCTTCACTTCCACATCGCCGCATAGATGGATCTGGTTGTTACCACAGACTTCACAAAGACTGGCCTGGCTTCGATGGATGTTGTCGTCTGGTCTTCCTCTCGCAACAATCAGTCTCACATTGTCATTCTCACAAACACTGTCATGTCCTCTCGTTCTGACGGTCAACACATACTAACACATACTCCTTGACCAGACTGGGGTCTGTTCTTATACCCAGTGTTCGTTCCACGTGGCAACACATAATTGTTCTTGGGTTCCACGTGGCCACCTCTGGTCGTTCTCATGGGGTTCCACGTGATAGCTCGTGGTCATCCCCTATTCTGAAAGCGTCAGTTAATCCGAGTATCTGGCTTCTCTCTGTATTCTCCAGAGAACACAGACTAGCCTACTTTGAGACTGCAAGAGTGTCACAATTATTCTCCATGGTAGCAGTAAACAATCATCCCCCAAGTTTTGACTCCCCATTTGAACAGATTGTGAGCATGCTGGGAATGAATGTGTTGTTTCCCAACTGGATCTCCATGACAACACAACATCATGCTCTGAAGTTGAGGCTGCTTGTTCAGACTGCATCGTTGAGTTTGTGAGCGTGTTTTCCCCAGAGATCTCTGAAGATAACTTTTGCAGCTATGAAGGTTGCAATTTTTGTGATGCTGGCTACTCAGCAGAACTCTGGAGAAAGACCAGGCCAGATGCGATCAGACTTAGTGCAGTCAACTTTATCCTGAAATTTTTAATTACCATTTTCTGTTTTAGAATAAAGTTGAGTCATCACCAGTCTTGTTTCATCAAATCTTAGTGACCAGCTTGATTCAACATTTAACAACAAAATTCATAGAAATAACCAGTAGTGTGACAGCATCTTCTCAAGTCTAGAGTTAAAATCAAATACTGCCTCACTTAAAATGTTGACACTTTTTTCAGTTGTCTTTTGTGACCATATTTTCAGCTGCTGCAAACTATTCAAGAGGTCACTGACTCAATTCAGAGGTCAAGGTCTTCCAGCCCAGTCAGAACTGGTGTGCAAAAGTTCCAGAAAGAGCTGGGAAATTCCATGGATGATGTTGATAAAGAGGTTAGTCAAATGTTACATTATAACTGCAACTAAAATACAAATCTTTGCTACCTCCTCTTTTCTTAGTTTAATAATAAATGATGATGCTTTTTCAGTGGATAATACTAAAGGTTGACTTGTAAATGGGTTGTTGGCACATTGTGTTGTGGTTTACAGCTAGGCTGTGATATCAGCCCCTTTCAGCCCAATACATCCAATTTTATCACTACTCGCTTGCCTACCTGCTGTCTGAATGTATGTCTGCCTACTTATCTACCAACCACTTACCCACATAAATAGCCACCCATCTTCCCACCCAGCCACTGATTGTCTTCCTTCTTCCATTTTCAAGGAGAAGACGTCTAAACCAAGTTCCCCAGATCTGCCAGCACCGAAGACCTCGGCCAAATCTCCCCAAGTCAGCGCCCGGTCCAGGACTACGCTTGATTCTAGAAGGTATTCTTGTCTATTTCCCAGTAGTCACCTTATCTGTGTGGAAGCATAGAGAGTTGGTGGGTGAACAACTTTTGATTGTCACCTGATGTTTGTGAGTGTGTGTGTGTTTGTGTGTGTGCATGCGTGTGTGTGCGTGATGTGTGTGTGTAAACCTGAAGCGATAGTCTGTGTCATTTCTTGATAGTGTCTGTCTGCTATTCCTGGATATTGTCTATTCCACAGCGGAGACAGACTGATTGAAGCAGACAATGAACTCACCAAGCTGATTGCTGAGGTCCTGCTCCAGGAAGGGGTCGACCTGCAGACTGCCGGCTTCTCACAGGAAATGGCTGAACAGTTGCAGACGGATGCCAGGAAGCAGATCCACAGATCCAGGTCACCTTTACTGTAGTTGCATCTTTTTTACAGTTTCCGTTTTGTCCACCTCCGGGTGTTTTAGTAAAATATTCCCAAATTGTTTTCGGTTTTCAAATCTGTAGTCTTCCAGAATCTGAAATCTTGGTATTGGTAAATTTTAGTGAATAAATCAATCACTGCAGGCAGTTGTACTGGTGAGCTGTACCAGAACATTCACAAGGAACAACATGAATGTTGCGGCTGGAAAGCCTTCATGAGCATACACAATAGCTCCAAGAATCTACGCACCACTAATTTGGTGTATATCATAAGATCTGTGCATGTCTACTTCAGCGAATGCAGTAACTTGTAACACTTGTTACTCTCTAATTCAGTGTATGCAGTAACATCTGTTACTTTTAAATTCAGTGTATACAGTAACTTGTAACATTTGTTACTTTCTGAGTCAAAGTATGCAGAAACTTGTAACATCTGTTACTGTCTAATTCCCTTTTATGCAGTAACTTGTAACATTGTTACTCTCTAATTCAGAGTGTGCAGTAACTTGTAACATTTGTAACTTTATAATTCAGTGAAATACTGAGCACAGATCTCAGGGACAAGTTGGTCAACATGAAGCAAGCAGATGAACATGTCAAGAGCCGAACTCCCAAAGAACGTGAACAACTTAAGGCTTGGATGACACAGAAGTTCCACCAGAGACAGGCCGAGTACATGAAGAGAAGACACGAACTAATCCAGCGAGAGCCCAAACCATTTAGATCTCAGAGCACAGTAAGAAATGTCTCCCTCTCTTTATGAAAGAACTCGCAATCAGACTTTATTCTGGCAGGCAGACTTTATTCTGGCTGGCAGACTTTATTCTGGCAGGTAGACATTATTATGGCAGGCAGACTTTATTCTGGCAATCAGACTTTATTCTGGCAATCAGACTTTATTCTGGCAGGCAGACTTTATTCTGACAATCAGACTTTATTCTGGCAGGCAGACTTTTTTCTGGCAATCAGATTTTTTTTCTGGCAATCAGACTTTATTCTGGCAATCAGACTTTATTCTGGCAATCAGACTTTATTCTAAGAATCAGACTTTATTCTGGCAATCAGACTTTATTCTGGTAGGCAGACTTTTTTCTGGCAATCAGATTTTTTTCTAACAATCAGACTTTTTTCTGGCAATCAGACTTTATTCTGGTAATCAGACTTTATTCTGGCAATCAGATTTTATTCTGGCAGGCAGACTTTATTCTGGCAGGCAGACTTTATTCTGGCCATGAGATTTTATTCTGGCAGGCAGACTTTATTCTGGCAGGCAGACTTTATTCTGGCAGGCAGACTTTATTATGGCAATCATACTTTTTTCTGGCAATCAGACTTTATTCTGGCAATCATACTTTTTTTCTGGCAATCAGACTTTATTCTGGCAATCAGACTTTATTCTGGCAATCAGACTTTTTTCTGGCAGGCAGACTTTATTCTGGCAATCAGACTTTATTCTGGCAATCATACTTTTTTCTGGCAGGCAGACTTTATTCTGGCAATCAGACTTTATTCTGGCAATCAGACTTTATTCTGGCAGGCAGACTTTATTCTGGCAGGCAGACTTTATTCTGGCAGGCAGACTTTATTCTGGCAGGCAGACTTTATTCTGGCAGGCAGACTTTATTCTGGCAATCAGACTTTATTCTGGCAGGCAGACTTTATTCTGGCAGGCAGACTTTATTCTGGCAGGCAGACTTTATTCTGGCAGGCAGACTTTATTCTGGCAGGCAGACTTTATTATGGCAATCAGACTTTATTCTGGCAGGCAGACTTTATTCTGGCAATCAGACTTTATTCTGGCAATCATAATTTTTTTCTGCTGGCATGGGTGATACTTCTAAATATATCCCAGTTGTCAGCAACATGTATCAGTTCAGATGCAGCTGTATTTTCCACACAGCGATGAGGGCTGTCTTAAATCTTCCTTCACTGTCTTCCTAAATCTCTTCCCATAAACCTGTCCAGATGAGGGCTGTCTTGAATCTTCCTTCACTGTCTTCCTAAATCTCTTCCCATAAACCTGTCCAAATGAGGGCTGTCTTGAATCTTCCTTCACTGTCTTCCTAAATCTCTTCCCATAAACCTGTCCAGATGAGGGCTGTCTTGAATCTTCCTTCACTGTCTTCCTAAATCTCTTCCCATAAACCTGTCCAGATGAGGGCTGTCTTGAATCTTCCTTCACTGTCTTCCTAAATCTCTTCCCATAAACTTGTCCAGATGAGGGCTGTCTTGAATCTTCCTTCACTGTCTTCCTAAATCTCTTCCCATAAATCTGTCCAGTTGTTACAATGTATTCCAGTTGTTCTGCTCTCATGATGTGTCCATAATGTGCAGACTATATCTCATAAATAATATTGATAAGTTGTAGTTGTCTTTTTTTCTTTCAAGATGGACAGATGACCTATTTTGGCTGTCCAAGAAATGTTCACCATGTTTCTATAAAACCATGTCAGTCTGTCTTCCGTTACAATATTTGCTTTCACAGAACTACAGGATGATACAAACTTTCACAGAACTACAGGATGATACAAACTTTCACAGAACTACAGGATGATACAAACTGAGATGATACAAACTTTCACAGAACTACAGGATGATACAAACTTTCACAGAACTACAGGATGATACAAACTTTCACAGAACTACAGGATGATACAAACTTTCACAGAACTACAGGATGGTACAAACGTTCACAGAACTACAGGATGATACAAACTTTCACAGAACTACAGGATGATACAAACTTTCACAAAACTACAGGATGATACAAACTTTCACAGAACTACAGGATGGTACAAACGTTCACAGAACTACAGGATGATACAAACTTTCACAGAACTACAGGATGATACAAACTTTCACAGAACTACAGGATGATACAAACTTTCACAGAACTACAGGATGATACAAACTTTCACAGAACTACAGGATGATACAAACTTTCACAGAACTACAGGATGGTACAAACGTTCACAGAACTACAGGATGATACAAACTTTCACAGAACTACAGGATGATACAAACTTTCACAGAACTACAGGATGGTACAAACGTTCACAGAACTACAGGATGGTACAAATTGTGAGGATCAGCATTATTGTGCTGGGTTTATTCCTGTCTGTCTCAGTCTCTCCTCATAGAGAGCCTCCCATCTACCGAGAGTATTGCACATAGAACATTCTCTGTAGCTCCAGAGGCAACTTCTTTTTTCTTCTTCTTCTCCTCTTTTTTTTTGTAGTCCGTGCCACGTGGAGTTGGTAGTCTTGTCCATGCACAATCTTCTGTTTCATGTAATTTCAAACTGTCCAGCAGCTTCTCTCTCTTGGTCTCCCTTGACCTCTGCTCACCTCCATCTTCCCCACCATCGTCATGTACTTGTTTTCTCATTGTAATCGCATGACCAGAGAATGTAGATTGTCTCTTCTGATGTGGGCAGTCAGTTTTCTTTGTGAGCCATTTTCTGTCTTCATTACTCTTTTATCTTTTTTATCTAGGTGTCCTCTATGTCCATACCCCCCCTCTCCCACCTCTTCCACCTTACCCCCCCCTCTCCCACCTCTTCCACCTTACCCCCCCCCTCCCACCTCTTCCACCTTACCCCCCCCCTCTCCCACCTCTTCCACCTTACCCCCCCTCTCTCCACCTCTTCCACCTTACCCCCCCCCCTCTCCCACCTCTTCCACCTTACCCCCCCCCCCCCTCTCCCACCTCTTCCACCTTACCCCCCCCCCTCTCCCCACCTCTTCCACCTTACCCCCCCCCTCTCCCACCTCTTCCACCTTACCCCCCCCCTCTCCCACCTCTTCCACCTTACCCCCCCCTCTCCCACCTCTTCCACCTTACCCCCCCCCCCTCTCCCCACCTCTTCCACCTTACCCCCCCCCCCACCCACCTACCTTACCCCCCCTCTCCCACCTCTTCCACCTTACCCCCCCCCTCTCCCACCTCTTCCACCTTACCCCCCCTCTCCCACCTCTTCCACCTTACCCCCCCCCCTCTCCCACCTCTTCCACCTTACCCCCCCCCCTCTCCCACCTCTTCCACCTTACCCCCCCCCCTCCCCACCTCTTCCACCTCTTCCACCTTACCCCCCCTCTCCCACCTCTTCCACCTTACCCCCCCCCCCTCTCCCACCTCTTCCACCTTACCCCCCACCCCACCTCTTCCACCTTACCCCCCCCCCTCTCCCACCTCTTCACCTTACCCCCCCCCCCTCTCCCACCTCTTTCCACCTTACCCCCCCCCCTCCCACCTCTTCCACCTTACCCCCCCCCTCTCTCCACCTCTTCCACCTTACCCCCCCCCCTCTCCCACCTCTTCCACCTTACCCCCCCCCCCTCTCCCACCTCTTCCACCTTACCCCCCCCTCTCCCACCTCTTCCACCTTACCCCCCCTCTCCCACCTCTTCCACCTTACCCCCCCCTCTCCCACCTCTTCCACCTTACCCCCCCTCTCCCACCTCTTCCACCTTACCCCCCCCCCTCTCCCACCTCTTCCACCTTACCCCCCCCCTCTCCCCCACCACCTCTTCCACCTTACCCCCCCCCTCTCCCACCTCTTCCACCTTACCCCCCCTCTCCCACCTCTTCCACCTTACCCCCCCCCTCTCCCACCTCTTCCACCTTACCCCCCCTCTCCCACCTCTTCCACCTTACCCCCCCCCCCTCTCCCACCTCTCCCCCCCCCCCCTCCCACCTCTTCCACCTTACCCCCCCCCTCTCCCACCTCTTCCACCTTACCCCCCCCCTCTCCCACCTCTTCCACCTTACCCCCCCTCTCTCCCACCTCTTCCACCTTACCCCCCCCCCTCTCCCACCTCTTCCCACCTTACCCCCCCCTCTCCCCCCCTCTTCCACCTTACCCCCCCCCCCTCTCTCCCACCTCTTCCACCTTACCCCCCCCCCCTCTCCCACCTCTTCCACCTTACCCCCCCTCTCCCACCTCTTCCCACCTTACCCCCCCCCTCTCCCCACCTCTTCCACCTTACCCCCCCCCCTCTCCCACCTCTTCCACCTTACCCCCCCTCTCCCACCTCTTCCACCTTACCCCCCCCCCTCTCTCCCACCTCTTCCACCTTACCCCCCCCTCTCCCCACCTCTTCCCCCCCCTTACCCCCCCCCCTCTCCCACCTCTTCCACCTTACCCCCCCCCCCTCTCCCACCTCTTTTACCTTACCACCCCCCCCCCTCTCCCACCTCTTCCACCTTACCCCCCCCCCCCCCTCTCCTACCTCTTCCACCTTACCCCCCCCCTCTCCCACCTCTTCCACCTTACCCCCCCCCTCTCCCACCTCTTCCACCTTACCCCCCCCTCTCCCACCTCTTCCACCTTACCCCCCCCCCCCCCTCTCCCACCTCTTCCACCTTACCCCCCCCCCTCTCCCACCTCTTCCACCTTACCCCCCCCTCTCCCACCTCTTCCACCTTACCCCCCCCCCCCCCTCTCCCACCTTACCCCCCCCTCTCCCACCTCTTCCACCTTACCCCCCCCCCTCTCCCACCTTTTCCACCTTACCCCCCCTCTCCCACCTCTTCCACCTTACCCCCCCCCCTCTCCCACCTCTTCCACCTTACCCCCCCCCCTCTCCCACCTCTTCCACCTTAACCCCCCCCCTCTCCCACCTCTTCCCACCTTACCCCCCCCTCTCCCACCTCTTCCACCTTACCCCCCCCCCCCTCTCCCACCTCTTCCACCTTACCCCCCCCCTCTCCCACCTCTTCCACCTTACCCCCCCCTCTCCCACCTCTTCCACCTTACCCCCCCCCTCTCCCACCTCTTCCACCTTACCCCCCCCTCTCCCACCCCCCTCTCTTACTTCCCCCTCTACTCCCCCCCCCCCTCCCACCTCTTCCACCTTACCCCCCCCTCTCCCACCTCTTCCACCTTACCCCCCCTCTCCCACCTCTTCCACCTTACCCCCCCCCCCTCTCCCACCTCTTCCACCTTACCCCCCCCCCCCCCCCCTCTCCCACCTCTTCCACCTTACCCCCCCCTCTCCCACCTCTTCCACCTTACCCCCCCCCTCTCCCACCTCTTCCACCTTACCCCCCCCCCTCTCCCACCTTACCCCTTACCCCCCCCCCCACCTTACCCCCCCCCCTCTCCCACCTCTTCCACCTTACCCCCCCCCCTCTCCCACCTCTTCCACCTTACCCCCCCCCCCCTCTTCCACCTCTTCCACCTTACCCCCCCCCCTCTCCCACCTCTTCCACCTTACCCCCCCCCCCCCCCCAAGTTTCCTTTAAAAAAATACAGTCGTAAATTAACTCTTTAAGTCCCAAGAAACGCATCATACGTTCATAGGTTCCTACCTAGAAGCCCAATGAACGCATGATGACCGATTTTATTACTTTCTTTACTACCCACTGTGATGCTTAACCCCTTGGGACTCAAAGAGTTAAATGCTGTAGCTTAAAAAAGAAATCTGTGACTGTCAGAGTATGAGGCAGACAGTGTGCCCACTTTGTCACCAATCTCTCAACCCAGCTGAGAGTTAGTTGTGTATGCTGCCTTCTCTAGCTGTATTTTCTCTTTACCAGGTGACCAAAGTAGATCTGAAGAACCTGGAGGAGAAAAGTGAGAAAAGAATCTCTATGGTGTCTGAGTTCATGAACCAGAGACTCATTGATGCTGAACATCTCCTGGGCAGCATCATTGTGGACAGACCAGAGGTTCCCTGGGGCAGTGTCAGTTCTGTGGACACTAGAAGGAGGATCCAATCAAGATCCCCAGCTAGACCAGATTCTTTAACTTCCCCTCCACGATTGGGTGCTTCAAGAATGTCAAGGTCTCCTGACAAAGGCAGAGTCAATGAAGCCACTTGGACTTTCAAGACAGCTCCAGCAAGCAGATGTAAGTTGGATTTATTTCTTCACAGTGTGACTTCTTTTGCTGTGTGAACTCCATCTGTTTTAGGAGGAAATGGAGGAAGATAGGATGTATAAGAAGGCGATTTCTCTATGTTTACAACCGCTGTGCCACTAGAATAAAAAGCATCGTCACCTTGCCACATCTCCTGAGAGACACCAAGTATCCATGGCTTTTTCAAGAATGCTGTGCTATTGGTTCTTAAATCAGTTAGTCTGTCAGTCAATTTTACTTTTAAACTTATAGTTTGCAGTTTTCTTGTGTTTATTGTCAATGTGGTTTTACTGATATTTCAGCAACATATGGTACGGATATGAGTCAAATGTCCAGGGAGACCGGTTCCATGAAAGGCATTCTTAAGCCCAAGGATGCCAGACCCAGTTCAGCAGACGTGTTGATGGACCATCACGTGCTGACCTCAATCAGTGAAGGAGACCAGACCCTGGGGTCAAGCACTGAGCTCATCAACTACGCCCGCCAGCTACTGGAGAACGACAGCAGTCAGAGGTTGTCTCCCCTGGCATCATATGACAGGTTGGTTTAGATTTGCTGCTCAAAGAAGAATCTGACTTTAGTTATGTTATCTGAGATCTTAGGTTATCTAATTCATTATGTTATCTGAGATCTTAGGTTATCTAATTCATTATGTTATCTGAGATCTTAGGTTATCTAATTCATTATGTTATCTGAGATCTTAGGTTATCTAATTCGTTATGTTATCAGATACCTTAGGTTATCTAATTCATTATGTTATCTGAGATCTTAGGTTATCTAATTCATTATGTTATCTGAGATCTTAGGTTATCTAATTCGTTATGTTATCTGATACCTTAGGTTTTCTAATTCATTATGTTATCTGAGATCTTAGGTTATCTAATTCATTATGTTATCTGATACCTTAGGGTATCTAATTCATTATGTTATCTGATACCTTAGGTTATCTAATTCATTATGTTATCTGAGATCTTAGGTTATCTAATTCATTATGTTATCTGAGATCTTAGGTTATCTAATTCATTATGTTATCTGAGATCTTAGGTTATCTAATTCATTATGTTATCTGAGATCTTAGGTTATCTAATTCATTATGTTATCTGAGATCTTAGGTTATCTAATTCATTATGTTATCTGAGACCTTAGGTTATCTAATTCATTATGTTATCTGATACCTTAGGTTATCTAATTCATTATGTTATCTGAGATCTTGGGTTATCTAATTTATTATGTTATCTGAGACCTTAGGTTATCTAATTCATTATGTTATCTGAGATCTTAGGTTATCTAATTTATTATGTTATCTGAGATCTTAGGTTATCTAATTCATTATGTTATCTGAGACCTTAGGTTATCTAATTCATTATGTTATCTGATACCTTAGGTTATCTAATTCATTATGTTATCTGAGACCTTAGGTTATCTAATTCATTATGTTATCTGATACCTTAGGTTATCTAATTCATTATGTTATCTGATACCTTAGGTTATCTAATTCATTATGTTATCTGATACCTTAGGTTATCTAATTTATTATGTTATCTAATACCTTAGGTTATCTAATTCATTATGTTATCTGATACCTTAGGTTATCTAATTCATTATGTTATCTGAGATCTTAGGTTATCTAATTCATTATGTTATCTGATACCTTAGGTTATCTAATTCATTATGTTATCTGAGATCTTAGGTTATCTAATTCATTCTGTTATCTGATACCTTAGGTTATCTAATTTATTATGTTATCTGAGACCTTAGGTTATCTAATTCATTATGTTATCTGAGATCTTAGGTTATCTAATTCATTATGTTATCTGGGAATCACTTTTGTCAGGAACCTGTCCTTCAAGGACCATGCAGACATGGTTGTGACAAGATGCCAAAAGGGACTGAATGAACGTAACACTATGGCTGCAGTGGCCTGCTTCTCACACTACATTAGCAGCTGATCCTTTCAGTGATTGATTATGGACTAGGAATGTTTACTGTCTCAAAGAGTCAACTGGTTAAACTAGAGTGCATTTAGAGCACAGTTATGCAGGTTATTTGAGATGTACCAGAGATACCCCTGAAGTGTGAATGTTATACTTCCATGGTTTGCCAAATGTTGCAGCTAGGCTTAATAGGCTTTCGGCGAAGTCATACCTCCAAGTAGCTACAGATGCAGATCACCCTTTGCAAAATCACTGGACACAGTTAAGGATCTGTCGCTGATAAAATGGAAGTCATGGATGACTCAGGTGGAGGACATGATCAGATACGCTTGCATCCTGGAGAACTTTAGGCGAGGAGAGGAGTTGGTCAGAGTGCCAGTGGAACAGTCATACTTGTATAGTCATAAACACATTGAGCCAGCAGTGCAGGCAGTGGCCAACAGGTGCCACAGAGATAGAGATTCAGTAGTTTATTCAAGACAATGCTCGCTCGGGTCATGTGATTATTTATACAGATGGTTCAGTGTCAAGAGGCAAAATAAATGCCTGGGGGTTCTTAGCAAAAGCTCATGGTCAAAGTTTGATTCAGGAGGGCCTAGAATGTGATACCACATCATCCAGCTTAAGATAAAGGTGAAGGCGGTCATTGTAGCCTTCTGCTGGCAAGAGAGCACGCACGCACGCATGCACGCACGCACGCACGCTTGCACGCACGCACGCACGCACACACACACCCCCCACCACCACCACCACCACGACGATTTTAACAGACTGAGGAATGATGAGGACAAGCATGCTTCGTTTCAGAGGTCACGGATGATTGGCATCATCTGGATCTTTTCTCCTGGGTCTGCTGGTGTTGAGAAAGGAACAGAACAGGACTTGACAAAACTACCTTTTATCAAATGAAGAACATTTTGTATAATAAATCCATGTCATTGGAGGTTAGGAAAAGAATTCTCGCAGGCTATATAAAGCAGGTTTGAACATGCGGCGGTGAATCCTGGACAATTAATAAACAGGCCAAACAATATCTGGAGGTCTTGGGGGGGGGGGGGGTGTGGTTGTACAGAAGAATTCCTTGGATAGCTAACAAGAACAACACAGATGTTTTATAAAAAGCCAATGCTCGAAAACAATTTGTCACAAACATCACACAGAGACAGTCATCATTTGTTTGGGGTCATGTTATGAGGAGAGGGAAACTGAAACTTGTAGTGACCCTGAAACTTGTAGTGACCAATGGTAAGATCTGTGGCACAAGAGACAGGGAAGGACAGTGCGAAAAGGTTTTTTGTTAGCTCATGTTGGGGTGTCTACACACAAACTGATACACCTAGTTGTGGATCCCAGATTGTGGAGAGGCATGATCGCCCATGCCAGTCGGCAAAGTACTTGAATATATATATGTATACGGTGCTAACCGGGTACCTTCATAGAGCAGTCTGTGGGTGATCTGATCAGCACACACTGGCTTCCTTGACCTCCTAGAATATTTCCTGGTCCCTATGTTAAAATGGGCTAACAACAGATTCTGGGTCAGGTTAAACAAAATTTGAACACATGATCACAGAGCACGCAGGCAGATGAGCTAGCCACAAGATTGTCACAGCTTTCAGTTCTTGCTAATTACCTTGTTCATCTGTGGCAATTATTTCAGCATCCCAGACACAAGAGCGGCAATACAGCCTGCCAACCAAGAGAAGACATCTGCAGCTGCTGGGGGAGCACAGACTCCAAGAGGGAGATCTTTCGCAGACATGGTGAGGATGCAGAGACCTGCAGCGACACGGAAGTGGAACGCTGTTAACAAACAGCGTAGACAACAAGGAGACAGTGAGAAACAGTCAGCCATTCAGGAAATTCTAACCAAGTCTGCCGCTGCTCACAATCCAAATTTGCTGAAGGAAAAAGCAAAGGAATATGGTAATGACTTCTTGTCTTATCAGCCTGTTTTTTTTTTCCTTATCTTCTGTAAAATTTCTTCTCCTGTCCTTTATACCTCATTAGAGGATAGATTCTCAATCAGACCATCCTTTCCTGTTTTATCTCCTGGAGCTTGGTTCATGACACTCCCATATGGTTGATCTCTATCTCTCAGTCTCTTCCCCTGGTGATATTACGTCTCCCTCACCTCTTGACTCGGTGGAAATGCTTGGTTCTCTTCCCTGAGCTCTGATGTAGTGTTTCTATCATATATTTCTAAAATATGACTTTGTTCATGTTTTATGCCTTGCTCTGGATTTTATTTTGTTAAATGTTGTTTAATGCTATTTTGGTTATTCACGTTTGGTGTTTCACTTCAGCTGTCATCTCTTATTATTGCATGCACACACAAAAATTGTTACTCTCTCAGGAAAGCAACTAAAGCAAACTAAGTACTAACAAGTTTCATTCTTTCTCTGTCTCTCCCTTTTTTCCCACCTCTGTCTGTCCCTTCTCTCTCTGTCTCTCTCTGTGTGCATGTGTGTAATGTTTTCATATTTATGGCATCGTGGTGCTGGAGTGTCTGTGGATTGCCTACCTTCCCGGGTAGCAGCCAAAAGTGTGCTGTACCAGTTCTAAAGGAAATATGGAGTTGTTTCTACTTAACCTTTGCTAAAGTGGGGCTAACAGTGTGCTCATTCCCCGCCACCAGATTGCCTGCTGGTTTCGCTAAGCTCTTCATGGCTTTAAGCATGACCTAAGCATGAGTAGTTCGGGCAATTGGATGGTCATATCCTGAGTCCCTGTGCCTTCACGATAGTGAAGTTAGCATACTTGTTTCCACTCCTAAGACTGTTCAGCACCCCTCCGGCTCCTTCCCTCCCACAGGGGGCAGTATGGTGAGGTGCACCTGGTTTTTCATCGAGGTTTGCTCCTCTAGATCCATTGTGTTTTGCCTGGGGATTGGCAGCCCCAGTTACCAGGACTGCATCGGGGAGGATGTGGCTCTTCAACATGCACAATGGTCTTGAGGTAAGAGAGGTTATGCTAGGTCAAGAGGCTGACACCGCAATGGACGCTCCTTTCGTGAATAGATATTCACTAGACCTAGGGTGAAGTAAGGGAGAAACCACTACCCACAACACCAACACTTCTTCCCCTTAGTCTCAAGGCTCAGTCTCATGTAATGTATTCAGTTGGTTAACTTGCTTCTCTCCCTTTGTATCAGATGTGAGAACAAAAATAAACTGTGTACTATTTTATATCGGTGTCAGAGAGCTATTTATCACCTTAAAGCAAGTGGCTCGTTGGCAGCTCCATGACAGACGAGTCTATCTCAAACACAACTAAACCAAGACCATCAGAACACACACGTCAGCCAGTGATATAATTTACAAGCCATTGTCAGTGTACCCCAGATGTGGCTCGCAAACCCTGCTCCAACTGGCCCGAGTGCTTTACAATCATCGAATCACACACTGGTCTTCCAGTTGCTTCCACTGATTAACTGGGTGTGGATCAACAGCCTGAGATGCAAGCTCTTGCCTACACTAGTGCACGGCTCTGGGTAGTGTCATCAGAGGGACCTCGTCACTGCGCCGAGCCACCTGGGTGCCATGCCCACAAACTCGTGATCGTCGTCTTGTTTACTGATAAACCCTTTCAGGAACCACCTCGCTAAGGCAATGCTAAGTACTTGAGTGAACACAACTATTGCTAAACACACTAAACTGTCTCTATATAACACAGACGTTACACTGCATACTAACACTTAAATTGAAATTACTGTCATGCTAACACGTTATCGCAAACTAACCCTCGCTAACTTGTGAAAATGAAAAACATAACATGTCTTGTCCAAGTCTCTCAGCCAACTCCCCAGCAACTTTTGCCTATTTCTGTTTTGTCCGGTCCCCCCTGCGTTCAGTCAACTCACCGTGAATCCTGGAGTCTTAACTTGATTTCCTTGTCGGAAACTCCTGTGGGCTGTTGAACATGTAGTCACTTAACGGTCATCTAAGTTCTAGTTTGTTATTCACTATCATCACCTATAGTTGTCCCATAGCCACACAGGCCCTTGACATTGGGTTAACCTGCTTCTCTCCCTCACTGTCTCAGACCTGAGAAAAAATAAAATTGTGAACTATTTTCTATGAATTAACATCCTTCTCTTCCTCACTATCTCAGACCTGAGGAAAAGTAAAATTGTGAACTATTTTCTATGAATTAACCTCCTTCTCTTCCTCACTATCTCAGACCTGAGGAAAAGTAAAATTGTGAACTATTTTCTATGCTTCTCTCCCTAGGATCCAAACAGATCCCTGGCTTCAGCCCTGGACTAGCTGGTCCCCGAAGAGTGAAAACTTACTCAGAGAGGCTGCAGGAGATGAAACCCACTAGATCATACTTGCCTCCAGCGAGGAGGCGTCTTTCTTCAGGTTTGTAGCGTCCTGTCTTTTTTTCTTTTCACAGTATTTTCCTGCTTCATGGTCCATGATATTCTAAGAATGTTTATTCTTCAGTGATTGTCCATGGATAATACTAACTGCAAAATCAAATTGTAAATTCATATGCCTGTCAGTAGTGACATCTTTTAAAATGTTTAGCAGTATCTACTGTAAATGTTTAGCGTTGATTTGTGTGAAGCGATTCAAGTTATATATATGATACATTTTACTGGGCCACACTCTAAATGATATAATAAAATCAAACATTAATCCCCCCCCCCCATGGACTTCAAGTGTTCAGCTGATATCAAACATAAACCACACCCTGTCCCCCAGACATACAAGACAACTTTCCTGCCCCCAGACATACGAGACAACTCCCCCCCCCCCCCCCACGACATAAAACACACCCCAGGCCCCAAACATAAGAGACAACTTCCCCCCCTCTCCCCTTGCCTCAAACTTTCCAGCTGTTAACATTTGGAGAACAAACAAGAAGAAACCTCATGTAGATAGAAGCTGTACATGTTTGGTTGAGAAGGAGGAGGAGGATCTATACAGAGTCCAACAGTCATTACTGAGCAATATAAACAAAGCTATGTTTGTGTGTGTGTGTATATGTGTGTGTGTATGTGTGTGTGTGTATGTGGGTGTGTGCTTGCATGTGCAAGCGGGCAGGTAGGTGTGTGTTTGCTGTGTGTGTGTGTGTATGTGGGTGTGTATGTGGGTGTGTGCTTGCATGTGCAAGCGGGCAGGTAGGTGTGTGGGTGCTGTGTGTGTGTGTGTGTATGTGGGTGTGTATGTGAGTGTGTGCATGTATGTGCAAGCGGGAAGGTAGGTGTGTGGGTGCTGTGTATGTGCATGAATAGTGGGGCGGGTGGGTATGTGGGGATATTTATATGAGTGGATGGAGTTTGTCAGCATTGTTGTTATTGTGGCTGGCATAACTGTCTGGATTCGAATCCATCTGTGAGTATGTTTTCTAATGACCTTCATGGCACTGGGGTGCACTTCATCTCAAAGACACCAGAAACTGGTCTGGCAGGTCAAGTTGTCTGGCAGGTCAAGTTGTCTGGCAGGTCAAGTTGTCTGGCAGGTCAAGTTGTCTGGCAGGTCAAGTTGTCTGGCAGGTCAAGTTGTCTGGGAAGTCAGGCAGTTGTCATGATACTGACCAATCAGCCACCAAATGCTGAAGAAAATATTCACCTATTGCTACACAAACAATATGTTATGATGGTCTGAAATGGTGTCCTTAAACTTTTATATTGCCTGAATATGTCTTGCATTATCTGTTGTTTTCTTTATTATTTGTTGTATTCTTTATTATTTGTTGTATTCTTTATTATTTGTTGTATTCTTTATTATTTGTTGTATTTTTTATTATTTGTTGTATTCTTTATTATTTGTTGTATTCTTTATTGTTTGTTGTATTCTTTATTATTTGTTGTATTCTTTATTATTTGTTGTATTCTTTATTATTTGTTGTATTCTTTATTATTTGTTGTATTCTGCTTTATTTTTTGTATTCTGCTTTATTTGTTTTATTCTCTACAGTTTGTTGTATTCTGTATCATTTGTGGTATTCTGCTTTATTTGTTGTATTCTGTATTATTTGTTGTATTCTGTATCATTTGTTGTATTCTGTATCATTTGTTGTATTCTGTATCATTTGTTGTATTCTGTATCATTTGTTGTATTCTGTATCATTTGTTGTATTCTGTATCATTTGTTGTATTCTGTATTATTTGTTGTATGCTGTATTATTTTGTATATTCTGTATTATTTTTTGTATTCTGTATTTCCTTTAGTACACACAACTTCTGCAAGAACATTCCAGTCAAGCACCCGTACAGGCCCACCCCATAAACCGCAGACTTACGTGGAACAGCTGCAAAACCTCAGGTCCAAGGCACCTGGGCAAGGTGAGGCTGGACAGGTGTATTTGTGTCGCCAGGTTATGTTTGCTTTGTTACTCAAATCTCTCTGACGTCAGAAACAATAGAAGAGCCAACAGTTGTGCCCTGGCTCTAGAAATGATGAGGATATTAAAGTAGACAAAAATTAGAACAAATCGGATTCACATTATCACAATCACAAATGAAAGGTGAACCTTACGAGTCAAGAGCCTCCATCAACACATTACGTATGAGACTATCATAAAAAAGAAGATAAAGTGCATTGAAAATATGTGTTAATTAAATTAAACTTAAATACACATTCTGACAATACAGATGTCAGTCATATACACACATGTACATGAATGTAATTATATCAAAATTATTATCATCAAACAGCCAGACAAGCTGACAGGAAGACCCCAGCTGACAGGAAGACCCCAGCTTTGATGCGGACTTTCCTCAAGGCTCATGGCCCCAAGCACAGACCCAAAACCTATGCTGAACAGCTTCAGGAGTTGAACCCACATCCTCACCGAGAGCTGCAGCAGAGGAAAACCATGCAGTCTACAGGTAGATAGGCACCGGTGTTATATATATATATATATCTCTATTGTCAGGATGAATATCATACAGAAATAAATATATTTCTATAATAGGGACACAAACAATACATTGCACACTTTATTGCCAGGCATATTTTGCTGTATCTCGTCATATGCGTTACTGCAGAGTACATCAACATACTATGAAGCACAAAAACTGAATAAATCCAACTAAAATGCGAATAGTCTCTTTCAGTGCATAATGATTTGTCTAGTCACTGGAAGTTCACAGGGTAACTTCAGATTTACTATAAATTTTGTCTCCTTTCAAAGGATGAGGTTGTTGATTTTAATTTTTATCTTGATGTAACTGTAGTAATGCATCTGACGAGATACTGCGGAATATGCCTGGCAATAAATTGTGCAATGTATTGTTTTTGTCTGCATTATTTAAATGTATTTCTTTTGCAAATTTGAAAAGAACTCAAACTGTTCCCTAGAGCCCATTATTCTCAGTGAATCACTCTGTCAGATCATGTGCCATGATCAAGTGCTATCTACACAACAAAGCTGGGATGGATCTCTGTTGTTGTGACAGTCCACCTGGTCAGTCTGCTTCCACATCCATGGAAGAGATCCTCACATGGTATCAGTGCTTTGTTGAAGCTTGCCGACATCTGCCTGTTGCACTGTTGTGACTGTTGCACTGTTGTTGTGACTGTTGCACTGTTGTATTCTTGTGACTGTTGTGACTGTTGCACTGTGTTGTTGTGACTGTTGTTGTGACTGTTGCACTGTTGTTGTGACTGTTGTTGCACTGTTGTTGTGACTGTTGTTGTGACTGTTGCTGTGACTGTTGTTGTGACTGTTGCACTGTTGTATTCTTGTGACTGTTGTGACTGTTGCACTGTTGTTGTGACTGTTGTTGCACTGTTGTTGTGACTGTTGTTGTGACTGTTGCACTGTTGTTGTGACTGTTGTTGTGACTGTTGCACTGTTGTATTCTTGTGACTGTTGTGACTGTTGCAATGTTGTTGTGACTGTTGTTGTGACTGTTGCACTGTTGTTGTGACTGTTGCACTGTTGTTGTGACTGTTGCACTGTTGTTGTGACTGTTGCACTGTTGTGACTGTTGCACTGTTGTTGTGACTGTTGCACTGTTGTTGTGACTGTTGCACTGATGTTGTGACTGTTGTACTGTTGTGACTGTTGCATTGTTGTGACTTTTGCACTGTTGTGACTGTTGCACTGTTGTTGTGACTGTTGCACTTTTGTGACTGTTGCACTGTTGTTGTGACTGTTGCACTGTTGTGACTGCTGCAGTTTAGAAGTCAGGGAATATCTGTCATGGGAACATCTTTCAGATGTGACAGTTTGAGTATTCATTCTTGTATTAAACATATCACTGTGGCTTCAAGTTTTACCTGTTTGCCAGACATCCTTGACTTACAGCCATAGATCAGAAACAAAACAGCCATGGATACTTATTTGGAAGATTGCTAGGATTCAAGAGGTCTCTTAGGGTACAAAGATCTCAGTTTCAAGAGGTCTCACAAGGTCAGGAGATCTTACAAGGTCAGGAGGTCTCACAAGGTCAAGAGGCCTCTAATGTCAAGAGATCTCTCAGGGTCAAGAGATCTCTCCAGGTCATGAGGTCTCCCTAGGTCAAGCGTTCTCTCGAGGTAAACAGGTCTCACAAGGCTACCATTACAGATGAGATATCATAGATACAAATGTATTGGTGTTACCTTTCCTTTGGAGTTAACAAAGCAGGCTGAGGGAGGGATCACACGGCTCTACAATCCTGCCCAGGCTTTGTGCTATGTAGTGGAGGGTTTTCATCCCTTAATTGGTATCACCATGGACTGTGGTTCTGGAGTCTCACTGTAGCGCAACAGAACAGTGTCACTGGGAAGCAAAGATAGGTGTCCACAGCAGCAGTAAAAGGCACACACAATATCACATTTCCTAATTTCTGAGCACAGTGAATGTTGATTGAAAGAGTTTGTGATGTGGTGGCAGCAATCATGCGCTATCACTAAACATTGATGGACTTTCCATGACTGTAATTTATTCTTCATCTTGATCCTAGTTCATGTGAGTTCATCCGTTGTTAACTTCTTGTAATTTTTTTTTATTGTTTGCAGATTTACTTAAATATGTTTAAATGTTCCAGTGACACTCCACGGCCCATTTCGAGCCAGAACTAGGTCAAGGCCGTACAGTGACCCATATTCGGACATGGACTACGAGGAGCTGGCCTCGGTGCTGAGTGACTGGGACGTTGATGAGAATATTCATAATATCATCTATGGAGGCTTGTCTCCGACTGACTCTGCTAACTTTGTGGTCAGTAGTTATGTAATATTATATAAATAAAAAACTAAAGTCAAAGGCAGTCATCTGGGGCAAGAACAGAAGTTTGAGTATCTGGGCACGGGGATGACATCAGATGGAAGATGTATAAGAGAGATCAAGAACAGAAGTTCAAGTATCTGGGCACGGGGATGACATCAGATTGAAGATGTATAAGAGAGATCAAGAACAGAAGTTCAAGTATCTGGGCACAGGGATGACATCAGATGAAAGATGTATAAGAGAGATCAAGAACAGAAGTTTGAGTATCTGGGCACGGGGATGACATCAGATGGAAGATGTATAAGAGAGATCAAGAACAGAAGTTTGAGTATCTGGGCACAGGGATGACATCAGATGGAAGATGTATAACAGAGATCAAGAACAGAAGTTCAAGTATCTGGGCACGGGGATGACATCAGATGGAAGATGTATAAGAGAGATCAAGAACAGAAGTTTGAGTATCTGGGCACGGAGATGACATCAGATGAAAGATGTATAAGAGAGATCAAGAACAGAAGTTTTAGTATCTGGGCACGGAGATGTCATCAGATGAAAGATGTATAAGAGAGATCAAGAACAGAAGTTTGAGTATCTGGGCATGGGGATGACATTTTTCTTCTTCTTCTTCTTGCTCACCCGCTGTAAACTCTGGCAAAAGTTATGATTATGTGTCTACTCCTGGACTTGTTCCAGAACTTGGGTACTGCGTGCACATCCGTTTTACAGATCTAGCTTATTGAAGAACATTTAAACCCCTGTTGTTAGAGGCAGCAAAGATACTAACCTGTGACACAAAGCCAGTTCATCAAGTAGTCAGAAGGTAACCCCTACACCCACCTCCTCTTCTCTGTTTAGTTTTTATTTGCCCTTTAACTATTTTTTGTCTATTAGTGCCACTGTCATTTTCTGTGGCACCCTTTGTCTCTCTCTTCATGTCTCCTGAAAAAAAGAAGTACCTCTCTATGATTGCCAGTTATTTGTCTGTGATGTGTCTCTCATGAATTCCTGGTTAACTTACCCTCTGTTATCTTTCTGATGTGTGTGTTGGTTGCTCCATGTCTGTCTGTGTTCACTTTCTTAGTCTTTCAATCTGCTTGTGTCTCCATTTCTCACATACCTGTCGCTCTTATGTCTTTCTTACATCTATGTTTCTGTCACTCCTATATTTTTCTTACTACTTGCTCTCTTCTGACTCTTTCATTTGCATGTATTCCTCTTTTACATGTTCCCTGTCTCTCTCTCTCTGTCACATGCTCTTTTCTACCTCCTTTTTTAAGCTGATTTTGAACATTATTATGAGATGTGACACATGACACCCTTTCCTTTTTCCAGCCAATGAATGAGCTAGAAATGAGCCTATCAGGGGGAGACAACCACTATATTGCTCCATCCAATAACCAGTCGGATTACTTCAGTACAGTGATGAAAGCAGGTGATCAACACAGGTAATCTCCCCTGTTGTCCAGCATTGATCCATATGGCTGCATTTCCTCTGTATCTTTTATAGGGTGTATGAACAGGAAAGGGGAGAATAGAAAAATTAGGCCTAAGTGGAAAATAACAGATAAGCAAGCAGAAGAGGCAGAGACAGATGTAGGTGGGAAGCCTAAACACCTTTGTCACCAAAATAAGTCCAAAGTAATACAAACGTTGTTGGAATATCAGAGAGAGAATTAAACAGTTGTGATCACTGATGTCTGGTCCTGGCTGTGTTTTTTTTTTTTTAATTCTTTTTTATTTATTTGTTAATGTGTAGATCTGATAGAGTGTCCATGATCTGAAAGAGTGTCCATGATCTGATAGAGTGTCTATGATCTGATAGAGTGTCCATGATCTGATAGTGTCCATGTTCTGATAGAGTGTCCATGATCTGAAAGAGTGTCCATGATCTGATAGAGTGTCCATGATCTGAAAGAATGTCCATATTCTGATAGAGTGTCCATGATCTGAAAGAGTGTCCATGTTCTGATAGAGTGTCCATGTTCTGAAAGAGTGTCCATGATCTGATAGAGTGTCCATGATCTGAAAGAGTGTCCATGATATGATAGAGTGTCCATGATCTGAAAGAGTGTCCATATTCTGATAGAATGTCCATGATCTGAAAGAGTGTCCATGATCTGATAGTGTCCATGTTCTGATAGAGTGTCCATGTTCTGATAGAGTGTCCATGTTCTGATAGTGTCCATGATATGATAGTGTCTATGATCTGATAGAGTGTCCATGATCTGAAAGAGTGTCCATATTCTGATAGAGTGTCCATGATCTGATAGAGTGTCCATGATCTGATAGAGTGTCCATGTTCTGATAGAGTGTCCATGTTCTGATAGAGTGTCCATGATCTCATAGAGTGTCCATGTTTGTGTCTTTTTCCTCGGTTGTATTGTGAGAATATAATTATAATTGCTGTGTTACAAATAAATGAGGAAGTTACATAATTATAATAATAATGTTATCACATGAAAGACTAGATGGCCAAGTGGTTAGAGTGTCAGTGTGACTCCTGAAGACAGAGGTGTTCAATTCTGAATCTGAGTTGGAAAGCAACAAATTACATAGTGAATGCCAGAGCAAGCAGATTTTATTTGTATTAATCCATAGGGAGTAGATTAAACATTTGGGCACCCATTCCTGTCTTAGAGCTGGTCAGTCTGACAGTGTCCACAATCTTGAGCAGAGCTGGTCAGTCTGACAGTGTCCACAATCTTGAGCAGAGCTGGTCAGTCTGACAGTGTCCACAATCTTAAGCAGAGCTGGTCAGTTTGACAGTGTCCACTGTCTTGAACAGAGCTGGTCAGTCTGACAGTGTCCACAATCTTAAGCAGAGCTGGTCAGTCTGACAGTGTCCACAATCTTAAGCAGAGCTGGTCAGTCTGACAGTGTCCACTGTCTTGAACAGAGCTGGTCAGTCTGACAGTGTCCACAATCTTAAGCAGAGCTGGTCAGTCTGACAGTGTCCACAATCTTAAGCAGAGCTGGTCAGTCTGACAGTGTCCACTGTCTTGAACAGAGCTCGTCAGTCTGACAGTGTCCATTGTCTTGAGCAGAGCTGGTCAGTCTGACAGTGTCCACTGTCTTGAACAGAGCTCGTCAGTCTGACAGTTTCCACTATCTTGAACAGAGCTGGTCTGTCTGACAGTGTCCACTATCTTGAACAGAGCTGGTCAGTCTGACAGTGTCCACTATCTATAGAGTTTAACAAAGCAAGACATAAAGAAACTGTGTTCTCTCACATTCTTTCTGGGCAAGTGAATTTGACATCAAGCCTCCAGTGACATTATTCCTTTACAAAGCAGATCACAGCAGACAGAAGGTGTTGTAAATCAATGCAGTTTATTTTTTCTGAATCAACAGGTTGCCCGGGGCAGAAGATGAGTTCAGACTTGATGATTACCGCTCTTCTGTGGATATCCAGGAGATCGAGCGCATAGCTGAGCTTGCTTCAGTGGGCAGTGACAGCATCCTTAGTGTCATAGACTGGGATGCTGTGGAGAGCCTTATTAAGGATGTCTAGCCTGTCGGAGATGTGCTCTATGGTGGATCTTTAGCCAAAGCACCCTACCAGCATGTGTCTCTGTGTTATGTTGTATGTACCAGTCACATTGCCATCATTATTAAGTGCCTTGTCAACAGGTGTAGGTAACCACGCCGCTGCAGAACTCTGAGATCTAGCGCCATTTGTCAGTTGATGGGCTAACAGCTGTCCATGCTGCCAGGCAAGACTGTTCAAATTCATTCCTTAGTCACTTTTTGTCATGAATCTTGTCAGTTGTTACAGTATATTCTAGTTGCTGTCTTTGCATGATGGGACACACGATAGGGTTAATGGTAAAGTGTCATTTGTCCAGGAAAGGAGGAGTTGAAGTGTCATTTGTCCAGGATAGGAGGAGTTGAAGTGTCATTTGTCCGGGATAGGAGGAGTTGAAGTGTCATGTGTCCAGGATAGGAGGAGTTGAATTGTCATTTGTCCAGGAAAGGAGGAGTTGAAGTGTCATTTGTCTAGTGTCATTTGTCCAGGATAGGAGGAGTTGAAGTGTCATTTGTCTGGGATAGGAGGAGTTGAAGTGTCATGTGTCCAGGATAGGAGGAGTTGAAGTGTCATTTGTCCAGGAAAGGAGGAGTTGAAGTGTCATTTGTCTAGGATAGTTGGAGTTGAAGTGTCATTTGTCCATGATAGTAGGAGTTGAAGTGTCATTTGTCCTGGACAGGAGGAGTTGAAGTGTCATTTGTCTAGGATAGGAGGAGTTGAAGTGTCATTTGTCCAGGATAGGAGGAGTTGAAGTGTCATTTGTCCAGGATAGGAGGAGTTGAAGTGTCATTTGTCCAAGATAGGAGGAGTTGAAGTGTCATTTGTCCGGGATGGGAGGAGTTGAAGTGTCATGTGTCCAGGATAGGAGGAGTTGAATTGTCATTTGTCCAGGAAAGGAGGAGTTGAAGTGTCATTTGTCCAGGATAGGAGGAGTTGAAGTGTCATTTGTCCGGGATAGGAGGAGTTGAAGTGTCATTTGTCCAGGATAGGAGGAGTTGAAGTGTCATTTGTCCAGGATAGGAGGAGTTGAAGTGTCATTTGTCCAGGATAGTTGGAGTTGAAGTGTCATTTGTCCTGGACAGGAGGAGTTGAAGTGTCATTTGTCTAGGATAGGAGGAGTTGAAGTGTCATTTGTCCAGGATAGGAGGAGTTGAAGTGTCATTTGTCCGGGATGGGAGGAGTTGAAGTGTCATGTGTCCAGGATAGGAGGAGTTGAATTGTCATTTGTCCAGGAAAGGAGGAGTTGAAGTGTCATTTGTCTAGTGTCATTTGTCCAGGATAGGAGGAGTTGAAGTGTCATTTGTCCAGGATAGGAGGAGTTGAAGTGTCATTTGTCCAGGATAGGAGGAGTTGAAGTGTCATTTGTCCAGGATAGGAGGATTTGAAGTGTCATTTGTCCAGGATAGTTGGAGTTGAAGTGTCATTTGTCCAGGATAGTTGGAGTTGAAGTGTCATTTGTCCAGGATAGGAGGAGTTGAAGTGTCATTTGTCCAGGATAGGAGGAGTTGAAGTGTCATTTGTCCAGGATAGGAGGAGTTGAAGTGTCATTTGTCCAGACCAGAAGAGATTACAACTTGTTCTTACTGTCAGTTTCTGGTAGTTCATTATCTGTCTTATTATCACTGTGTGGTGATGGTATCACTGTGTGGTAATGGTATCACTGTGTGATGATGTCACTGTGTGGTGATGGTGTCACTGTGTGGTGATGATGTCACAGTGTGGTGAATATGTCACTTTTGTGTGATGATGTCACTGTATAGTGATGATGTCACTGTGTGGTGAATGTGTCATTGTGTGGTGATGAGGTCACTATGTGGTGATGATGTCAGTGTGTGGTGATGAGATCACTGTGTGGTTATGATGTCACTGTGTGGTGATGGCAGTTGAGATGTGGCTTTGGTTTTTAGTTTCTACTTAAAAACTCATTGCTTGAGTATTTTTGATGTCAATATTTGATTGTTTTGTTCGGGTTTCATATTTTATATTTGCCAGTAGATTATTGGCCTGTTATGCAACTGTGACTGAATATTCTCCGTATCTGGTGTTGTTAATTTTTATCTTTCTCTGTGTAGATCTGGAATATCATTTCTCAGAATATCCGTCCATTATATTTCTTCTGACAGATGCTATAAAAAATATTTGTTTAGTTCCACTTTTGATTTGTATACATTCAAACTCACATCTGTTAAAAAAAGGTCATTATGCACAACACCATAGTTGGATTCATATTTTAATTCGCCGGCATGTCTGGGTTGACACTAACAAATAGAAAGAAGAAGGTTTTCTAGAATGTAAAGATGGCTGACAGGAAATTGACCTCTAGCCATCTTGTGACCTTTGCTCTAAAAGGTTGGGCTAACCCCAGATACATTCAGTGTGCTTTGTGACTTGACAAGGGATCCTGAACTGACAGCATATTGTGAAGCTAGCTCATCTGTTTGTAAACACAGCGGTCCAGGTTTGAATCCCCAGTACTGGCTAGATGTTTGTTTTTTATATAACACTGTAGCTAATTAGCTATTTAGCTAGCTAGTTAGTTAGTTAGTTGACAGATTATCCTCACTGTACATCAAACCATTGAGTCCATAAGTGCTAGGATCTCCCTCCTCACTAAAACCCTTGGCGTGCAGCCAATGATGACACCAGTTCTTTTGTAGTTCATTATTCTTCCCTACCCTGTAACTGTGGTAACCCAGTCTTATAAAAAGTGTACCCGGGAGTATTTTTAGACAGAAACGACATACGAAAAAAAAAATAGCTGTCACCTTTACATTAAAACTAGTGGGAGATTTTAGGTAAAATTGCTGCCATTGCACAGTTTTCGAGTAATGTGTTAGGAAGTTGATATTATTGTCTTTAAACACGTTTATAATACGTTGATGACACGTTTTGGCAAACCTGCCACCCACTTCTGCTATAAAACAATCAGCCGTTGAGATTCTCTACATCATCACTGTTCTGCATTCTGTCCTCTTGGTTTCCTTATGCTTGGAACACAGTCAAGACCAGTAAGAAATCAAGACTGAGCTGGCGGCTAGCAGACGAGAAACACTCTCTGGGTGCGTCTAAATCATTTGCCAGTCAGGGTATGCAAGATGTAGGTATTGCTCACCTACCATTATGGAGACTTGTTGAACTCTCTTGTATTCTCACAACATCCAAGACTGGTTGGGACTGTCTTGCAGTCTCTCAGCAGCCAACAAGTGTTGGACTCTTATATTCTTACATCATCCAAGACTTATAGGACCTGTAATGAGCGGGAAGTTTCAAAACGCCAAAAAGGGATTTTCACGGGCGACAAGTGAGTTGTGTGAAAATCCCGTGTGGAAAAGGGAATAAACTGGTGTGAGAGAAAGACGCAGGTATTAGGTGTGAGACGAGCAAGGGGGGAGGTTGTAGGTATGATTGAATACTTGTGAAAGGGCTGTCCTGTTAGCGAAAACCTGGCCAACGGAACTGATCAACAGTTAACGTCTGCTAACGTAATGCTTGGCAGTGTGTACTGAAGGAAATCTGCCTGAATTATGAATTGTGGTGTGATTGGCGAATAATTCAAGCTGTTAGATAACCTCTTCAGGACAAACTGCCGTCAGGAACTGCACTTATTTGAGCTACTCAGTAAACAGCTATATGAACATCGTCAACTTGTGTTTATACAGCCTGTACTGGCAGAGTCTGTGCAAGTCTCTGGAAACTGCAACGAAAGTGAGTACAGCACGAGGGAAGGGGAGTGGTGGGAAATAGGTAACACGCCAGATTTGAATTAATTCTGTAGCAAGGAAACCAAACGTAAAACCCAAAACAAAGACAAAACACGAACTCAAAAGCAAACACAAGTCTACAGCAAACTGTAGATGACCTGTGAAGTCAACTGAAAACATTTAATTACACAAACATAGATTAACTGATGGAGCATTCCCGCTAGAGTGACATCCGTCTTAGAGATGACAATAAAAGTAGCCTTACTTTCATTTAAATTATATGATAACTGGAGGATGAATTTTGAGTACTAATCAATTATGTGTACTTCAGTCCAGACACCTAAAGAAAACTCGTCACCCACCGAGCTAGTCGGTTAATAATAATAAAAATATCCAGGTCTTCCATGAGCTTACCTCGACTCTCGCTTCAACCTTTGCCCATTTCATAAACCGAACATTTCATTCTTAAAATGGGTAGAGCCAAGCACTACTTAGCCAAGAAGTTCGGATCAAATCTTTTAAAGCAGCTGAAGTTGGACAGTCAATAATGAAGTTTGTCAGTTTATTAAATGTGTGTGTGTGTGTGCTTGCGCACGCGCGCGTGCGTGTGTGTGGTTTTAATCTCCATCCTGAATTTACTTAAACTTCAATAATGAAGATCCAGTTAACAGAAAATGTCATTAACTTTAATGGAACCTTTTCTTTAGACATAAATGCCCACTCCTGTCTCACCCCCAGCCATCTTCTCATCAAGTTTCATCTTGTTCTATTATTCCCCCGTTTTAGAATTGTTCCCGTCTCTGATTTTCTCTTGCTTTATTAATCTCGATCCGTATTGTTATGTCGGTGGCATGTCTCCCCTTTGTCTGCCATCTTTAGAGCCAACCTAGTTTCTTGGTCTTATTTTCACTGGAAATTGCCGCCTTCGTTTGACAGTTCGTGTCCACCAATAAACGTCAATCTGTGGTTATCAAATGTGGCTATTTTTTAGCTACTAGTTGCAACATTTTTGTTGGAAATGCGCAGAATACTTATCGTTGGATGACAATGTGTTTTTGTATTATATTTCAGTTTGTTGAAAATCTGACAGTTGACTTGTTATTTGTTTATGATGTGTTCATTAGTGTCACAGTTCCCCAGGCAAAACCTGTCTTGTTTGTTGTTACTTGATTGTGAATTTTTTGGCCTAGTTTCAAACTACATCTGAACCAATATTGCGAAAACCTTGAAAAGCCAGAGAAACTAAATCCGGTAAAAATGTTTAGCTACAATAAATCGCTAATT